ACGTATGCTCTACGAGTCACGGTGGACCAGCCCTCTTTTTGACACCAAAAGATGGGTTCGGGATTTAGAAGATGCATACGAAATAGCATGGAAAAAATGGGAAAAGGGTGAAGGCGGTGACATCTGGCTGAAGCATTGATAGCTCTCGGAAGCATAGCGGTTGCATTCTCATTTGCTAGAAGCGCGCTTGAGGCTAGACCAGGCATACATGTGTTTTGGGCTTAGATTCTTGGTTTGGAATCTGCGAATTTTGCGAACTACGCACTGGGATTTTGTAAGCAGTTGGTTACTGCGGTTGTGTTCTGTTGTTCCTATACCCCCACATTGCTTTGAATTGGATATGTTTCTTGGTTATATAGGGGTGTTTGCATGCCTTCGGGTGCTTCACGTTAATGGGCATTCAGGTGGGCATTATCATCGTTAGCCATTTGGATAATAAGACTATTGACTCGCGTTTGGCCACATGTTGTGTCTATTTTCAGAGCGAGTAGGCATTCTTTGGTGGACTTTAAAAGTGACAGGCATTCAGGAGGGAAGCCCGATCTCTGTTGTAATCGCGCTAACAAAGCTTAGCGCGATCGCAACTATATTCATATTGCCCTCTCCGCTCGTCAGCGGGATTGATAGTTGGTATCATTGACCCTTCTTATTTGTACCCTCTGAAAGCGCATCATTATCCTATCCTGCCCAAGACGTACCATGGCTCCGCGCAAGAAAGCCGTAACAGCAGCAGCCAGTTCTAACAAAGCTGCAAAGTCTGCCAAGGCAATCATCACATCCCCTTTAACACCACCCACCGTTGCGCTACCGCCATCGCGTATTCACAGCACATCGTACCACTACCCGCTCATCTTGGGCAATCGGTCGGCATGCGACGCGTTACTGTCCTGGTTCAATGGCGTGGCAGAGACGCGCAGTATGCCGTGGAGGAAAGCGTGGATCGACCCCGCAGACTTTGAAGGCCGGGAAGAAGAGCTTAAAAGCGTTCTATCAAAAAGAGCGTATGAGGTTTGGGTGTCTGAAGTCAGTAAGTAGGCGCCCTGGTTTTCTGTAAATACTACACGATGCGATGCTGAATCGCGTAACGCGCCAAAACGCGTCGTCACGTGATCATGGGCTTAGCTACTTTCATGTGTCGTCCATACTAAGAGGTGTTAGTGTTACAACAGACACGTGTGTCGACAGTCATTCCATATTTCAACAACTGGATAGCAAAATGGCCCACAGTGGAAGACCTTGCTGCTGCAAATCATGATGATGTACTCTCCGTCTGGAAAGGCTTGGGATACTACTCCCGTGCAACTCGGCTTCACGAGGGCGCTAAGCAGATGACGTCTGCACCTAGTGCTTCGGGCGTAATTCCTAGTGGAGCGGTTGAACTCCAGGAAGTACCAGGCATCGGAAGATACACTGCAGGCGCAGTATCTAGTATCGCATTTGGCGAACCCGAGCCAGTACTTGATGGAAACGTTGCAAGAGTACTAAGCCGGCAGCTGGGCCTGTACACGGATGCAAAAGACAAGAAGACGACAGATGTGATGTGGGACATGGCGGACCAACTGATTAAATTTGCGTCCAACTACCCAGAACAGCGGAGAAGCGCTGTACCAGGACTATGGAACCAGGCGCTGATGGAACTCGGATCTACCATCTGTACTCCACGACCACGGTGTGACGAATGCCCTATACAAGCCACGTGCAGAGCATACAGCGAAGGAAAAGCGTTGTCTCAGAAGCGCCAAGCATCTACTGCCATCCCGGACATTGAAGATGCATGCATGCTGTGTGCGCCACTAGATACCGAAGATTTGGTTACTGTTCCCGAGGACAAAGCAACAGACGACGCACCAAGAGCTACCAAGAAGAGAAAAGCTGCTGTGAAGCAGACCAACACCCTCTCGAATTACTTCACTGTCAGCACACCGAAGTCTAATGCTGACACCGAAACTGATCAAGAGAGTGCCGACGACACCCCAGTGGAAGAGTCCAAGAAGCGAAAATTGCCCCCACCAGCTTCAGATATAAAGCCCATATTGAGCTATTGCTCCTTGTTTCCTATGAAGGTCGCAAAGAAGAAGGCTGCGGAGGAAGAGTGCATTGTGTGTATGATTGAGCTGTGCTTTCCAGATGGTGGAAGCAAGTGGCTAATCGAACAGAGGCCCAGCAAAGGTTTGATATCTTGTATCTCAAGTAGCTGCTGTGCTAACAAGTGGCGCTAGGGCTTTTGGCATCCTTGTGGTATGTAAACCATGTCCAGCCACTCGGAGGTGCTACTACACCTAGGTGTTGGTTGCCATCTTCTCGACACCCCGGTACACATATCCGCGCGGTACTTGTCGTGATAGGCTATCTGTCGAGCTTTTCTCTTTATCTTTTCTCGGGCGTCTACTGATTGTGGCACAGGCAGTTCCCACAGGCCTCACTAACGGCATCACAAAAGACGCCGCAGCAACGCAAGGCTCTCGCCCAGAAACACGTTGCTGACCTCGCTGCAGGCAAGGTTGATATGAGTCAAGCGCGTTATGTGGCGTCTTTGTCGCCATTGGTCCATGTCTTCACTCATTTAAGGCTCACCATGCACGCCTATCAGTTCAGGATCGACGCTGATAACGACCAAGGCTTCGCGCCGGTATGCAAGGGCCCGCCGGCCCGCAAGTGGGTGGATGGTGCGTCCATGGACGACGAGACGTTGTCGACTGGAATGCGCAGATGCTGGGACCTTCTTTCCAGCGAGAAATAAATGGGTTCGACATGGACAGTTTCGTTCGAAGGGTTCCCGGAGGCCGTTCCCACGTACCCCACGCGTCGTTATCTCTCGCCAAGCGTTTGCCGTGTGGACTCCCGCCCTTCGCCTCCTTGGCTGTCTCCACTCGGTCTGGGGAAGTGGAACGATAACGCATGGCGGGAGCCCCGACTAGACCAGGCAAGGAGAATACTTCCTTTTTGTACGCTGACTTGTCTTGGTAATAACCTTGCGTTGGATCCGTGGTGGTGCGCTGCCCATATCAGTGGCCCCTCCGGTCGAATCAAAAACATGTTAGTTTGGGCAGTCACCGAGATATACATTGCATGTGACGGATTTACTTAGATATAAGCAAACGTTATTCCCCGGGTCAACTAGCAACCGCAGGTCGTTTCTACTAGTTGAAGCTATTCAGCGCGCGCACCCGCCTACACTAGCAATTCTGTACGTAGTTGTAGTTGGTAGTAAATATGGCTACACCACCTGCCCCGACTCCTGTACTGGAGTGGCCGGATTATAACACCACCCCGACCGGGGGCAACCCACTGACTACCGATCTTAACGCTCCGTATGACAAGGGTGATCTATGCTGGATGCTGGTCAGCACAGTACTGTGCTGGTAAGTGTACTATTCATTCCAAAGGCTGACAGTCAAGACACTCTAAACTAACGCTTGCAACACCAGGCAAATCACCCCAGCAATCGGCTTCCTCTACGCCGGCATGCACCGCCGCAAAGCCGCCATGACGATGATTTTCCAATCCCTCTTCTGCGCCTGTGCTGCGGGAATCCAGTTCTGGGTCTATGGCTACTCGCTGTACCAATCGCACACTTCTGGTCCTTTTATCGGCGACTTGTCTAAAGCGGGTTTGCACACTGTACTGGGCTACCCCTCGTTGGCAAATGCTGACATCCCGGATATCCTGTATGCGTGTTTCGGGTTCACGTTTGTCACTGCCACTGCGATGATTCTGGCTGGAGCGATGCTGGAGCGAGGGCGGTTGGGACCGTCGATGATTTTCTTGCTGTGCTGGACTACTTTTGTTTACTATATCCTCGCGTATGCGGAGTGGAATCCTAGCGGCTGGCTGTATCAGCTTGGTGTGCTGGATTTTGCGGGATCAGGGCCTGTTCATATTGCGTCTGGCTTCTCTGCGCTGGCGTGGGCGATTATGCTGGGCCCGCGTGTGGATCCGCATAAGGAGTCGCTGCACGCGCGCATTCCGCATTTCAGGCCTCATAGCCCGTTTTTGATTGGGTTGGGCACGATTTTTATTTGGTTTGGGTGGTTTGCGTTTAATGGTGAGTTGGGGATATCAGGTCGTTGTGTGCCATCGCCACATGCTAATAAGTGATCAAGGTGCCTCAACGGCGAATCTGTCAATCCGATCCATCTACATTGTCTGCAACACCAACCTCGCTGCTTCCGGCGGCGGCCTAGCCTGGGTCGCACTCGAATACTTGTTCACTCGCAAATTCTCCATCATCGGTTTCTGCTCCGGCATCATATCCGGTCTCGTCGGCATCACCCCAGCCTGCGGTTTCGTCCCTATCGAAACCGCTGCGTTAGTCGGCGCACTCACATCTTGCGCCTCCTTCTTCACAGTCAAGTACAAGCACCTTCTCCGCGTAGACGAAGGTCTCGACATCTTCGCCATCCATGGTATGGGCGGCTTCGTCGGCGACATCCTCACGGGCTTCTTCGCCTCAAAATCCGTGCCTGCACTTGACGGTAAAAGCAATGCCTACGAAGGGGGGTGGTGGAATCACAACTGGAAGCAAATGGGATACCAGCTTGCCGCTGCAACTACCTGCGCCGCCTGGTCTTTTGTCATTTCCATCATTTTGCTTTTCATCATCAATAAGATTCCTGGGTGCCATATCAGGGCTACCGAGGAGGAGGAGCTGAGAGGCCTTGATTACAAGTATTTTAACGATGTGGAAGAGGATTTGGTGGTGCTGAATGGGTATGGTGCGGCAAGGTTGGGAACGTCGATGTTGGGGGTGGTGAGTGGATCGGGGAGTCATCAGGATGTTCCTGTTGATGCTGGGAAGCGGGATTAAAGAGTAGATAAAACCATATTTAATTCATGCTACAAAAACCTGTGACCATTGAATCACACCCGCAAGACAACAGTTATATGCCATAAAGTCCTCCAGATCCTTTGCCGGATTAGAAGAGTTGTCTCAGGAGTGGAGTGTAGCGCAATGTTGTACAAAGAAGATGAGGGCGTGGTGCAATATTGTAAAGAGCAGATGGGTGTGTCTGGTGTAATGTTGAACAAAGAAGATGAGGGTGTGAAGCCTATGGGCAGCTCACTTCTGCCCAGAAGATTCTCCGGCCTTGAGGTTCTCTGGGCCCTGCGGGGGTCTAAGAGAAAGTGTTGAAGTAGCTTGTCCCAACAATTTGTTGTGCGAGGTTACTTCACCAACATAGTTGAACGCCGTGTTGGAGCGGTTCAACTGGGTCCAAACCGCGATGGGGAGAGAAAAGAGGAGAACTGAAGACGAAGCATCCCAGGCGCCTTCCAGCTTGATATCCATGTTCATGATTGAAGACGGCAACTGTTCTTTGAGCCATTTCTTCAACCCTTCAACGCCCTCTCTGTCGAGAGGTCCTTTGAGATGCGCCGTGAGTAGGATACGCGGACTATTTGGCTTGAGAGGTGGAACCGAAGGCGTCTTACCCTTGTACCTTCCCAAGATGATTGAGGGTATGTCATTTCGTCGACTGTAGAATGGAATGCGTTCGAGATTCAAGGCTCTACGATCCGTCATGAGCGTTTGGTAAAGGGTGGAGACCGTGAACTGCTGAGAAGATAGATAGCGGAGTTGTTGACATAGGGCCGCTGTGAAGCACGTCTTGGTGTCTGCACTGGCTGTTTCCGTGGCAGCAGCCAATAGCTCTGCATCTACATTCATGCCTTCGGCGGCATAGCAGCAGTCCAGGATGTGAAGGACATCACACTGTTCCGTACTGAGGAGTGAAGTCGCCATTTTCCAATCCAATTCTCTAGTTTTGAAGTGTCCATTATGACGCAATGCACCCCTATGAACTGTATTGGTATGATGTAAACAGAAAATGAAAGAAAGCACACAAGTTGTCAACTTACCCGAGCTTCAGAACGTACTCTGGTCCTTGAGCCGAGCCCGATGTGGACACAGGGAGAGCCTTTCCATGGCCAGCAAAGACAATGACCACAAGGCAGTCTTTTTTCGCAAAGCCCTTTGCTACCAGATCAATGAGAGCTGTCTGTATAACCGCTTGTGGATTTTCATGGTCCTTGAGCAAGAGGCGTATGGTATTGTGGAAGTCGTAGAACCTTTCGAAGACCTGTGCTAGTTCTCTTTCGAGGCCGTCACAGCCAATATCATCGTTTTTGAAATGGATGAGTATTGCAGACCTCGTTTTGTGCTGTTTGTGAACATTCTTGCCTGTTCCTGATGCGATGGCAGTCGAAAGCTCAGTCGAAATCTGAGCTTCCGACAGCTGAGATGGAGTCTGCTGTGCACGCGGGGGGTGGGGGCCGGACATTTTGTGGTTCGGCGTGGAGCAGAGGTGATGAGTCGTGGTTTGGGTTAGTGTGGGATCGCGAGCTTTATAGTTGAGGGTAATGACTGGTGTTGTACCGTAGTAAATTCAAATGCACTGGCGGTGAATCGTAGTGATATTCAGACTGGTATTGTACCGTGATTAGACTGCAAACGCGCCGGCGGTGAGGATGCGAAGAGTCATCTCCTAGGCAGACGCGAGTGTGACGGCCTGAAATGCTCAAGGGAATTGAATGATACCCGTACGAATTCAGTGCAATGATTCGAAGTCGTCAATTTCAAGAGTTTGAGTACCTATCGTGCGATCGCTATACAGGCAATCTCGCACTGGCCCCTTCCATACCTGCTCCCATCGAGACTCATACCGTCCTGGCGCTTAACACGGCACCTATCATTTTCTTTCAATAGATGGAAATCAGCGCATGGCGTCTTGTTTACGTGATCTTTCTCGTTGGCCTGTATGCTCTTTATGCCAAACCTAGTGGGGTGGGGTTCAAGCTCATTTCAAGGCGCAACAAGGTCCTTTCAAGTCCATTTATCGCGAAGTTACTCGTCAGAAGCATCTGGGTAAGCTTGGTAGCTCATCATCAACAGTTTCGGCATTTCAAATTAGTAAGGGAAGAAGAAAGGTTACGATGCCCATTACATCGCGTAAGCGGGGAACCACGGTAAGACCCGTATCAAAGCCCAGATAGTTTCAATTCTGAAACAAGGCGTCAGGAACCTTAGAAACAAGGCAGAAATCGCATGGCCACAGATCAATCTGCAAGAACATGATGAGCGCTTTGACCTGGCAACCTCATAATACACATGAACATAGGAGCGTTCTCGCATTAAGCTCGGCTCGATTATGGAGGTGTGATTGGCTCTAAGAGAATGTGCGAACAGGTTCGGAACTCAGAACCCATACTGCGTCAGAAACCCAATGTTTCAGGCAGATACAGAGTCTCGCGCTTCATTCTTCCAGGTCAAACCATTCGTAAAGTGCCCAAACTTCGAGGCGAGATGTGTCTTGCGGAGAGCGCGTGAAGCATATCTCTTAGAGCTTTTTGTCTTAGGATGCCCTCATAGATAAGAGAGATTCGTCTATAAAAGGTCATTCTTTAGGAAAGAACTCACTGGTGCACTCTTGATCTAAACCTCTAGTCACAGAACGTAGCAGTTGTCATAATTTAGTATGGAGGTGAATAGAAAACGTTGGGGAGGCTGTATGGGACTGGCAACGTATAGACGATAAATTATGGGTTATATCGGGGAGAGGGGCCTAGGAAGCACAATTCGCAACAGGGATGTTTGCCATCGCATTTGCGTATCGAGGACACCAGCTGACCGTAAGGAAAGCTCGTTCCATCCTACACATGGCTCACCACTATCGAGACCATCACATGGGCAATCGGTACAGGATCTGTATAACATGAATGCAGCAATGTGTATCTCTAGGCTTCATTTGTGGGTTTATCGAATATATTCTGGGATTATCAAATTTCTTACTAGTACTGGCGTAGACTAGGTACAGGTGAATCACTTCGGGTGAAACTCTCGCAATAGAGACATAGAGATGCCAAACAAGCCGTGACCTCTCTCGTGCGCGCCTTTGCTAGATGGTATTCGCGGTCCGTCCCATTACCCCGCGCTCGCTGTACAGCGGCAAGCGCAGCCACTGAGTCGTAGAATGTGTAGTTGGAGAAACGATCTCCGGACATATTTCGTCGCGCAGGAAGCGGTCCGAATGGGTGTACCAAGATCCGAAAGCGAATGTCGCTCGTCTTCCTATTCACCATTCTCTTCAAGGTTTGCCTCACAAACCTGTCCAAGCGCTCGGTCATGCACCCAGCCGGGGTAACGAAATCATCTTCATATCTACCAGGAAACCGCCCGATCAGAGACGTATTGTTGTACCATGTATCGAGGTAAAGGCCGATATTCTCGATCCTCTCGTTACCGTAGTTTTTGGGCCCATTTAGAAAGGTATAGAGGTGTACGCCGGCCCAGTGGAAGCTATGCGAGAGCGCGATGTATACAGGATCTATCTCAGTGCGTGTCGGACCGAGAACAATTCTTGGTAGAAGCTGATCATTGGCCTTCTGTATGGGCTTCTGTATCGAGGGATGCTTCACCTCTTCGTATATAGTCTTGTTAAGCTGTAGTATTGCGGTTGGCATTCGATATACTTCACAGCTGCAGATGCCGGGCTCGGGGAAAATGGGCTCGGGGAAAATGGGCTCGTAGGCGATGTCCGGCAGATAGCTGTAGATTTGACACCGCAGTTCGGTTGGCAATGCCATGAACGGGGAATCGCCTGCTTCTCGCATGGCGACTGAGGAATGGCCGTTGATTTGGATGAGGGCGTAGATCGTAGGGTGAGACTTTTTAAGCGCCGTTTGTGTCGTGCGTTTCCGCTCGAAAGGATGGTGGACGAAGAGGTTGGTTAAATAAGGAGCGAAAATTCCTGGCGCAATCTTATAGACTTTCATATTCTCTTTTGCGGTTTGCTCGTTCCATGTTCCCTGGTGTTGCATAAGGTTACTCTGTGGTTGCTATCGACTGCAACCCATGGTACCACGATGGCCTATCAATAACAAACCAATCGTATTTTCCGGAATGAATACCAAACATGTGCACAATAGCACTCACGAAAGAGTGATAATCCAGCCATAAGGATTGGAATCGTATCTGTGGTCAGCCCAAAGTATTTGTGCGCGAACCTGTGCACTAATCATACCAGGACCAGATCGAAGAAGCGGGAACAAACACTTCACTCCCATGGAGGCAAGTACGGACTGGAGATACGTCTGCACGTTCGCGCGCTGTGATAATTTTGGAGACTCACCCGACAGTCTTATCTGAATTTTGATGATACGTTCTAGCTTATTACAGAATACAATGGCGTTGTACGTAGCGCTTGGGAGCCCCTAGAAGCTTGGTTATTGCGATTCGTACACAGCCAGAGTGCACCATGAATGTATACGCTGAATTCTACACGAGCATATCGGAGTATATAGTGAATTCTATACCATCAAGGTAGACATTGACTTGGTTTCAGCTCAACTCAACGGTCTCTTTTGTAATCTTGTGGACTCTTTAGAGTCTTCAATAGTACCGATAGTACCTACGAGTCCCGTCAATCAAATCAAGGGCATTTTGTTGACCTTGGAGCTTCATCTGAAGCCGTGCCTGGTTCGCCCTGAGCTTCTCCTGCGCGTTGGCGGCACAACGTTGGCTTGCTTCATCGATGCGCTGCTGGACCTCCATCGGCCGTTTTGGAGGAAACACGTATCGCGGCAAGGGCCCACGCTCTGGCCAGATGTTGTACACGCGCAATGCATTGTTCAATCCAGGCACGACAAATATGTCGTCTGGGCTCGCTGCATATTCGACTGACATGAAGTCGATAAACCCGGCTAGGCTGAGGAGAGGCATACCACCATATGGCAACTGTGGCGCGTTAGGGTTGCGCACCACGACCTTGTGATCGAAGTAGAAGCCTTCGAGTGCAGCCTTGAGCTCGAAGTCGGCCATGTCCTCTTTTGCAAACATGCCACCGTTCGTGAGACCTCTCTTCCCTACGTGTTAAAACGTGAAAGGGTTAGTATTCTCTTGCACAAAGTTTGCTTGGAATTCAAAGCTTCGCTGTGCTGGAAAATGTGGCTTACAGATGTTGTCAGAATCCTTGACGCGCGAAGCCTCCAAGAAGCTTGAAAAGGCCTCTGGAGTTATGTATCCGGTGCCTCTGGGATCAAGCTTCACAAAGAACTCCTTCATCAATGCTTCAAAGGCCGGTGTGCCCTTCCCATTCGTGTAGAATAAGTGTTCAGTCCAGCCTGATGGCGGAGGTGCCGGCTGCTGGGGCGGTGGTGGGAATCCAGGTGGAGCACCGTACATGGTGAGCTGGTGGTGATAGCTTACGAAGTAGGAGTAGTTGGTAGTTGTGCCTATGCCGCGCAATAGAGATGCGACTCCAAGGAGATGAAAGGCGCCGTTTCTAGGAACCCTGAGCCAACTTTGTTCTCGTAGTTCAGCGAGAAAGAGGGGTCAGGCGGGACGGGATGGCTCCCGATATAGCCAGATACGGTGTTCAGCTGAAAAAGCCATACCAATAAAGTACCTGGCAAGCGAGTGGCGCATCTCACTACCTTTTTCCGAGGAGCGAACTCCTACCTATTCTGATCCATCCAATGTGATGTGCGGATGTTTGAGCTCTTCCGAATAACCACACGATACCGACACAGTGGAAAGCCTGCGAATGCTACATCAATTCAAAGAAGTTCACTGCAGTGAAAGGGGAGATGGTGAGTAGTCATGCAATGCCTCGCTTACCCGCTGTCAGACCTAGCGGAGCCCTTAGCGGCGGATACTTACAACGCATGACCTCTTGCAGATAAGAACGACATGGACACGCAGAGAATGAGTCTTCAAGGGCTTCTCATAGCAGGACTGTCACATGTTTGACCTGGTTCGCTGATAGTGTCTACAGTAGGCCTTGATCCTACATATTCTTTGTTTAGCAGATTCTACGGCACGCAGCCACTAGACTATATGCTTAATGTGATTGAGTATGCGCCACACCTGGATCCTACCTGAGACCCGTAGTTATGTGGGTGACCACTAGTGAATCTTCGCTGTCGTATATTTCTGACTTTGATTTTTTGCCTTTTGGTTTTTAATACGGGTCACGTGACATCGGCATGGCATTCCCGATAGGAATTCCAAATGGTGTTGATGTGATTCCTTGACTATGCGCATTCGTGCCTTGTTAGAATCGTCCGTACATACAGCATAAAGTATTGCAATTCAAACATCAACAAATGAAGTTTGGAACTATTCCAAACCATCTTACGCAAACTTTACGATATTCGTATTCATCGGGATTGATTGCGCAGATGAATGTAGGTCGCGGAACGGCCCGAGCACGTAAGGTCTAGAACACTAAAACAACATTAAATAGAATATGTCCAGTTAGAGTTGTGAGTAAAGTCTCTTCCAGCACTAACGTTCCCCATGAAGATTGCTCTTCCATTAGATGAGACGGCACTTCTATCCTGCGGTGTGTCTTGGGCCTGTGCTTGCGATTGCTCGGACACTGCACTCACTCCTTTGTTTTTGTTGATTGCTTCAATCCAGAGCCATAACTGATCACGAACTCGAATATATCCAGAGTCTAGTGAATAGGTTTAAAAAAAATCGAGTTAAATAACTGTAACGGCAACATCAATAATATTGCAAGACTCGTCTTCTATTAAGAACCTTCACTATTACTGTTCAGATAGGACTCCTGGAGCTTCAAGTCTAATAGAGCTTAACTGTGACAGGTCCTTAACATCTTAACGTAGCCAATTAGCGCAGAACTTTTTGGAACTAATTAGATCGCATTTCCTCGTGCACGAACTGCATTCTAGGACTAATTATAGTATGCAGCTTTAGCTGCGATCATACACCCTTTCTGAGGCCTGACTTTATCGTTTCCTAGGATGCCGCTTACATGACGGTAGAACAAGGCACTGCGCTAAGTATACAATGATGTTGTGTCTTCTCCAAAGACAAACAAACATGACCCTGCAACCCTCGACAACCCTACCCAGTCGTAACCACCACTAGCCCCTTCTCCAATAAAACAACTTGAGATTGCAGAACGTAAACCGCAATCCCCTGGGTCACCGAAAAACTCTAATCTGGGTACCTGTCATATAAGCCCACCGGCCGATATTACCCCGTTCTCGTAACGCACGGTGCCAATAAAGCTAATCTAACTATCCGTTCGACTACGGATCCTCGTTTACATTAATCAATGTAGCTCTGCACGGTATACTTATATTACATATGAGTAGTGAGTAGGTGTTTCATGTTTGCCCCGATTAGGGCTGTTAGCGTAGTAAAATAGGTTCATGACTGGAGTTTTTGAGAGTATTTGGGTGAGAGGAGGACTTGGCGGGGGTTGGCATTGGTAAGTAAAGGGAGTTGAGAGAAGCAGGGGAGATTGAAGTGAAGTGGGGAGTAGAGATGAGATGGACGTGAGTTGGTTGTGCTGGAGAAACTCGGGCTTGTTTTGTGGTCTTGGTAAATTGTTTGGCAAAATGCAATGATCGATCAAAATTGTGCCAAGGAATGTCATGTGATGTGTTGGCTATCACGTGTAAGAGTGTATTTGCTAGGCGAGGCATTTTGCGCCAAAGAATTTTTCTCGATAGAACACACTTCTACTTCCGGTGTTGTAGTATCAGCGGGTTCTTTGTCCAATATATTACTTTCTGCGATAGCATGCGACGCCGACGAATAGAAAAATTGTCCGGGAAAGCCACACTAAAAACAGACACGACTATTGCGTGAGTGGCGATACAGAGCTTCCCGTCCCACCAGCCTTGAGATCGCATTCTGGACAGTCGCATACTGCGGGTATGCCCTGAGAGGTCGAATCATATCCTGACTTCGATACGATTCCCGCCACACGGGTCACCCGCTCTGTTACCCGAATGCTACCCAGCCTGCTTTCTGGAAGCCTGTTTTTGTTTTGCGTGCAGTGCCAAGTGGATTCCTTCACACACGTCGCCGTCATGTCCAAGGCCAAAGGGTAAGGCGCTAACAAGACGCCGCTTCACGTCTGCAACGGCCTTGCGCAGGTGGCAGCATTGACCCGCCGCCATTGCGCAAGCGACCCAAAAATACTTACGCACTACATTCGTATTACAGCCGTCAGGCCGGCGAGTCACGATATTGCTGTCATAGGTAGCTCATGGCTCTAGTCGCGAAGCCGAAATTTTACCGGGAGGCGAGAGTCGTCATGATGAAGATTTTCTGGTATCCAAACTCTGATCTGCGATGCAACGACGGTGTTGTTAGTGCACCATCGCCAGGTTTTATTCCTGCGCTGTGCACATCGGTAGACAGGCAAGGCGATCCGGGGTCAGTTACCCTTTCTGGATACTCGAGGAACCAGAGGGGACTACGGCGGTGCTTTGCGCAAGAGCAGTATAGCTTGAGACGGGGTATGGGTAGGGTCTGCATGATCCCGAGTTTCGGAACGACTTTTCCGCTGCACATGGCAAATGCACACTAACTCGGCCGAATTGACGGAACAGCGTGCGATACGCGAACCGTGGACGTTTCGAATACTCGTTGCGAAAGATCTGGAATGATGCTGAAGAGAAGATTCAGCCGCAACGGTTTTGCCGTTAATCCCGCGTCTCTCGCGTGCTGCATGGGCCTGGCCTGACGGGTGGCTGATTGCTGCTCACCTGATACGGCATAATGCCGGGGTTGCAATGCAAGGCATGCCGCACAACGCACCACCAACATACTGTATTGCCTCTCCCGTGCTAGCAGCGCGCGGCTAACCATTTACGACTGCATCATCTGTGGATATACAATATTTCACTAAGCTAGCGCAGTGCTGACAACTCAAGCAACTTGTCCAAAGCCTAGAGTATGCGCTTGCCGACATAATCGTATTCTTGGTACCCACAGACATATCGATAGATTGTCCCAGGGTGGCCCTGAATACGGGGGGTTGGCTCCACTGACAGTGTGACATATCTTGGGTATCCGCCGTCGTCGTCTCAGGTTTTTCTTACACGATCTTCACTCCTCCCTGCTTGTCGTGTACCAGTTGTCCGATTATCCGACCATCCACTTTCGCTCCGCTTCTCGGCAAAGGGGTGTTTGGTTAATGCTCTACTCTTCTACCTAATCATTAATATCATAACGACCGTCGCTATCGAGTCTGTCGACCTTTAATATAACTCGACCACTCCCCAGAAGGGAAAGATAATTCAAATACCCGAGATCGACAACATGACATCAACACCCTCGCTCAGGCAAAGCCTTGCCGCTGCTGTCCTTGCCGCTCTTCCTCTCGCCAGTGCACAAGGCACTACTCCTCCAAAACTCACAGCCGATTGTAACAATGTAGCCATCTTCATGGCCCGTGGAAACGATGCTCCATACCACGACGGACGCACCTCACCATTTAGCGATGCTACCTGCGCAAAATTTCAGGCCAAGGGCTTCACTTGCGACTACATGGACGTCGTCTTCGATGGCACTCTTGGTGTCCCGTACTGCCCTACCATCCAGGAGGGTGCCGTCAACGGCGTCAGGCAAATCACAGAGTACAATGCCAAGTGCCCGGACACCTTGATTGTCCTCAACGGTTACTCTCAAGGTGCCATGGTCGGTGGTGCTATACTCAGTGGTGGAGGTGAGGACGCATGCGATGTTGATCCGCAGACTACCGGTCTTGACCCCAACTCCAAGGCCGGCCAGGCCCTCAAGGCGGCTCTCCTCTGGGGTGACGTCAAGCATACTGCTAATCAGCCATACAACGTGCTCGATGGTGCCGACAAGCAGGTCTGGCCGCGTACAGGTGCCAATCTTGAGCGCATGAACCGCTTCTCTTCTGTCTTGCGTTCATACTGCGCTGCCGGTGACCCGGTTTGCGCTGGTGGTACCAACGTTGCTCAGCATCTCAACTACTTTGAGTTGTACACAGATGAGTCTTCGTCATGGGTTGTCGACAAGCTTACACCGCTCTTGGTCAAGCCTTCTTCATCGTCTGTCTTGTCAAGCTCGGCTACGCCTACTCCCACGCCTACACCTTCACCTGAACCCACACCCACACCTACGCCCACCTCTGCGGCCTCTACCTCTGAGGTCAGTTCCACCGAGCCTTCTAGTACCGTAGTAGTTCCTGAGTCTTCCACTCCAGTTTCCTCGGATATCAAGTCCACCAGCACTGCAGTTATCCCCAGCCCCTCAAGCCCAAGCCCCGACTCAACTACTCTGGCTCCTCCTTCCCACGTACCTTCTACCATGGTTCCTTCCTACATCCCTTCTGCTCCTCCGGTCTCTTCCCACGTCCCCGTAACCACGGCCAACGGAACCGCTTCAACGACATGCACTGACGAGCCAGGAACAACAGCCTACCCCATAACTATCATCCCGACTTCTTCAGCGCACTATGGCAACTCGACTATCCCGGCTTCCAGCTCCATAAAGACGCCTATCAAGCCCCATGAGACGCCTTCCCTGCCTGCTGGACATGCTTCGTATCCGGCTGTTCCGGCTCCGGTTACCACAAAGGCGCCGGGATACCCTGCGCACCCGCCGGCTTGCCCACCGGCTCTCGTCTACGAGACGGTGACGGAGTACGCATACGTATATGAGAGTATGTGAAGTGGGTAGAGATGATCTAGTCGAGGGGCACTGGGGGGTCTTGAGCTAGTGGAGGAAAGCTCAAGTGGTTGTAAATAATACCTTGGATACATAGTCGCTAATGAGTATACGAACGTTTTAATGATGTTTCTTAATTATCCGTCACCTCGCTTCCACAAACTACTATGTCTCGCATTATAATTGCTTCGTCGAACCATATACATCATTACTGTACTTGTACATTATTCATATCATAACCCTAGATACCCAACGCCTTAGCAAGCGCCTCACCCACACCCGTCGCACTAGCAGGATTCTGTCCCGTAATCAGCTTGCCCGACACAACCACCTTCTCGCCCCACGGCTCCGCCGCCTTGACAAACTTGCCACCGCTCGCCTTCTGCAGCGCGTCCTCTGGCAAAAACGGCACCGCCTTCGTCAGTCCCGCTTGCTCCTCCTCCGCATTCGTAAACGCAGTGACTTCCTTGCCCGCAACCAGCAAGCTTCCATCACTCAGCTTGACATTGTAGAGTACAGCGGGTGCATGACAAACCGCCGAGACAATCTTGCCAGCCTCCCAGAACTCACGGATCAGCTGCTGCGAGGTAGCGTCGTCTGCGAGATCGAACATGGGGCCGTGGCCGCCGACGTAGAAGATAGCGTCGAACTCGCTGGCCTTGCCTATGTAATCAGAGAGTTTCTTGGTGGTCTTCCAGACTTGCTCGTCGTTCTTGAGGAAGGTGACTGAGACGTCGTCTTTGGCGGCTTCGACGGACGCGGGGTCGAGGGGCGCTTCGCCGCCCTTGGGGGAGGCGACGGTGATGTTGGCTTTGTTGCGGAGAACGTGGTAGGGGTGCGCGAGCTCGGGGAGGTACCAGCCCGTGGGCTTGCCTGTGTCGCCGAGCTTGTTGTGCGAGGTGAGGATGAAGAGGATGCTTGGCTTGGACATTGTGGATTGGATGTAGTAGTTTTTTTTTGGAGTATGAAGGTGTGGTTGTAGATGAGATTGATGTATGGTGGATGTTTTCTATTATATATTTTTTTATCTTTTGTAGAGGGTTAGTTTGTAATCTTATATCTTTTTGCACCGATAGCTCCTGGCGTCCATGTGTGACGACATGCGGGGTAGCTTTTTTTTGACAAAGGCCCGACTATGCAGGGCTGAAGGGTTGACCCACCACGACTGACGTTGAAGACCCACGCTTTCATGTGAAATGGCTGGTACCTTGGTGTCCTCTCGGCCGTACCTTTGTAGCTCATTGTACTGTTTTTTTCATCTGCTTCCTCGTTCTCTAACTATGGCTGCCCACGGAGATAGTCATAATCGTGCTTGAGAGAACGAAGAAAAGTGCGCGCAACACTACAAGTTGCGTCATTTCCATCCTACACGTATTTAATGAGCTGGTTTAGCATCCCAAACTTATAACACCGTTTTCGTCCTCAATGGCTTCTTCAACCGGAGTTTCTACTCGATCCGGCCGTCTCCGTCAAAGTTCCGCAGGCCACGAGTACGTTTCACCGCTTCTCTTCCTGTTTCTGGATCGCGCATCTTGATCAAAGTCGGCGATATGCGGCAAAAGGAGTTGTTACTGTGTTGGTCTCAATTCTAGTTACGAACGCATGTCCAGCGAAGCATCATCGAAGTTGCTCGAAACAAAAATCGGATTGATAATTAATCTTATCGCCATTTTATCTCCGGTCGGAGGTAGTGGAGCAACAACTTGTGGTTCTTGCTTGTCGGGTATGGAACCTACACAAGATATATCAGCAGAGCGTTTGTAATCTACTGTGTGTCGAGAATAAACCAAATAACGCATTGGTAATGCCTCTTACGAACTACTCCGGATTGTATTTACACTTATAACTGCAGTGTTTACTGTCAGTGGTACCTTCGCTGATGTATATTTTTCAGCCATGGGGTAAATAAAGACTAGGACGATTTTAGTGGAAGAACGTGTGTTAACATCTAATTCAAACATGGAAATAATCGAAATTCCCGTATGTATAAAGCACTGTGTCCTCTTTTCACCACATCTTTGACCAATCCTCATAGGGGCATTTAGTTAGCACCACGTTCGCCCAGACCTGAGCGTCGACGAGTTCTATACAATGTTAGTACTGTAACTGCTCATCTCGCTGAAAAGATACGTACATGGCACTAATATGCCTTCTTTTGAAGGTTCAATTCGAGTCAGTTCACTCTGCAGGAAAGGTTAGCCCAGCCCTTTCCACACACTCAGGTAATCTTTTTTCCCCCGTTTCATAACATATCCCGCAGAGCTAGGTAGCTGAAGCAGCTATATTCCCACAAGCTATTGTGTTGAAAAACTGAAGGCGGCTTACCGCATAAGTTCCTGTTAAAAATCCACCGCGACGCTGGGTAATGGATATACCTCCATACTCTAGTATGCCCGGCTCGTATTTGGTATTTAGCACTAAAAGTTATGAACAGCCAATCCCATCAACCTCAGGTGATTTTCACGCCACCTCTGATCCCGAGCCAATGACTTCGCTGAAGGATAATTCTTGGTAATCTTGGAGACTTGCCTTAGTTTCCAATGGAAAGAAGCTTTAAACGCAAAGGCTTGCAGCTATTTTCCCTGCGAAAATCATCGGAGAGAAATGAGGAAAAGCTTTAGGTTAAGCTTCGACTCTCCGCATCTTTGGGTCTGTCACTGCCGCATTGCTGAAGCATCATTCGTGGGGGTAAAAATACTTAGCTGTGTGGCCGGGAAATTCCACCAACACTTACTGACGATTGTTGTTACTGTCCTAATGACAATGGGACAACAACTCGAATATGCTTTTTTGCTACTTCAGGCAAACTCAAGGCAAATGAGGTACGTTCTTGATGGGGCGGCTCGGCACACTCATGTGCTAGCATCCCCCTAACAACCTCTGCGATTAACTTTTTTCAAATCTGCCAAGCAATCGATCTTTCACCGATAATTTGTGGTGCTGGAACGAACTCGGTGAACTATCGCCCGAGGTAAACACGCATATGCAGCACCGCATCGGAAACTGAAGGCTGAAAGAACGTACCAAACGCGAGAGGGAACAATCCAATCCCTCCCATCACTCCGACTACCCTCTCATCATGCATTTCTCGCAAACAGAGTTCAGACCCCCCCGAGCCAAAGCTATCAGCACCAGGCGGCTGACGAATACAAGTTATGCTGATGAATGCACGTGCACGGCGCTACAATCATGACTGGGTTCCGATCAGGATTGGACGAATCCGATACGATCATTTGGAAATAGACTTCACTATTACATGGTACCTCGCAGCCTGAGACAACAGCATTTCATCATCACTGGAAGTGGCTGCAATGCTAAGTCATGAGTGGCAGGTGACGGGTGGCGGGGGGCTCCGTTCTGGGCGCCAAGTCGCCCAGACTCCACGCGGCTGACTTGAAGCCATTCCCTCCTGAATTTCTTGGGCTTTTTTTCGTATCGATTGGCGGGGCATGACGGGATTTCGAACAGATTCCAAGGACGACAGTCCCACATGGGGCTCCAAAGATAGGGTTGGAGTGTAGCTTGGCTTTGTTCGCGATTCCATTCATTGCTTGGCCTCGGTTATCGGGCGTCTAACAGTGGCAATGGATGTTCGGCCAAGGCCCTCCTGACATCTTCAGGTTTCAAGCCGGGTCGAGGAGAGCCTTCTGTGGGCAAAGCTGGAGATACGAAGTAACAGAGTGCAGCAACCAATAAGCAGGGGAAGTTGAGGCCGTTCCTTCTGAATTCCTTCTGACTTAACCTGTAGCTTGCCCACTCTTCTTATTCTCTTCCACTTGCTTGTCTGTTCTAATTCATCTTTTTGTGCGTGTGTGCGGCTGGTCTGCTGTTTATCTTTTCTTCTCCCGCCGGTCGTCCCCTTTTTTCCACGCTACTTACTCATCCATCTTCATAACCCCAAAACGTATGACTTCTCTGTAGAACCGTATCTTTCATCTTCCAGAATTCTCCAGGCGGGCAATCATGCCGACTCTCGATGTCAGCGAACTTAATATTGTCGTCGCCGTTCTGGGTACGCCTTCCTCCCCCCTCTCTGACACACCTGCTCCCTCAAGCATCAAGTAACACAATTCCACTGCAGGTGCCTTCATTGTTAGCTATGGCTTCTTTTCTGTCAAAATCAAACAAGTCTGGTACTTAGGTGAAGCTCGTAAGTCAGCAGATCTTCAGTACACCCAGGTGTGCTACCATGAAAGCCTCTGCTCACATACTCAGTGCCCGCCGTTCTCATCGGCATCATCCTGGGCCCGATAGCTGCCAGATTCCTCGATGCAGAGAAATGGGGTTCTGCTGCAGAGGGCCAGCAAGAAGCCATCACACTGGTAGGTGCACAGCTACAAGAAGGTGTTTTTTTATGAATCCCACTCATCTCCACATAGGGCATGTGCCGCGTCGTCATCGGTGTCCAGCTTGTCATTGCCGGCTTCCAGCTTCCCGCCAAGTACCAACAAACCCGATGGAAAGAGATGGTGATATGCCTTCTCCCAGTCATGGCAACCATGTGGATATGCACAAGTTTGTGCATTTTGATCACCGTCCCTAAGATATCCTTCTTGGCTGCGCTGGTCATCGGATCCTGTGTCACTTGTACCGATCCCATCTTGTCTCAAGCCGTGGCCAAAGGTCCCTTTGCCGACAAATTCGTTCCTCGTGCGCTTCGAGAAATCATCTCGTCAGAAGCAGGTTGCAATGACGGGTTCGGGTTTCCGTTTCTTCTATTGGCCACTTACCTGATTCGCCATGCTGACCTCGAGGGCGTCGATTTCAAGGAAGGCATTGCCTCGGGCGCAAGCGAGATTGCCCACCGCGCAGTTAACATGCTCACCAGGCGCAGCGAAGCTGGCGTTGGCCGTCTAGGTGGAGGTATACCTATGGCCATGGAGCAATGGATTGTAGAAGGATGGCTGTACATAATCGCCTTGGCTGTCGCCATTGGAGTGATTGTCGGGGCTGCCAGCATGTTTGCCATCCGATTCAGTCTCCGTAGGAAGTGGATAGACACCGAGAGTCTCTTGCTTTGGCCTATGGCAGTCGGTCTGTTCCTCATTGGTATCTGCGGTGCGCTTGGCACGGACGACCTCCTTGCTTGCTTTGTCGCCGGTAACGTCATGAACTGGAATGGCCTCTACCTCGAGGAGACCGAGAAACGCCATGACGAAGTCAACAGCTGCTTCGACGTCGTCCTCAACTTTGGCGGTTTTATGTATATTGGTACAATCATCCCCTGGAGAGAGTTCCAGCTTCCAGATGTCACTGGTATTACTGTTGGAAGGCTCATGATTCTCGGATTTCTGGTCCTTGCTTTCCGTCGTATTCCTGCCATATTCATGGTTTACAAGGTTATGCCCGGAGTTATCAAGGACTGGAAGGAGGCGCTGTTCATGGGATATTTTGGGCCCATTGGTGAGTTGACTTTGTATATCAAGAAGGAATTCAACTGACACACCTTAGGTATTGGAGCCGTCTTCTACGTCGAGCACACACGTCATCTGTTCCCCAAGCCTGGAGAGGCTGAGACAGAAGAGGAAGAGAACCTCCTGGCCGCCATGATCCCCATCGTCTACTTCCTCGTCATCTTCTCCATTGTGGTCCACGGTCTATCCATCCCAGCCCTTGATGCATTCTACCGCTACAAGAAAATCCCACCGATTTCTGAAGCTGAACCAGCTGAGGTTCGCGCTCTCTCAGTCCATGAAGCGCTGCCGAACAATGCCAGCATAAGCACAAAACGCAACTCTATCTACGTACACAACCGCTTCTCCAGGCCTGTTTCTACAGGTCCTGGCCCAGAATTGTACAGGTGGAATAGTCAGGCAAGGGACAGCGATGTCACGTACAGGGCTTCTTCACAACCACAAGGCGAGAACTATGCTCAGAAGCTGCAAAACATTCGATTTGCAGAAGACTATGCCCATGAGAAAGCCAACATGGGTTAAGGATATGGTGCTAGACTGACAAAGAGGGTTGGAGGGGGAGATACGAGGGGATGTTGGGTCATCCCGGTGTTCTAGCAGCTGCTTCCACGGCGATTATCTACCATCATTATTACGCGACATGCCACTCATTAAGTATTCTATCGTTAAATAGACAGACACATAAATGCACAGTTGTAGAAGTATACAGACATGTATTGTTAATGATGTGACATAAAATCGTTCCTCGCTACCCATTTTCATCATAATGCGAGTACTGGACAGGGTCATTAACCATCGCGAAAAAAAAAAAATTAGAAAATCTGGCGAACAAGAAAAGTCATAACTAACAGACCAGTACCCAAGGCATCTCATACAATCACCCGTCTTTTCCTTTCCTTGTGCTCTTTCCTTTCATCCAACATGCCCAGATATGATTGTCAGACGCCCCTGACATGTCGTTGAGCACGAAACATGCCAAGGGCGCTGCGGCTCTGTTGCCAAGTGCGCCACCGCTCTATCCGTGCCGTTTTATCCGCTCAGTCCTATCGCTTGCCTTCCGCTCCACCCTTTCCCAGCCTTGATCTTCATTTTCATTTCAACGGGCTTTGCCGTTTGCTCCTGCATAGAAGATACGCCGAACTGCTTGTGTATCAGGTTTGTCTTGTACATCCTGCTGACGTAGTGCGAGGAACATGGGGTAGGTGGATGCTCGCAGTGTGAGAGGAATTTACGTAGGGAACGTGCATTGGCTCTTGGCGCTCCGCACTGCTCGGTAATGTAGCGGAACGATGAGTAGTGGAAGGAGATAGAAAAATGTTCAAGATCGCGACATCGGATTTTTTTCCATTTCCGTCTGCTTTCATATCTCTCTCCTGCATAAACCGTGAGCTTCTTTTTCATTTAATAGTTTGTTCAAAATTGAAATCCTTGACTAGAGATTGAGGAAAATAATCCGGAGTTATTACCATGACAAGCGGTGTCATGACGAAGACCATCTAACAACACCAACATGTGTTTAGAAGACTGTACATTGATCTTTTAGTCAAAAATGACATGGCCTTGTATGGATGACTGAAGACAGGTGATCTCTAAGCGATTTGCGGGTTCGGAATTTCCAGGCAACTCAATTGCGATTGAATGAATTGGCTACGATACGGTTTTGAAGAAAATCGATATCGTGATCTCCTTTGCAAGTCGTGCTGTCGTTGGTTGTCTGTCGACTCAATTGTGTGTATAGCAAGAGTGAATACAAGGCCTTCAGACTGTATATATATATATTTTTTCAAGATCATAAATTCCCCTAACCCTCTTTTCCTCTCTCATGACTGACTTATCAATTCATCCGATGATTGTGCATTTCAGAAGTAGGTAGTTCTGCCGCGTCCCTATCCGCAGGTACCTCTGCGATAGGTCTAGTGGCTCCTCCATACTTTTCTGATACTGGTGCTTCCGCATATTCTCGGTTCGCGTTCATTTCTACTGTATGAAGGTTTGCATATGTGGGTGATGCGTCGAATGAGTTCGCTGCTTCGTAGGGGTTGCGCCTGCCGTTCTTTCTCCGTCTCCATAGGAAAAAGCTAGCAAAGCCAAGGAGAGCTAGACTACCAATGACTCCACCTACAATACCTCCTATAGCACCGCCAGATATTTCTGAACTATCATTCTCAGCAGGAGCTGAAGTGGATCGCGATTGGCTAACCGAAGAAACAGCGGTCTCTGAGGAACTGGCTGTGGAAGTTGTGACAGTTATGAGTGAGGCGGTAGAAGCCGAGATTGGCGTACTTGAGGTCGCCGATGATGAAGCAGTAGTGGTAGATGTCGGTTTTTCTAGATCAAGAAGCTTGACGGGGTATGAAGCTGCAGACGGGCTAGCTGACACAAGAGATTGCGCGGTCTCATTCACAGCACTTGCATTCAGCGAAGCGAGCGGGTTGACCAGGCTACTCCAGCAAATGTTGACTTGATTTAGTGTCTCGGTGCAGATCTCACTAATTCATATTAGTTCTGTGTGAAATGCTGGTGACTGAGTAGGAAATTGTTGGCTGACCTGGACTTCAAACAGCAAAAGGCATTAATACCAGATCCACACGAACGCTGGTTGCCTGCAGGTGTCGTGCGGTCTCCTCCATCACAACGCTCACTGGGTCCCCAGCAAACCGCATCCTTAGAACCAGGAATACAACAGTAGTGTTTGAACGTTCGTTCATCAAACGAGCAAATGGCAGGAGGGACGCATTCGAATGGTGAACCGGGACACGTCCTCAGTGCGCTGGAGCTCCCATTGTTGCCTGCGAAGAAGAAGTCGGTGAATGCGGCGTGCACTGGTAACAAGTGAAGAAATACAAGGTATGTAGTTGAGAATGTGATCGTGTGCATTTTGTGATACGGTTACTGTAGGGCTCTGAAGTGGGTTTGTTGAAGGGCCTTAGACGCGTCAGTGACAGCCAGCGATGCCGAAAAGCACATCGAGAGGGTTCGTGATTTGAATCGTTCATAGTGGAGATATCAGGACTCCCACGATCTTGGTAAATCTCCGATATGCAGCCGTAAACCCGTCTGTAATAGCCAATCAAACGAAATAGATATTGCTACAATTCGCCGATATTTGAGGTAACCGTATAACGATTAGAACGCTGACCATCCCTCTATGAGCTTTCTAACCATACCTTTTGAGGCGAGAGGCGAAGGATAAATAACCACGCAATAACAAGTTGGACGACTACGCAGTAAGTAGGGATACTCTCTAGTGCGACGCTATCTATCTCTAGATTAGCTAGATATGTAATATTACCCCTATCATATCTAGCGCTGTAATTCAAATCCCTTTTTCACTCTCTATTCTGTTTCATCGTAAATTTCTCTTTTATTTCTATCTCTCTTTTTGTTCTCGATCTTTGCTTTTATGCTCTTGCTGTTTTTCTTTCAAAAAAAACAGTAAAGAAAAAGAAGTAAGAAGAGATGTAAGAAAGAAAGGAGATAAAGAAAAAAGAGAGATTAAGAGAGTCAACTTGGCAGAGTTTGAGGAATTGTTCTAACGGTGAACTGAAATGGTGCACTGAATGTGCAGGTTGTTGATACCAGGGGTGATTAAGGCCCTTTTAGAGGGCATGGCACGTAGGAGTGTGTCGCGCGAGACGGGTGCTTGTATGCGTGAAGTACCCCTGTAAGCCTTTCTCGGCCTCCGTCTCTACTCAGTTTCGGCCTTGAGTTGGTTGCCTAGTTTTGGGTATGTTAACAACCAATATTTCGGCTTGCTCTCTATTATATCCTCGTAAAAAAGCACGAACAACCGTATTTGGGAAGCGTGTCGAGTCCCATCCTGAAATGTCGGACCCCGCTGTTAGAAGTGCAAAAGGTTGAATGATACCAGCCGTATTTAAGGGCATGACACTATGCTTTCAAGCCAGGTGGTCGTCCTCTCCGGCCAATAAACTCACATTTTCTTGTCTTTGTTCACTTCTATAAAAAGAAAATATATCTTCCAAGATAGCGTGTATACAAGGGAAAAAAAGTAGATACGGAAGAGTCTCGTTGTCCACAGATATTATCGACATACTATGAATCCGGAAGATGGCCACAGAGTAATTGCACTGGGCAAAAACAAGATAAAATTATAAAGCACCTTGTGCTACACTGACATACATAAGTGACTACATACTAAAAGCGCAGTAAGAAACAGAAGGTAATGATGTCACACCCCGTGTTCGCGCGTCAAACGACGCGTCGCCCGATCACCTCCACCATACAGCGATGCTCAAACACTCCGTCCACAATACCCTCTGCATATCATCGAGATCTCGAATATACTTGCATCAAAGTGGTGTGAGGATATAAATCGTACATGGCCGACATCTGCACATATGATTCATCATGACATCAACACCAAATACTAGTGTGGATACGTTGTTAGCATGACATTCTAATACCAAATACATCATACTTTAAATACACGACAATCCCATCTGCAAAGAGATTCTGTTATTCTAATCAATCAAAGATCCTCTAAGATCAAATCACGCACCTCAATTCCTCGAGTCTCACCAACCAAACCACCACTTGTTCCCACCAAATTCTCCAACATGCCTCGTATGGTCGCACCTCCGCCATCAGGCGAATTCCAAATCGTCCTTACTAAGCCCTTCAACGGTACGTCAAATTTATCATTTGCAAACATCATTCCAATGTACTCACCAAAACCAAACTTCAGGCGCCCCAACACACATGATCGAGGTAATCGGTGAACCCAACCGCTCCGCCAGCATCCGCCTGTCCAACTACAACGGCAACAGCAAGTCGTCCGAGAAAAAGGGCGACGTGCCCCAGTAAGCCCTCTTCCTTCCCCTTTCTCACCCATTTACCAAATCTAACTCTAACCCCCTTTCCCTCCACGCAGGGATGACGTCCGCGAACTCATGTCTCTCGTCTCCACACTCCGTGGCTTCCCCTCGCACCCGAGCAAAGACATCTACGGGCTAGATACCAAGGTTGATTTCAACACAATGGAAATCCAATGGGCAAACCAGGATGAGGATCCCGCGATGGAAGGGGGTGAGGTAGCGGGGGAGCAGAAGGATGAGTTTAAGAGGATTGCGGAGAGTATTGAGGCGTTGGCGAGGCAGTTTGCTAAGCAGGATTCGGCGGTGTAGAGGTGAGGTTATGATCAAATGATATGATGAATGAATGAATGAAAGTAATATTCGAATTTGATGAGGAATGCGAGACAGTCGTTGCGCTATGGAAGATAAGTGATGTTGAGCTAGTTGACTCGATCGCATTGACGGAGATATATCAGCTATTCACGATAGGGGAAAAAGACGATATTCGATCAAAGACGTTCACCAACAGATCACACTGCACCCAGTGACAAACATCATGTTATTCATCAAATATCCGACGCTCTGACAAGCTTCATTTCGAACAAAACAACCATTATTCAATCATATCTGCATATAATCGTACCAACACATCTAGATCTTGTACACAATACCGCCAGAATACATAATCTTGTTCCTCTCACTAAGCGCCTCGAGCGCCTTCTCTGCTTCGCCTTGTCCAAATGGCTCCCTTCCACTGCCGCCACCTAGTCTCGCGTTCACTGCAGCGACAAGAGGTTCCACATCTGCAGCATCATTGGCAAACAAGGGGCCGTCGATGAGTTGACCAAGTGCTGTTTGGAAGACTTGTAGACGTGCAGGAGTAATCTCCTGGGACTCTTGGGACTCGGGTTGAGTAGGGGGAAGCTGAGATTCGGGTCGTGATGAGGCAACGCTGAATTGTGACGAGGGTTCACCTCGGGTAGACTGCGAGCGGTTGGTGGTACGTTGCGTTTTTGGTGTAACCTTGTACAGATCTTCGTTCGCTTCTTCATCATCGTCGTCTTCACCGTCTCCTGCAGCGGGAGTGCGTGTTGTACCTGTCTGCTGGCTTCTAGTAGATGGTCCGCCGGCCCGTCGGGACTGTGTAGCCTCTGCTTCATCACCGTCATCTTCATCGCCTGATGACCCTTCGTCTGTGGACATGGCGTCTGGGTCGCGGGCTGTGCGTCTTCGTTTGCGACGATCATCCTCGACAACTTCCTTGAACAGAGCGAACCGTAGAATTTGCTCTGCAACATCGGCATCTTTCCGCTCAACTCGCTTCGATAGACGTGCTTTTGCGTGCGCAGTAGAAAGACGGATGAGTGTTTCAAGAGTACGTGCAGTGATGGGAGAAGTACGGCGGGTGCCTGCATCAAGCTCGTCGTTACGAAGCGCAGAGTAGACACTCACAATGTGATCTGCAGCACCCTTGGTGAGGATGGGCTTCTCACGCTTGGCATACTGGATGTACTTCTTGATGAAAGGGATACTGAGGACTTCGGTCCTCCGCGAAGCACCCCTTCCTACAGTAATGGTAACTCCAGAGTGTAACATAGGGTTGAACTTTTCGTAAACTTCGGTTGGACGGTTGGCGTCGCCTTCAGTCTCAAGACCAACGCCTAGAAGCTGAGCACCCTCCTCACGAACAGGCGCGCCCTCCTCAGTACCAGGCTGGCGATATCGATGCATGCGAAGGACGTGCTCAGACACCTGCCTGTCTCGAGCGTCCTCGATGTCATCTGTAACGACAAACAGCAAATCGAAACGCGAAAGGAGGGAGTCTGGCAAGGCAATGTTGCGGTGCGGATCTTTGTGGATATCGTACTGTCCAAATATAGGGTTGGCAGCAGCAACCACACTGCAACGAGCGTTGAGCGACGTGTGAATACCTGCTTTGGCAATGGTGACAGTTTGTTGTTCCATGACTTCGTGAATCGCGACTCGGTCGACATCGGACATTTTGTCAAATTCATCGATACAGACCACGCCACGATCTGCAAGGACCATGGCACCAGCTTCCAGTCGTCGCTCGCCTGTTTCTTTGTCTGAAGTAACAGCTGCTGTGAGACCGACACCAGAAGATCCACGACCGGTTGTGGCAATGGCAAGAGGGGCCGTATTCAGCACGAACCGAAGCAGCTGTGACTTGGCCGTAGAAGGGTCACCAACCATTAAAATGTTGATATCTCCTCTCAGATGGGTACCATTTTCCAGGTTCTTCTCTTGTCCTCCAAGGAGGAGGAGCAGTATGGCCTTTTTGATGTAGTCGTGTCCGTATATGGAAGGAGCAAGCGATTGTGATAGAAGCTCGAATACACGCCTGTTCTTCGCAATCTTATTGATATTGCGGATGTCTGTGTCAGTGATGTTGACCTGGGCAATCCCTCCACCCGATTTGGAGGATAGCAAGATTATGTTGTTTGCGAGGATTAGTGTGCGGAAAGTCGAACTGCCTGCTCCCGCGTTACGGTTACCGAGCGACCGGTAGATACCGACTAGCTGGATACGGTCGCCGGGCTTGACTCGATCTACAAGGTCGTCGTCCAGAATGACATCGACAGATCGTGGCAACTGTCCAGCAGGGGCACGCTCAGGCATTTCTTGGATGGATATGGTCTGGTGATCGCGGTAGATGCAGTAGCCGTACTCAGTAACAAGGGGATTGCCCTCTTCGTCTTCTGTAGGGTATACGCTTGTGCTTGCAGCGCCCGTCGTCATGGTCTGGTCTCTGTACTCTCTCGCATGAAACCTTTGCTTGGCCTCGTTGTAATGCACACTCTTGATCACTTTTGGGCGGACAAGAGAGGTCTTAGTAACAATTCCTTCGAGCGAAACCATGTGGTTGAGCTGATTGGAGCCGAGGGTACGCGGGTTGCAAGAGAACTCGCCGAAGCTGCCGACGTAGGCACAATAGTACATGACGTCCTCACCAGTCTCCGACTTGGGTCGATCTGCGAATGTGCGGATAACATCTTTGAGGGCGCGGTCAAAGGCTTCTGCGAATTCGAAGGGATGATTGAGGAGGCCGTCGGCGAGTTCACGGTCGTGCGTACGAATTTCGTCTATGCTGACCTGAATGCTGTTAACATGCAAAATCTTAGTCCCGGGCTTTGTCTCACTTACAGTGAGTCTTCGCTGTCCCCTGTTGAGCATCACCAGAATGTCTGGTCGGTAGCTGTAGAGGTAGCGGTCAGCGGCCGCAAACCTGGTGAGCAAGCAATTGCAGCATACCTTCTCCTGGACACATCATCTGCATTTGTGTGAGCATTAGGGCTATATTGAGGATCTGTTCAACGTACCAGGGTCAAGAAACTCCTGTGCAAGTCGCACGCGCCGGCGCACCTCTTCGTCCCTAATGACTTCGGCCATGTTGTTTGTTGTGCTTGAAGGATCAGACGAATATAGTAGTGGAGAGGCGCACAATCGTGTATGCTGGCCTAGACTGAGCCAGAGAGTATCTCACCTGGCGGCTGTCTCAACTGTCTATTGTTTTGCGCTGTTACCCCAGTGAAGTTACGAGGGGCAGATTCAGCCAGGGAAAGCGCGATCGCGTCCACGCTAGTCCGTTTCCGTCACGCGTGTCCCGTCTCATTATCTCTCCTCTTCCAGCCTAGCACTCAGCATCCGCTCATCCGCTCACCTTCACATACACATCCATGTTCAAGTATGGTCTGCGGCCCATCCCTTTGGTATTATGGATATTCTGTCGCTTATCAGTCTGCTTCAAATAGATGAGAGTCGTTATCGCATGCAAGCTAACATCAACTCTCATGCAACAATTTTCCAATTGAAAAGCTGCATCTTCTCTTTGATCTTGCTCACTCGCACTCTCTAGTTTATCGTGCCTTTTAGTTGTCAAGGCCATCTTCATCCTGATGCCAATCCATCGGCATGGTCGACACTATGTCACTGACAAGGCGTTTCTGATGCTGCATAGGACTAAGCTAAACACCAACTAGCTAGCCCCGCCAACATCATTGGCGCCCTCTATACAGACTGACGTAATAGCTCATAGCAATTGACTGACTCCAGATATCCTCCAACCCTTCAATTGGACTCACCAAGATCATTGCTCAACACCAGCAGCATGGCCCCTCGCGTGTTCCTCATCACTGGCTGTTCAACCGGATTCGGTGAAGAGCTCGTCAAAGTCGTTCTCGAAAAGGGCGATTACGTCGTTGCTACCGCACGCAACTCCTCCAAACTATCTTTCGAGAATGCAAATGACTCCAACAGCTTGCTTGTAGATCTCGACGTGACCAAAAAGGATTCCATTGACAAGGCTTTTGACACTGCAATCACCAAGTTCAAGCGTGTTGATGTGGTCGTCAACAATGCTGGATATGGCTTAATGGGCCCATTTGAGACGTTGTCAGAGAAGCAGATTAAGCAACAGATGGAAATCAACTTCTTCGGTCTGATTGACGTGACGAGGAAGGCGATGGAGACCATGCGCGAATTAAAGACTGGAGGCGTCATCCAGCAGGTTACCTCTATTGGTGGCCAGATTGGTCGGTACATTACTACCCATACAGTTAGGGCTACAACTGATGGAATTTAGGTGTTCCCAATTTCTCCATTTACTGTGCTAGTAAATGGGCGGTTGAGGGTTTCACGGAAGCCATTTCCAAAGAAGTGAAGCCAGAATGGGGAATCAAGTTTACATGTATCGAGCCAGGGTAAGTCTCTGGTACACAAAATAGTTGTGAGACACGAGCTAAATCCCATGCCTTCACCTTTACAGCGGCTTCCGAACAGATTGGTCCGGCCGTAGTATGGACTTTGGCGAAATCGCACGCCCAGCCTACACCCATGTCGATCCGAAGAAGCTAGCCCAAGCGCGCCATGGAAACCAACCAGGAGGTGAGTTAGCAAGCGTATTTCGACTTAACTGGATACTTACAAATCATGTGCAGACCCAGCAAAAGGTGCAAAGGTCTTCTACGACTTAGCAATCATGGACGATCCGCCTCTACGATGCGTCGTTGGTACTGACGCATATAGCATGATCACCAAAAAGGTAGAGACGTACAGTGAAAGCATCAAGAAGTTTGACAAGTGGAGCAACAGCACAGATGTCGATGGATACAAAGCGCCTAGCTAAATCCTGATGACGAAGTGCCCAAGAACAGTATGGTCCACACGAGATGGAGATGGAGCAGCGGCGAATATCCATGTTACGCGCAAGCACAGCTGGAGCCGAATCACAAGATCTGTCCAATGACGTTTCCCACAATTATGGTTTTTCTTGCAGCCTCCGCCTGTCATACTGATATTGCAGAAGCATGAGCCGTTTTTGAACCGTTGAGTGGCTGTGGGTCAGAATACGCCTCCAGAGCCACATGTTTTCTATTTGGTGATGTGAAATCTAGATGGGGACGTTTGGTTGCAAGGCTGCTTATGGTCACACAAGTATGATGTGGTAGCTGTCGACACGTTGCGCCCGATCTACGGAGCCGACTTGCCCTCGAAATGCAAATACAACGCATGGTCAACGACCAACAGTGCCTTGTTCAGGACTTTCAGGTCAACAGTCATCATGTGCCAGTAATTAGGAGCCAACAAAACGCATCGCTCCGTTTTAGGGTCAATCGGATATCAGTAGCGATTTGCTACAGCAAGTTGTGCGACGTCTCACAGAAAGCTTCTCTACGATTTCAGTCCACCAAATACGATGCACGTGGCAACGGCAACACAGTCAGTGCAAGGCTAAGTACTAATGGCGATCACTGACATCACTGGGATAACTCAAGCAGCAAAGGCGCTAATCAAATCGTAGCGACATTAAAATAGCGGCAATTTTCGTGTCTGAACCCGGACATAGCATTACCGAGTTTGTATTCTATCAAGTAAGACCCCTAGTCATTCGGAACAGACGTAGAGTCGGCCCTGTTGCACGACTCTTCAATATGTCACCCAGCGTGGGTTGCTATCGGAAGCCTAGCTTGCTTTACTGCCATATCCTTACCGATGCAAATATGAAGCCAGTATGGAGATACCACAAATGGTCTTCTAGCTCCTGCTTGGTCTAGGCAGGCAAGTCGTCTGACCGGCTTGAACATGTTGGCTTGGACAGTTTTCAAACATTCACAGGCTAGTCTAAATGCCCGCACAAACCCGCGGCCAACCGACCTACATGATCATTACACAGGCTTTGCAGCTAAGTTCAAGTACGATAATCAAGATTGTCACAACAGAATTCGCCGCTGATTACATCGTGAAGGTAGAGCAGAAGCCTCGACGTCAGCCGCCAGTCATGGTCACAAACGAGGAGAGCTCAAGGCCGAGTTTTTGCGCATGACCGCTGATGTGGTTCTCTTCTCGGTACCATATAAACTGCAGTCGACCTGCTTAAAGTCTGGAAAAGCGCTGCTGAAAACTGAGTGAAAAACACTGCTATCCGCGATAAAGAGAGGATTTACAACTATGATTCAGGACTCTGGCCCGGCAAGATTTATGACTGCTCTACTTAGCGCCTTCTTCATTACTAGCGCTACCTTTTTACCATTCGTTGTGAAGAGCACAGTTGCAAGCCCGCTTGCAATACCACAACCGAATCCTTATGCTGGGCCGGAGCCTCGTCCTCTGCCAAACCCACAAGCAGGTCTTCCACTAGTAGATGGACTCTATCCCGATCCCGAACCATGTCGGGGAAATTGTTCGTGGATCCACGACCCCAGCATCTGGTATGAAGATGGAACTTATTGGCGGTTTTCAACTAGCGGCAACATTGCCGTTGCTACAGCGCCCTCGCTCGGGGGACCATGGCGCTACGAAGGTGCGCTGTTACAAAACGGCACTAGTATACTTGTGGTTGATGGACAGGATATCTGGGTAAGTGCAGTGTCTGGTACTTGACAAGAATTTGTAATCGAAACCTTTTCTCATGATGGTATGCAGGCACCCTCCGTGACCAAGCGAGGCGACACGTACTACTGTCACTACTCAGTTTCCAGATTTGGACTTCAAAACTCATTGATTGGAGTTGCTACCTCACGCTCGCTCGAACCAGGTAGCTGGCAAGATCACGGGAGTGTCGGCCTCCCTCTATCGCACAAGTACAACCTGATTGATCCTTTTGTTTTCCAAGAAACACCAGGCAGTCCCATCTTCTTCACCTTTGGCTCGTTCTGGCAGGACATTTTCCAAGTCGAGCTTTTTCCCGACGACGATATAACAGCATTTGGGGACTGGGCTTATCAGAATGGACGCATCATCAACATTATACGAAATGACACAAAGAACGCGCTGGTAGTTGAAGGCGCCATCATGTACAAGGAGAAGGATTTCTACTACTTATTCTACAGTGTTGGTCACTGTTGCCGTACACCAGAGACAGGCCTCGCTTCCGACAACCAGGTTTACCATGTTGTCGTATGCCGCTCAGAGACGCCCAAGGGTCCATTTTATGATCGCAGTGGCAGGAGCTGTTTAGAGGCGAACGGTGGGACAACGATTCTGGCCAGCCACGGAGATGTATATGCACCGGGCGGGCAGGGCGTCATGGTGCACCCGGAGAATGGGAGGACCGTCATGTATTATCACTATGGTAAAGTCGATGATCAGTCAAGTATACTTGATGATGGCTGACCATTGTTTTAGTTCGTCCAAGTGTTGGCTACGGGGCTAACGATTTCTTCTTTGGATACAACTATCTCGACTGGGAGGATGGTTGGCCTGTGGTAGCGGTTGCTTGAAGACTTGATGTATTGGCTTCCTCAAAGCTCTCGGCGGCTCTCCGGTTGTTGATCAAAGAGGCAATATTTGTCAAGCGGTTTCTTTTCTGTATTTCACGTGGCATGGACTTTGTTGATAAAGCCATACCTATAAGGTTCCTCTGTACTCGTAAGCCCTGCAAGGGTCTGTTTCATGGAGGGTAAGTATGTATGTATGTATGTAGATGTATCAACAGTTTTGAGATGATCTGAGGTTCCGGCAATGTTCTAAACGGCAATGTCAGCGTGTGATTCGGTAAAAAGCAGAAAAATCTGCTAACATCGATGATGCCGAATTGGTGGGTAGCTCTAACAAGCAATGGATGATGATACGAGGAGGGGCATGTGTAGCGCGTCGCAATGGGGCATAGCGGGGAGTGACGTCAGTAGTTCCTGTTGTGCCGAAGGAACGCATCACCCCTGCACCCTGTCCCCAATACTGTGCGCGCTTGCTATGTGCAGGATGAGGATGATTACATACAGGTTTGTTCACTTTGACGGCCCAATAAGTACAAGACGTCCCCATATGGCTGATGCCTGCTCCACCGCCTCTGCCACGCGCCTCATTCCTCAGCCTCCCCCTCCACTCGCCTCTCTTCCAAACCTCACCATTGCCATTGCTACGCCACGCCATTGCAGGTCGCTGATCATTGATCATTGATCATTGATCGCTACGCACTGCTGGCAACATGTCTAAAGAAAAGGGCCTTAAGAAGCTCTTCCATCCTTTCGACCACCGCCTTTCGGAAAAGGTCGAGGAAATTGAGCAAAAGCTTGAGCACACCAAGCTGCGAGGCGCACATATCAAAGCTGTACACCTCAAGCACAAGGTTGGAAAGTTCAGCAACCTCTTCAACACCAACCATCGCCATGACGAGGATCACGAGAAAGCAACCGACGCCAAGAGGAGCAAGATCGCCGAGAGCCATCGCTTCAACAGCTTTGCGCCCGAAAGAGACGGCAACCTGGTGAAGTGGTACGTCGACGGCCGAGACTACTTCTGGGCCGTTGCCGAGGCTTTGGAAAAGGCCCAGGAGACCATCTACATTGCGGATTGGTGGCTAAGCCCAGAGCTATTCTTGAAGCGGCCGCCTTACTACAATCAGCAATTCAGGTTGGATCAAATTCTCAAGCGACGCGCCCAGGCTGGCGTCAAGATTTACATTTCCGTGTACAAGGAGGTAAGCATGGGTATGCCTGCCGTGCGTCCAGCTACTCACTCACCGTATAGGTTTCTGCTGCTCTCACCTGCAACAGTCAGCATACCAAAAAGGCCCTCATGGGTCTTATCAAAGAGGGTGAACCTGGTTACGGGAACATCAAGGTAATGCGACACCCTGACCACAACGTCTTTGAGAATGCCGCGGACATGACATTCTACTGGGCTCATCACGAAAAGTTCATCGTCATTGATTATGCCATGGCCTTTATCGGTGGACTGGATCTGTGCTACGGCCGATGGGATGAGAAACAGCATCCATTGTCTGATGCACATCCCTCCGGTGTGCAGAACCAGATTTTCCCCGGCCAAGACTACAACAATAACCGTATTATGGATTTCGAGAGTGTCGACGACTGGAAATCAAATAAGCTGGACAAGCTCGACTATGGTCGCATGCCATGGCACGACGTCGCCATGGGAATCATAGGCCCGGCAATCTACGACATTGCCGAACACTTTGTCCTGCGATGGAATTTTGTGAAACGTGAAAAGTACAAGCGTGACGAACGATATGACTGGCTTACTATGGAAGGACGTGAGGGTGCTGACGAAGATCTGATTGGAGTCCAACGGCCTAAGTTCCCCGTTGGTCATTATATACACCATCCCGTGACGCAACTCAGTAGCAAGAATCTTGACAACCGTGGAACTGTACATGCGCAGCTCGTCAGGAGTAGCGGGGATTGGAGCATGGGCATTGAGCCTCATGAACAGAGCATCCAGAACGCCTATTGCGAGATTATCCGGAACGCCCAACATTACGTATACATTGAGAACCAGTTCTTCATTACCGCGACTACCAAACATGACGAGAATCCAGTTCACAACCAGATCGGAGCTGCCATGGTCGATGCAATTCTGAAGGCTGCCAAGGAAGAACGGAACTTCAGGATCATTATCGTCATCCCGGCTATCCCTGGTTTCGCGGGAGATTTGCGGGATCAGGCTGCGGCTGGAACGCGAGCTATTATGGACTACCAATTCAAGAGTATTTGCAGAGGCGACGAGAGCATCTTTGGCAAAATCAAGGCTGCCGGTGTCGACCCCGAAAAGTACATTTTCTTCTTCAACCTCCGCTCGTATGATCGCATTAATGTCACACCCAAGCTCAAGGAAATGGAGAAGAAGTCTGGCATGACGTACATGGAGATGGAGACTGCCGAAATCGACGAGCTCGAAGCGCCACCGGAAGAGGGTGGAGATGAAAAGCGACGACTAGCAGCGGAGATGAGGAAGAGATATATGGATGAGGATGACACACTTGGAAAGGGTGACCAGGGTGGTTTGATTGACCCAGATTCCATTGCCGACGACGCCATGCTCACTGAGAAGAAGCCCAGCGATGAGGACTGGGAGGGTGAAGCCGAAGACGAGAAACAGTACTTCTGCCAAGAAGAGCTCTACATCCACGCCAAAATCTGCATTGTCGACGACAAGACCGTCATCTGCGGTTCGTCCAACATCAACGACCGCTCGCAGCTGGGCTTCCACGACTCAGAACTCTCCATTGTCCTCCAAGACACCGAACTAATCGACACTCAACTCGACGGCAAACCCTACAAAGCTGCCCGCCTCGCCCACGAACTCCGTAGCAGCCTCTGGCGCGAACACCTCGGCCTCCTCCCCGCGCAAAGCCTCAACGCCACCGAGGACCCCAACGCACAACCCCCTAGCGAACACTCCCGCAACGACACCATGCCAGGCCCCGAAGCAGATTTTGTCTCCGACCCCCTCAGCCCAAAACTCTGGGACGAATGGTGCACCCGCGCCTCCACCAACACTTCCGTCTTCCGCGACTTATTCCACGCTGACCCCGACGACAATATTCTCACCTTTGAAGACTATGATTCGTTTACTCCGAACCCAAATTCTGACAAAGAACATAAACAAGGGCACTTGTACGATGTTGATCGTCCGGCCCACGAGGTTAGGAAGGAGCTGGATAGGATTAGGGGCCATTTGGTGTGGATGCAGTTGAAGTTTCTGGAGAAGGCGGATATGGCGGAGAGGGGGTTGCAGGTTAATTCTTTTACAGAGAGTGTATATACGTGAGTTTTTGGATTCTGGGGGGGTTTGTTAGTTTTGTTACGATTCCCTATCTTCTTTTTTTTTGGGGGGGGGGTGCTGGGTTAGTATGTATTGCTTTCTGAAATTCCTAGCATGATACTTCCCTGTTGAATCAAAATCTTCCTTCGTGTTGAATGTTGGCATGCGACATGAGTGATGATAGGCTTGAAGCAAGGCAGTGCAGTTCATCTGGATGTCACGTGCTGCTGGTGTTACTAGGTTCCCACTGTTGTAGCGTATGGCTATGAAATGGCAAAATTTGATTGGCATGATTGCAAATAGACTATGGGGTATCACACAAAAGGAAATAGATAGACTACAATGAGCAAAACAGGCCTGCTCTACAACACCCGGGATAAAAGGTACACTTTTAGTTATTAGAAGTATCCCCATTAGTCTGCTTCCCATCTCCCTTCCCCTTCGCCTTCGCCTTCGTCTTCTTGGTAGTTCCATTCACAGTCGCCGTAGTACTAACCGCTCTTTTCCGGCGGGAACTCGCAGTCGAAGACAGTGTGTCTTCTCTTGCATCCGTGGGCAAATCCTCAGGCAAGAACTTGCCGCTTCCCGTAGCTTCTCGAACCAGCAGTGTGTACAGTTGATGGACGGCAAGTTGAGTTGCACTTGAATCCTGTGACTGTGACGGCGATCCTTGGTCGGTGATGGATGTGTCTGGGAGGGTGTCTGGGGCGACGATTTTGAGGCGCTCGGTGCCGAGGTGGAAGCTTGCGCAGGATATACGGGATATTTGGACTTTTGGGTGGGAAAGGTCGAGGGTGAGGTGGCGGTTCAGGTAGTTAGATAGGGCTGCTGTGAAGGGTTTACTGTGTGTTGCTTTCAGCAGCTTTCCGCGCTGAACGAACCCGGCTACGTCTTCTGCCGCGATTGTGACTTCAACGTGCTTGAGAAGGCTCGTGGCATTGGGGAATGTGAGTTGGACATGCAGCTGCTTTATCGTGTCTTGAATGGACAGGGTAGAGCTGCGTGCTGTAAGGTGACTGAAGAAGGTCTCGAGGGACGATGTGATAAAAGACGAAGGGAGCCTCAGCGGAGCTACATGGGTGTCGAAGGTGGTTCGGATGTAGTTTAGAAATATCTCGCGTATTGGCGCTGGCATCTTCACGAGCAAGAGGGGCAGCGAGGTGAAGCCATTGGGCGAAGATGTAGCGTGCGGGTCGCGTAGAAGGAGGGCATTGTACATGTTCTTCTCATACTCGAGGCTCACATGGATACCACGAGCTCGGTCTGGCGTGATATCTGGCGCGAGTCGTGGTGCGCCTGGATCCTCAGACTGGAGGCGTCGGTCAATCCAGGCATCCTCGTCGCCAAGCACCTCCCAGCGGCACTCTTCCAGCGGGCCCAGCTTTGCCGTCTCGTCCCCGCCGGCAAAGTCGACCTGCACACCACGCACATTGTCGCCCTTGAGCTGTTCCTTGAGCCGCTTGGCATGGGCGCGCATCGACTGATCGCTGAGCAGGAGCGAGTCGCCATGGTGCAGTGGGGATGCGCGATACAGGTTGTAGGTCCTGTTTAGCAGCGGGTAGGGGGGCACATAGGCCATGATGTCAGCCGTCCTCAGCTGTTGGCAAGGCGCGCGGTGGATGCAGACACTATGCGACTATCGAGGTGGTCAAGGGAGGTCGCCTACAACAGACGCGTCGGCGCTGTCACGGAGCGGCTTGGGCATGACGCGACGCGTTGTTGCTGGTGATAGTGTTTGTGTGTTGATACTTGGTGTTGATGTCTGGACGGTTTGGTATTGGCGTGCGGTGATGCGGCGGCGGCGGCGGCGGCGGACTTGGAGGGCGGTGGTCTGTGCCGTCCGCCCGCCCAGCAAAAAAGAGCCCCGCTGTTTGGGGCCATCGAGAAAGTTCTGTGTGGTTCCTTTTGTCGAGTTGGGCATTCTTGTTAGGTCATACCAGCGCAGTCTTGAAATTTTGCAATTTTGCGGCGCGTGCCTCCTTGTATTGCTTCGCTACTACTCCTCGACACTTGTCCTGGTTTACCGCCCATAAAATCTCGCCGCCCTAATACCCCATATACCCTCCCTTACCCCTCCACACGCAAACACAACACAACACAACACTCCCACTCTCCCCATACATACCCCACCATCACAGATCAACAATGTCTGTAGTAGGAGTCGACTTGGGTACGCTCAACAGCGTCATCGCTGTTGCGCGGAATCGTGGTGTCGATGTTGTAAGTGCCACCGCATATCTTTCACTGTCACTTCTTTCATCCATGGCTCACACTGACTCACTATCCAGATTGCAAATGAGGTTTCCAACCGCGCGACACCGTAAGTAGCCTCCCGCGAACAAATCATCCCCCAGAGAACACTCGGCTGACTGGTCATGATACAGATCACTAGTAGGCTTCGGCCCCAAGAGTAGATACATTGGTGAGATGGCCAAGAACCAAGAAATTTCCAACCTCAAGAACACCGTCTCGTCGTTTGTGCGCCTCGCCGGCCGCAGTCTCCAAGATCCAGATGTCCAGGTTGAGCAGGACTTTGTCTCTGCCCAGCTTGTCGACATCGACGGCCAGGTGGGCGCAGAGGTCAGCTACCTGGGCAAGAAGGAGCGATTTACCGCCACTCAAATCACCGCCATGCACCTCACAAAAATGCGGGCCACGGCCTCTGCCGAGCTCAAGCTGCCCGTAAACGACATCGTCCTCAGTTGCCCCGTGTGGTACACCGACGCCCAGCGCCGCGCCATTCTCGACGCCGCAGATATTGCCGGCCTCAAGTGCCTAAGACTCATCAACGACAACACCGCAGTCGCCCTCGGCTGGGGTATCCCAAAGCTCGACCTGCCTGGCCCAGAGGAGAAGCCACGGAGAGTCGTCTTTGTCAACATTGGCCACAGCAACTACACAGCCACTGTTGTCGAGTTCCGAAAGGGCGAACTGGCCGTCAAGTCGAGCGCTTGGGACAGGCACTTTGGTGGCCGCTACATCGACAAGGCCCTTGTCGAGCACTTCGCCAAGGAGTTCAAGGAGAAGTACAAGATCGATGTCATGGAGAACGGAAAGGCGCGTTTCCGTCTCGCTGCTGGTGTTGAGAAGCTCAAGAAGGTGCTCTCTGCCAACAACATGGCACCCATCAACGTCGAGTCCATCATGAACGACGTTGACGTGCGTGGTATGCTCAAGCGCGAGGAGCTTGAGGAGCTGATCCAGCCGCTTCTTGAGCGCGCGACTGCGCCCATTGAGCAGGCTCTCGCCGAGGCCAAGCTTACCGTCGAAGATATTGACTCGATTGAGATGGTCGGTGGATGCACACGTGTCCCTGCCCTCAAGACGAGGATCCAAGACTTCTTCGGAAAGCCTCTGTCCTTCACTCTCAACCAAGATGAGGCTGTTGCCCGTGGATGCGCCTTCTGCTGCGCTATCCTCTCTCCAGTCTTCCGTGTCCGCGACTTCTCCGTCCACGACATGGTCAACTACCCCATTGAATTCACATGGGAAAAGTCTGAGGACATTCCCGATGAGGACACCAGCCTCACCGTCTTCAACAAGGGCAACGTCATGCCATCCACCAAGATCCTGACCTTCTACCGAAAACACCCCTTCGATCTTGAGGCCAGGTACGCCAAGCCTGAACAGCTTCCCGGAAAGATGAACCCCTGGATCGGCCGTTTCTCCGTCAAGGGCGTCAAGGAGGACCCCAAGGGCGATTTCATGATTTGCAAACTCAAGGCACGACTCAACGTGCACGGTGTGCTCAACGTCGAGTCTGGATACTACGTCGAGGAGACTGAGGTCGAGGAGCCAATTCCCGAGTCTCCATCAGAGAAGAAAGAGGGTGATGTACGTTTTTCTGAATTTCCTAATGATTCGAGTACCAGCGAGCAAAGTTCAGCAGAACGTGCTGCGAAACGATACAAGCTTAGCGATGATTCTGTACATGCGCGTCCTTTTGCTTCTGCGCCCGAAACAAATGAGCTAACGAATTATGCGCAGGCAATGGACGTGGACAAGGACGCTCCTCCGGAGCCTCCCAAGATGCGCAAGGTCAAGAAGCAGCTCCGTAAGGGAGACTTGCCTCTGTCGGCGGGCACTGCTTCGCTTGACGATGCTTCCAAACAGATCGCCGCCGAGCGCGAGAACGCCATGATTATGGAGGACAAGCTCGTCGCCGACACCGAGAACGAGAAGAACAACCTTGAGAGCTTCATCTACGAGCTCAAGGACAAGATCCTCGACGTCTACGCTGAGTTTGCCAGCGATGACGAGAAGGCCAGGCTCAACCAGAAGCTTGAGACCATCGAGGTAAGTTCAAAAACTACTTGGCAGAAGGGAAAAAGTACTAATAAAGACAGGAATGGCTGTACGACGAGGGCGACGATGCGTCCAAGGCACAATATGTCTCCAAGAAGGAGGACATCCGCTCTATTGCTGGTCCTATCATCCAGCGCTACAACGACAAGATCGAGGGTGAGAGGCAAGCCGCCATGGAGAAGCAACAAAAGGAGCACGCTGCCAAGCAGGCTGAGTTGGAGCGCGCAAAGCGGGAAGCCGAGTCTAAGAAGCAGACTGACGCGCCACCCGCCGAGGACTCAAAGGACACCGAGATGGCTGATGCCGAGGGCCAAAAGGCCGACGGCGCTGAGGCGTCTTAGACGAGGTGATGAATGCAGGCGTATTGGCAAATGGAAAAAAAGCATTTGGACGGCGTAGTGTATATGACAAACTACGTTTTGGGAGGAAGGAAAGTGGTATTCGACTTAGTTCATTTTGTTTTCTGTGATGAGATCATGGTAATGCGATGCTTATGATAGACCAGTCCATAGATGAACGAATATGAGATTCGATGTCTTCAACGTTGGGAAGTTTGCAGGTTGCATATTGAATATTTGATGTTTGAGGAACACGGTGATGGGGCGTCAGGCGTCCAGTCGTCCATATTGAGTAAAAGCCGACCAGGAGTAGCGAGCGAATGAGATAAGCTGAGCTACGCCATTAGCGAGCTTCAGGCTGCCTTTTGATCCGAAGCAACATGCATGAACCAATTGCTCCTTCAGTTACTCAACTTTTTCTCATTCCACCCCAGCCTTATCGCTTAGTGAGAGTAGTGTTGTCGTTGTTTGGTAGTCGGAATGTTACAGGAGCTTACTAGCGTACCCCTGAGACAACCAGCACCGCCTGTGTCAACAATATCTACGTTGCATCCTCCAAGTACCGGGCGGTCGCGGAAGAAGTCAAGGTCCGGATGTGGGACTTGCAAGTATGTTGCTGTCATTTCGCTCGTCTTCCTTGGGCCACTTGGTCGTTTGGGGTTTCTTGGATTTTCTCCATCATGAAGATACAGAATTTGAAGGAGATGGGAATCGCGACCCATGCTAGGTACCTGAGATGATATGTACCTGACATGAAGACAGAGCACGCAAAGTAAAATGTGACGAGACAAAACCAGTCTGCAATCGCTGTCTCAGCACTGGCCGAACTTGTGATGGCTACGGTGCCCAGGGAGGAGGAGGAAATACTTACCTTGACCGATATGGTCGGCATTCCCAACCAGCTACGACTTCTTCAGAAGTTCAGCTCTCAAAACCTCTGGCAAAGTCTTTTCCATCAGACGAATTACGCTATCTTGAGCTCTACAAACAGCGCGTATCGTGGACGTCGTCAGGCTGGTTCGGATATCCCTTTTGGCACGCTACTGTTATCCCGGCCCTTGTCTCTGAACCGGCTATCTTGCATGCTGTCGTCGCGCTGAGTGCGGCACACGAGTGTAACTTTATTCCGGGCGAGAGTATCGACATGAGAGAGAGGTTCGTTCTGAAGCAGTACAGCCAGGCGATTTCCGCCTTACAGCCGATGCTGGCGAGGACCAGCGATACACAGGATGTAGCTGTAGTTCTGGTAACATGCATGCTATTTACATTTCTGGAGTACCTGAGAGGGCGCCACGAAATCGCCGAGACACATTTGAAAAACGGCATCAAGTTATTAGGCGACGGCCGTGTCCCACGCTCCAGCTTTATGGAACAAAGCATCGTCCGCACCTTCGCCGCCCTCGTCACGCAAAGAACCCTCTTTGGCTCCGACTTCTACCTCTCCAACCCAGACATCTTCCCGCACTCGCTGGCAACCTTGAACCTCCCCAATTCTATCTTCGCAAGCCCCGAAGCCGCAAAGGACGCCCTCGACACAATCCTCCGCCGCATAACCCACACAGAGCACCTCCTCCAAACTTCCCAACCCCACCAACCCTCCTCACCTTCCCTGGAAAAAACCCAATCCCACATTCTCACCTTGCTGGATTCCTGGCAGTCAACTTACCACCGCACCCAAGCCCACCTCAACTCCTGCCCGCCAGATAAAGACACTCCGGCATTCGGATCCCACCCCGGATCCGCCCGCACACCTCTTTCTTACACCCTCCTCCTCATGTCCCACAGCAGCGCCCAAATCCGGGCTCACACCCTCTTATCCCCCTCACCCTTCGCATACGCATCCTACACGCACCTCTTCCACCGCGTCCTCTCTAGCGCCCGTCTAATCCACATCGCCTACAGCGTCGCCGTGCAAATCCCCCAGAACGTAAACTTCGAACATTCGATCTGCGAGTCCGGCGTCGTGGCTTCCTTATTCTACACAGGAATTAAATGTCGGCACCGCTGCTTGCGGCGCTATGCGCTTGGGTCGCTCAAGGCGGTGCCGCGTATGGAAGGGTGCTGGGATAGTGCTGTGGTGGCGAATGTGGTGGAAAGGGTTATGGGGATGGAGGATAAGGGGGTGTGGGACGGAAGTAAGGAGGAGGAGAAGGATATGGCGACGTTGCCGGAATTCGAGGAGTTGGAGGATGAAGGGGTGGTTTTGGAGGAGGAAAAGCTGTTTCGTAGTGTGAGGGTGGAGATGAGGGGGGAGGGGGGCAGGGCGGAGGTTAGGTGTGAGAGGGTGGGTGGGGACGGGGAGGTTGAGGTTGTGGTGTTTGAGGTTGATAACACGTAATTTTCTTCTTCCTCCTTTCTTTCCTTCCTTCCTTTGATAGTAGTATAGAGCGTGTGTCGAGGTTGGACGGAGTGACTAGCCAATATATTAGTCTAGTAGTGACGAACAAGGTAGTACTTCAATAAGGTGATACTTGAAATCGCCAAAAATAACACAAATTCAAGAGTGGGAGATCTCAACTATCAAGCGGTACAACAATGGGACAAAATAATTTCATGGGGGATAGAACAAAGCGCCATCCATCCACTATACATAAAAAAATCGTTCCGTCCTGGTTGGAAATCCATTTCTCATCTAGCCAGAGAGGTAAAGTTACACGCACATATTCATCCACCCTGAAATGCACCCAATTACAACAAAATCTACAGCATAAGCTCAAGAGGGTTCTCAATCGCCTTCTTCAGCTCACGCATAAACTCGCCACCAACGGCACCGTCAACAACCTTGTGGTCAAAGCTTCCGGTGATGACAATCTGGTCGTCCCACTCAATGCTTGCGGTGCCATCCTCAGAGGCCTCGCCGGGTACGGCAACCTTCCTGGTGGCGCCAATGGCGACAATACAGGCTTGCGGGGGGTTGATGACGGCGGTAAATCGCTCGACGGCAGGGTTCATGCCCATGTTGGAAATGGTAATGGTTCCGCCCTGGTACTCCTCAGGCTTGAGCTTGCCGTCGCGTGCGCGCTTGCCAAGGTCCTTGATCTGTGATGAGATGGTCTGGAGACCGAGTCCAGTGACGTTCTTGACAATGGGTGTCATCAGGCCAACAGGGGTGGAGACGGCGACCGAGACGTCAACGGTGTTGTGCTGGCGGATGATGACTTTGCCGCCCTCCTCGCGCCATGACGAGTTGGCAGCGGGGACCTTGCTGGCGGCAATGGCAAGCGCCTTGACGAGCAAGTCGTTGACTGACAGCTTGTAGGCGCCGTTGGCCGAAGCATTAAGAGCCTCACGGAGCTTGAGAAGCTTAGAGACGGAAATGTTGGAGGCGACAAAGTAGTGGGGGTTCTGCTGCATGCTCTCGGTAAGACGGCTGGCGATGACCTTGCGCATGCTGCTGGCCTCGGTATCCTGGTAAGCAGGGCCCGCGGCAGCGGCAGAAGAAGCTCCTGCAGCAGGCTTGTAGTTTTCAACATCCTGCTTGGTGATGGCTCCGCCCTTGCCAGTGCCCTTGATGGAACCAATCGGGACGCCCTTTTCGAGAGCGAGCTTCTTGACGGCTGGGGAGACGGCAGGCTGACGCTGAAGAGCCGTCTCGAGACGGGCACCGGTCGAGTCGGATTCGATGGCGGCGGGTGCGGACTGCTCCTTGGCTGGAGGGGCGGTCTTGGAGCCGGAGTTGTTGGGGGGCTCGCTGGCTTCCGAAGCCTCACCCTGCTTGGGAGATGAAGCGGCCTTCTTGTCACCACCGGCGTCTTCAATGGAGAAGCTCTCAAAGGCCGAGACGTCTTCACCCTCCTCAACCATGATGGCGATTGGCTATGATGGTTAGTATAATGACTCCACATGAATCCCGAGCACACTTACGCTTCCGACTGCAACGTCCTTCTCACCAGCGTCACGGAGGATCTTGGCAATAGTGCCCTCCTCCTGGAACTCAAAGTCCATCTGTGCCTTGTCCGTCTCGATCTCGACGAGCACATCACCGGGCGCTATCGAGTCGCCAACCTTCTTCTGCCATGCGCCAATGTTTCCGGAGGTCATGGTCGGGGAGAGGGCAGGCATGTTGATAACGCTGTGGGGTGGGTAGGCTGCGGCGAGTGGAGGTTAGCGGTGCGGCCAGGACGTGCTAGCAGACAGCGGGATGCTCACATTTGGAGGCATAGTACCGGGCGAGGGCAGAGAGGGCAGGTGTGCGTCTACATGTTTCGCGGTCAGCCAGTGGTCTCGGGATTGGGCCCGGGATTGGTGTTTGCAGGCCGTGTGCTGTGTTTTATGTATGGGTAGCAACCTACGCGGTACAAGTCGCGGGAGAGAAGGCGCCGCGCAGGGCAATTGAACCCCTCGAGGTCAATTGGGAGCCCGCCCGGGATAGCAGAGTGGTAGTAGCGGGCATTGTGTCGGAGTTCCTGGATGCGCTGAGATTTTGCTCTAAGCGATGACCGGGGAGAGGGAGGGGAGAAGCAGCAGCTCTTCTTTCTTCGGGGGCAGGTCGGGAAGAGAGCAGGCGCAGGCAATGGGGCTGGGAGACCGCTCAAGGCTCTGGAGCTGGACTGGGCAGGGGAGAGATGGCAGACTGGAGATGTCGCTCAACAGAAAAGTTTAGTGCTGGCCAGCTTGTTGGAGATCCGTCCGGCGGGTACTAAGCGTTATGACCCGATGGCCCTAACGCGAGATTTCGGAAAGGCTTGTGGCGGCGGTGGCTGATGATCCCCGAGTGGCTGATATGTATGTGGCTGGTGTGGCTGATCTGCCGTGGCTTGACGAACTAGCGCCTGCCATGCCCCCAGTCGGCCAGGTACGCAGCTCACCAGCTCTGGGTCCGCCCCAGCTAGCCAGGAAAGACACTTTGTCATCTCATAATTAGGCACGGCCCGCATCCTGGAATCGGCCTGGATTGCATTACGTTGCCTTGTGCGCCATTGCAACTGTGCAACCGCCCTCCCGCCTCTTGCTTCGTGTTTGAATTGGGGCCATGGATGGTCGTTGACCCAAGGCCCGCTCGTCCGTCATCCAACGTTGGTCCCTTAATCATAGTAGCCTAAGCATAGTCGTGACAACCTACACACCACAATGGCTGACACCGAGCCCCCACCAATAACACAAATACCGGCCTCGGACGCCGAGAAAAAGGCCACCGCCATGGGAGAAGATGGGACGCCCGTCGCAGACGCAGAAAAAACAACGGACGATAAGGAGAAGAAAGAGGCGGAACAGACGGATGAGGACGACGACGAGGACGAAGACGAGGACGAGGACGACGAGGACAGTGACTCTGATGCAGGCTCCGAGCATACCTCACCTGCCCCGGATAAGGCAGAAACAGAGGCAGACGAGGCAGCAAATGCAGAATCAGAAGCACCAGCAACACAACCCCCTCGGGAAGAAGCCGACACCTCAACACCTACAACCGAGGCACCAGCGCTATCCGTCCCGGATACCTCAGACCCGCCACGCACCTCAGAGCAGATGTTCGACCAGCGCCTGCCCCTCGAATCCCGCTCACGAACAGACTCGCAGTCGACCGTCGCCACCACCGCAACCCGCCCCTCGACCCGCAGCTCCCTCGTCTTCGTCGTCACTGCCCTCGAGACCATTGCCGCTTCCAAGGATGCTCGCAAGAACAAAAAATTGGGCGACAGCACCAATGCCGCTCTGTCTGCCATCAAGAACGAGGGCGACCCCGCGCGCATCAACCCTGAGGTTCTCTTCGAACCCCTTCAACTCGCCTCAGAGGCCCCCAATGTCCCCGTCTCCATCACCGCCCTCGACTGCATCGGCAAGCTCATCAGCTACTCCTATTTCTCCGTCCCCACCGAGCACCGCCCTGACAATAGCGAGGCACCGCCCCTAATTGAAAGAGCCATAGACACGATATGCGATTGCTTCCAGGGTGAGGCTACGGCCCCAGAGATCCAGCTACAGATTGTAAAGTCTCTACTCGCCGCCATATTGAACGACAAGATTGTGGTACATGGAGCGGGATTGCTCAAGGCTGTGCGACTCACGTACAACATCTTCCTCTTATCAAGGTCGAGTGCAAACCAGCAGGTCGCTCAAGGTGCACTGACCCAGATGGTCGGCACCGTCTTTGAAAGAGTCAAGGCCAGATTGGCTGCAAAGGAAGCTCGGCTGAATCTGTCACGTGTATCTCTTAACGACAAGAACATCTCCGGAGAGAGCGTACATCGGGGGGAACCTAGTCCGACAGGCTTCGACGGCGATGAGCCAAGTGGTGAGGACGAGCGTGATGAATCAGCCACGCCCAACGACAAGGCCGTCGACCAACACACTGGACCCAAGATTACGCTGCAAAGCTTTGAAAACAACATGAGCTTCAACGACGATCGTATTCACGACAATGCGCCAACCCTCGTGACTCGAATCAAGGCCAGGGCTGGCTCGCGGCAGGTTTCGGGCCAAGATGGTGCCTCGCCTCACATCAACACCGAGGAAGAGGAAGAGGACGAGATATTCGTCAAAGATGCATACCTAGTCTTTAGAGCCATGTGTCGGCTAAGCACAAAGAGTCTGTCAGTTGACCACGCTCACGACGTGCGGTCGCAGGGCATGCGCTCCAAGCTTCTCTCACTTCACATGATCCACACTATCTTGTTCAATAACATTGCTGTCTTTGAATCACCCTACGCTACCATCCGCAGTGGCAGCGACGAGCCTACAAGTTTCATTCAGGCGGTCAAACAATACCTGTGTTTGAGCCTTAGTCGGAACGGTGCAAGTTCAGTAAAGCAGGTGTTTGAAGTGGCCTGTGAGGTATTCTGGCAGATGCTCAAGTTCCTGCGCATATCACTCAAAAAGGAAGTCGAGGTGTTTCTCAAGGAAATTTACCTGGCAACATTAGACAAGCGAAGTGCCCCTGCATTTCAGAAGCAATACATTTTGACAATATTTGGAAGGCTGGCTGCAGACCCCCGAGCCCTGGTAGAGATCTATCTCAACTATGACTGCGACCGCACTGCGCTTGACAACATGTTCCAACGCGTTGTCGAGCACCTGTCCAAGATTTCCAGCAATCCTGTCACAATCACGGCAATGCAGCAGCAGGCGTATCAGGAGCAGCGGGAAAAGCAGTCCAAGCAAATGGACTGGCAAACCCGAGGCACCCTGCCCCCCTCACTCACTACAGCCTCTATGAACTCTTCACATGAGACTGAACAGAGCTTTCCTCAAGAATATGCTATGAAGCAAGAGTCGTTGGAGGCGTTGGTCGAGATACTACGCTCTCTCGTCAACTGGGCGCAGCAGGCGCTTCCCGAGAACACAAAGGCAGTCCATTCAAGCTTGCGCCCATCACTAGATGACCTCAGAGTGTCCATGGATACGCGAACACTCGCAGAGTCCCCAATGATTGGTGCAGACTCTGGTACAGTCACGCCGCTTGCGGAAGATGACTACAGTCAGCTTGAAAAGGCCAAGCAGCGGAAGACTGCTCTGACAAATGCTTTGAAACAGTTCAATTACAAGCCGAAACGAGGGCTCAAGACACTCATAGCCGAAGGCTTCATTCCCTCGAACAAGCCTGAAGATGTTGCTCGTTTCTTATTGGATAATGACCAGATAGACAAGACGGCACTTGGCGAGTTTCTTGGTGAGGGCGATCCAGAGAATATTGCCATCATGCATGCTTTTGTAGACTTGATGGACTTTTCAAAGACACGCTTTACCGACGCCCTGCGACGTTTCCTCCAGAGCTTCCGATTGCCCGGTGAGGCCCAGAAAATCGATCGCTTCATGCTCAAGTTTGCGGAAAGATATATTACCGGTAATCCAAACGCATTCGCCAACGCCGATACAGCATACGTCTTGTCATATTCGGTCATTATGCTGAACGTCGATCAGCATAGCAAAAAGATGAAGGGTCCCCGCATGACAGCAGCTGACTTTATCAAGAACAACCGTGGTATCAATGATAATGCCGATCTCCCGGAGGAGTATCTCCAAGGTATATTTGATGAAATCTCACGAAACGAGATTGTCTTGAACACAGAACAGGAGGCTGCCGCCGACAAAGGCTTAATCAGCCAGCAGCCTACTGGCGGACTGTCAAGTATTGGTCAAGTGCTGACCGGAAGCGCTCGCGACTCTCAGCGAGAGGCAATCGTTCAGGCTTCAGAAGCAATGGCCAATAAAACCGAGCAGCTTTACAAACAACTCCTTCGTGCTCAGCGGAGAACAGCCGCTACTCCCACTGTATCCAAGTTTATTCCTGCTTCATCCTCCAAGCACGTCGGACCAATGTTCGAAGTCGCCTGGATGCCTGTCCTCACCGCTCTCTCTGGCCAAGCCCAGGATCACAACCTTGAAATTGTTCGCTTGTGCATTGAAGGTATAAAGTTATCAATTCGCATTTCGTGTTTGTTTGACCTGGATAACTCGAGACAAGCTTTCGTCGCGTTTCTCTCGCGCTTCACGAACCTTTACAACGTGAGCGAGATGAAGGTCAGGAATATGGAGGCTCTGAAAGCATTGATCGAAATTGCACAGACAGAGGGAAACCTACTTCGAGAATCATGGCGCGAGGTACTCACTTGCGTGTCTCAACTGGACCGTTTCCAGCTCATCTCTGCTGGTATCGACGAGCGCGCCGTTCCCGATGTGCTCAAGTCCAGTTCGGGAACCTCGCAGCCACGCAAAAACCTCAATGTCCCAGGGAAAAGCCGACGAGCAAACTCGCAAGCAGGCAATTTCGGCTTCCATTCGGAAGTGGCCGAGGAAAGTCGGTCTGCCGAAATCGTTCGAGGAGTAGACCGCATCTTCACCAACAGCGCAAACCTGTCGGGAGAAGCGATTGTCGATTTTGTCAAAGCGCTCACTCAGGTCAGCTGGCAGGAAATTCAATCCTCTGGTCAGAGCGAGTCGCCGCGCACTTACAGCTTGCAAAAGTTGGTAGAAATCAGTGGCTACAACATGACGCGTGTACGTTTCGAGTGGACCAATATCTGGCAGGTACTGGGCGCTCACTTCAACGACGTGGGCTGCCACACCAACACAAACGTCGTCTACTTTGCTCTGAACTCCCTGCGGCAGCTGTCGATGAAGTTTATGGAGATTGAGGAACTACCTGGTTTCAAGTTCCAGAAAGACTTTTTAAAGCCTTTTGAGCACATTATCAACAACACCAACGTCGTGTCCGTCAAAGACATGGTACTACGCTGCTTAATCCAGATGATACAGGCACGAGGTGAGAACATTCGCTCAGGTTGGAAAACCATGTTCGGTGTCTTCACTGTGGCTGCGAGAGAGCCTTACGGTACGTTAAAATTGGTCCAGGTCATGTATAATCGCTAATTCAAAGCAGAGGGAATTGTGAACCTTGCATTCGAGAACGTCACTCAAGTGTACAACACACGCTTTGGCGTTGTCATATCGCAAGGCGCCTTTGCTGACCTGATTGTCTGCCTTACCGAGTTCTCAAAGAATTTCAAGTTCCAGAAGAAGTCACTACAGGCGATAGAACTTTTGAAGTCGTCTGTACCCAAGATGCTCCGGACGCCTGAATGTTCGTTGTCTGCTCGCGCTGGCTACTTGAAAGAATCCGAAACAGCCTCTTCGATACCAAAGCAGCCCAGCCGGCAAACGCAAGAAGAGCAATTCTGGTTCCCTGTTCTCTTTGCTTTCCACGACGTCTTGATGACTGGCGAAGATTTGGAAGTGCGGTCAAGAGCCTTGAGTTACCTATTCGACACTCTGATCAGCTACGGTAACAACTTTCCTCGTGAATTTTGGGACATGCTTTGGCGGCAGTTGCTGTACCCAATCTTCATGGTACTGAAATCCAAGTCGGAGATGACAAAGGTTTTGAACCACGAAGAGCTTTCCGTCTGGCTTTCGACAACCATGATCCAGGCTCTACGTAATATGATTAAGCTTTTTACACACTTTTTCGATTCGTTGGAGTACATGCTCGACCGTTTCCTCGATCTTCTGGCACTTTGCATATGTCAAGAGAACGACACATTAGCGCGCATTGGCAGCAACTGCCTCCAGCAGCTTATACTGCAGAATGTTCAAAAATTCACGCCAGGCCACTGGAGCCAGGTTGTGAGAGCGTTCGTTGATCTCTTCCAAAGGACAGAGGCTACCGCATTATTTTCTGCAGCCACCAGCGGATCTTCACCACAGCACCCTCCTGTGAACGGATCAGGAAACTCGGCAGATAACATGACACCAACAACAGATGGACCAACGGGCGAGCTCTCCCTGCAGACACCTGCGGAGGAGCCAAAGGTAGACAACGCGCTTGGCATCAACGGTCTGTCAAACGCACAGCGGCCATCCCTCGTCGCCTCAGAGTCTACCAGCACTCTTGGTGGTGAGCAACGTATGCCCTCTCCGCTACCCAAACGCCAAACACAAGAGCTTGAGGACTATCGTCCTGAAGGCCAAGACCTCCAGCAACCTCCTGTTGTAGTCACCGCCGCTCGCCGACGTTTCTTCAACCAAATCATAACCAAGTGTGTTCTTCAGTTGCTCATGATCGAAACAGTTCAAGAGCTTTTCACCAACGATGCTGTCTACGAAAAGATTCCCTCGGGAGAACTCTTGCGTCTGATGGCCGTACTGAAGAAATCGTACCACTTTGCAAAGCGCTTCAATGCGAACCGCGACTTGCGGTCCCGACTCTTCAGAGAAGGGTTTATGAAGCAGCCACCGAATCTGCTCAAGCAGGAAAGTGGATCTGCGTCGGTCTATGTCAGCATTCTCTTCCGGATGTATCACGACACGTCCAACGACCGCGCTGCTTCGCGCGCGGACACTGAAGCTGCGCTGATCCCCCTGTGTGAAGACATCATCGCGTCCTATGTGGAGCTTGATGAAGAAACCCAGCAGCGCAATATTGTCACTTGGCGACCTGTCGTTGTCACCGTACTAGACGGCTACACCGGTCTTCCTAACGCCGATTTTGAAAAGAACATTGATCTTTTCGCACCTCTTGTGGTCGGGCTCCTGGGCACCGAGATGGCGCCAGACATGCAACGCAGCGTGCAGGCACTTGTGGGGCGCATTTTCGAAACTAAACTCGGAATGGCCAAGGTACCGCTTATGCCGGCCACCAGTCGGAGTCCACGCGGAAGTTTTATGGGCAGCCCTACGATGGCGATGCAAAGGAGGTTCAGCACAAGCAAGGGCGGGAGGTAGTGTTTTAGATTTCTTCTTTTGGCGTTTCATTTCAAAGATACCCTTTTTAGGGGGTTTTACAATTTAACTCGACCAAGGAGAATAGTAGGATTTTCTTTTCACTTGGCTTCTAGCCTGACGGCAGCTTTGGGGTCTGTCTTTTGCATCTTTGGTTCCTCCACTGTTGGAGAGGGGTGTTCCTCTTTTTCCATATCTGTGCATCTGTGACGACAGGCGTTTGGCTCTAGACATGAAAAGGTGAAAGCAATTCAACGATGAGGCTGGAATCACTTTGTATGGAAAATGTACATTCGGATATGTCATTCAAAGTGAGATAATCCGCTTTGGACGGCTCTTTTTTTGTGATCAAGCAAATCTTCTTTCTAATCTCTATGGAGACTCTTATCTAGTCATTTCAATCGATAGCAACTGAAAACTGGACGTCTTTTTACAAACATACTGCTTGAGAGATTTTTTTCGGTACAATTTTGTAGTTTCGTGCTCTCGACCTTGGAAAAGCTCCAAATATACGGAGGTGCCTTTCAAAAGTATTGTCTGACGCTAATCTCGGCGATTCGGCGCAACTCTTCTTGGCGCAACTCCCACCTTCGAGCTGAGGAGCTGTTTGATCAGCCTACCTGCCACTACGTAGTTATCTTCTTACTATGGCTCCTTATACTGATATATATACCCGTACCTTAGTAATCGCGCTAAAGTCACCTCCTATTGGCAAGAATACGTCACAAGTTGCTGCGCTAACTGGTGTTAATCCTCGTACTGTCGATCGTATCTATAGTAGAGCTATTGCTGCAGGCTTTGAGCCAAACGAACTTCCTATTAAGATCCTTCCACACCACGTTCAGGATGCTCCAAAGACTGGTAGACCTACTAAGCAGGCAGAGGAGGTGAAGGAGCAGATATTTCAACAAGTACGACACGATAGATATGGACGAGAGAAGAGCTGTGCTGACCTTGCTAGTGGGCTCAGTCTCCAAGGAGTCGAGATCTCTGCCTCTACCGTCTAGAGGGTATTAAGAGCAGCAGGATACAGGAAGACCAAGCTAACGAGGAAGCCTGGGTTGACACAGGAGATGAGGAGTGCTCGTCTTAAGTAGGCATTAGAGTATAAGGACTGGACGTTGGAGGACTGGAAGAATGTTATCTGGACAGACGAGACGTCGGTAGTAATTAACCACCGACGTGGGGGCTATAGAGTCTGGAGAAAGGCAGATGAGAGAGTAGTTAAGAGCTGTATCCGTGAGAGGTGGAAGGGATACTCTAAGTTTATGTTCTGGGGCTGCTTCTCGTACGATAAGAAGGGTCCATGCCATGTCTACCAGCTAGAGACAAAGGCAGAGAAAGAGGATGCTGCTCGTTGGATTGAGTAACTGAACGCTGAGCTTAAGCCTCTATAGAGAGAGGAATGGGAGCTGTCAGAGTCCATGAGGAGGATAGGGCTACGTAATAAGCGTGGCAGGAAGCCTCAATGGAGATGGACAGAGAAGACAGGCAAGCTGGTGCGCACGTCTGGAGGTGGCATAGACTGGTGGAGATATCAGACCTGTGTTCTAATCCCAAAGCTGATTCCTTTCGCTAAAAAATGCCTCTAAGATAGACCTCAGACTGTTGTAATGGAGGATAAGGCACCTAGCCACGCCCACCACTATCAAAGTGTGATCTATCGCCTGCACGATGTCGAGAGACTACTCTGGTGTAGTAACTCGCCAGACTGTAACTGTATTAAGCTATGCTAGTTCTATATGAAGAGAGAGACTATGAAGAAAGGAGCTCCACAGTTAAGGGCTGAGGCAGTCAGAATCTGGCAGAACTGCTGGAGAGATCTCTCGCAACTTAAGATCTAAGCCTGGATTGAGCGAATTCTTGTACATATTCAAAAGATAATTGAGCTACAAGGTGGCAATGAGTACATAGAGGGGAGAGACAAGCCTCGGCTAAGGCGGCCGTACTTCGGATAGATTATTCTTGGCAGACAATACTTTTGAAAGGCACCTCCGTACCATTCAGTTGAAATCACTCATAGTATTGTTCATTTATTTCACGACAGAATTGTCCTCACTAGATAATATGAGACGAATAACTGGGTTGATCTTATGTCACAGCTTCCACGAAATGAAGGACCTAAGGATGCCAGTGTCTAAAACGTGGTGGTGGTACAATATCATCGGCGGTATTACGGATATGAAAACGCCCAAGCTTTGTCGATCTGGTAGACAGGTTTAGTCAGCCCCAACCTGGTCATTTTCGCCACCTCGCGACTCTCTATTCTATTTGAACTCCACTTGTACTATTAGACTTTGACAACTGCTATCATGGAACAATCCAGTCCACCCATAGAACAGCCTGGCACCCCTAAGCGTCGCCACATCACTCCTCTGACTAGGGATGATCGGTTGAGGATCCATACATTATGGAAAGCTGGTCATAAACAACAATGGATAGCAGACCATCTTGGCTTCAAGCTTCGCCAAGTGACGTACGTACTTAGCGGACCCGTAACACCACGAAAAAAGACTGGTCGACCTAAGAAAAAACCAGCGTCAGAGAAGGAGGTGCAGGATTTGAACAGCAGACTACTCGAGTTGCAGCACGGGGTGCAAGGTCCCAGTAATGGGCAAAAAAGTATCAAAAATGGGCCGGAGAGTTTCAATGGCATACCCCAAGACATAAATAACAGTCTGCAGCACCTAGAACATCAACCACAACAAGTTCAGCAAGTTCAGCAGCAAGTATACCATGGCCATCATTTGCCAGGACATATCAACCAGGTGTCACAACCAGTACACCATTATAGGCTACCAGGACAAGTCCACCAAGTGCCGCAACACGCACATCAGAGGCTTCCACAAAACCTTCATCAGGTACCGCAGCAGAGTTATCAGGCGCTACGATACATACATCCAGTAGCACAGCCGATTCACCAGGCACCGCATCAAGTCTACCAGCCGCCGCAGCAGATCCATCGGATACTGCAACACGTATCCAAGGAGCTACCACGGAATTTAATCCCGGAACCACAACAAATACCAGGACTCCAGGGGTCGCCGCAGCAAGTATCAAGAATCCAGCAGCCACAGCAGCCGCAACAGCAAGTAGTTCCGGAACCGCAAAAGACGCCAGGAACCCAGGAACCACAGGCTGCAGAAGATCGGGAATTGCAAGACACGTCCAACGAGCTACAACCAACAATGGTATATAAAGAACCTGAGAAAAGTTCCGGGGACCAGGACCAGGAACACACCGTTCAGGAGCCGCAAAAAACAGACCCGCAAAAGACGGATCAGGAACCCCAACACCCTCAAAAGACACAGGACCACCAAGAACCAGTGTATGCAGACAACGGATTGCAGGATACAGACCCCGAGGCGTCTGAAGAATAACAATGTCGCAGAATACCGAGTGCACTGTTCTCACCCGTCCACCACTAAAGACTTGGATTGCCTACAGTACAGCGACGCCCAGCTGCACGATTCCCTCCAACACCGGAGTCTTATCTCACCAAGAATTCTCTGAAAAGACTGTGGTGCTACAAGGGAGATACCTAGATCCCAGTCTCTTCCCTTCGCAAAAACCCGAGTTCTCCCCCTCAGGACTTCGAATTCAAATCGTAATTCACGTCTAGCTTCGCAGCTTCGCTTGTTCGTCAGGCACAGTACCGGCACGAACATAGTTATGCATTCTGCGAACTAGAAAGTCGTAGGAAGATAACACTGTTTTGATGATGGTATCAAGCAGGTTGTGTGGAGGAGTAAAAAGGAGGGTTGTCAGGATATCTGGGAGGGAAAGGAAAAGAGAGGATGGATGAAGAAGGGAAGGCGGTATCTCACCGTCGCCGCAATTAATGTAGTATTTTTTTTATATATTATCGTAATACAATCTGAAACAAATACAACAAAACCCACATTTTTCTCTATTATTTCTAATCACTTACTCGCCCACACTCACTCCCCAAGCACCCCATCCCATCCCATTTCATACATTGCAAAAGAGAACGTCTAAGCTTGACTAACCCCACATCCCCCCCACCTATCTCCACCCCACCCCGAATGAATTTTCCCTTTGCCCTGAACAAAAAAATTCAACCATGGAAAAGGTTCCAGGGAAGTAAGTAAAAACAAGACAAAAAAGAAAGCGACCGATGTGGGACTCGAACCCACAGCCTCAGCCTTAGGAGGGCTGCGCGCTACCATTGCGCCAACCGGCCTTGTTGATTTGTTGAAGGATTTCTTTTTTGATGTTATTATATATCTCAATAAAAGAAAGGGATAATGCACATTTCATTCCGCCTACTCTCTCTCTCCACCCCTTCCATCCTAGTCCGGCGATTCAAGTATCCAGCATGCATTTAAAACTTTCCAATGCTCCTTACATAGCAGTAAAACGTAACCTACACATTTCTACAACTTTCTCTTGTACAAATACTCTCTAGCTAAACGAAACCCGCAAACTACTTGGAGCGTAGAAAAGTAGAAGAGAAAAAAAAAGGTATCACTTAAACATCCCAGAACATAATCATCTCCTCCGCTGCCACCGCAGCTCTCAAATCCACTTTTTCATAAATGTACAAAAAAAATCTCCTTACGTGCCTCCCCCAAAAAGAACACTCTTCAAAGAAAAAGAATGAGAAGAAGGAAGGTGATCACGCACTCTCCGCCCTCCCACTTCCCCTCCTCCCCCCACCACTTCTACCCACCCCTTCCCCGACCGAAGCTTCATACCCCGGATCCTCACTCAACTCGCTCATACTCTCCGTATTACTCAGCATACTGGCTCTTTTACTCTGCCAAGAAGGTACATTGCCATCACTCGGTGTGGTCGGTCTCGACGACGAAGCCGGCGTCGAAGTTTGCTTTTGTATAGGACTAGGGGGTTGACGAGCCGATTGCGCCGTTCCTTGCGAAATGATAGTGGAGCTAGATCGAAGGGATGACTTGCGACTCGTAGTCGTACTATTAGATGCGTTACTCCAGCGGCGCTCGCGGGATTCAAGGGGGCGGAGGCGGGCGTCGAGGTCGAGGTCGGTCGTTGTAGGGGTGACACTGCGGGAGGAGCTGCGGGAGTGGGAGCGGTCTCTGTTGCGGGCTGGTTGGAGGAGGCTAGAGCGGCGCTTGCGGGAGGAGCCGGTGTGCGAGAGGGTGCGGTGGTGGGCGTGGGCGTGGTGGCCGGATTTCTCGACGTCGGCGCTGCGGCTGCTGAGGCCGCGCGCGCGCTTCCAGCCGCGCCAGCCTGTCCACCAGAGCCAGCCGCCTTCTTCCCGGGCGATTTCGCGTTGGCGGGCGCGGACCCGCTTGCGGAGTTCGGCTCGTCGCTCGTTTTCTGTGGCCCAGTATTCGTTTCTGTAGACTTCCCATTCTTGGCGGAAGTCGGGTGTGAATGGCTTCGGTAGAAGAAGAAGCTTGATGTAGTCGCCTCCAGGTGCAATGTCTTCTTCGGCATACTCCTTGCCATCCTCAACTATACGGTGTCGTGGGCGGCCTCCGTCTAACGCATGCTTATTCTCCTGCGCAACATTGATAAAGTGATACGAGCTTCCTCCAGTCTCTCCGCCCCAAAGGCCACCCGAAAAAGGCACAACAAAGTGCGCCCACTCGACCAATTCTCTCCACCAAGGCCCTCTGATGACGACAATCTTGGCATTCATGCCCCTCAGCCCGCGGTTGGCAACGCCAATCCAGCGCCGTGGCCACCGGACTCCTCTCTCCCATTGTCCTGTTGCCCAGAATAAAAGGGCCGTGACAACACCCGTGATGAAGCCGACCTTTTGCAGCATATCAAGCAGCCAATATTGTGAACCACCAATTCCCTTGCCATCCTCCCGCGGCCGTAGCCACAGTAGGTAAAAGCAGAAGCCGATCCATACCGCCAGCAATGTCAGCACAAAGGTGTTTTGCCGGCGCCGCGCGCGTAGGGTGAGGTACTGGCTGCGCAGACTGGCTTCCAGGATGAGGAGATTCAAGTATATCTGGGGCGGAGACGACGGAAGGAGGGCTGTGGGGTCGCTAATGACGGGCGGTCGCGGGGTCTTGATAGTAGGGAGTCGGTCGTTTGCATCGTGGGGGCCGTGTGCGAGTATCGAGGCCGAGTATGGCGGCGGGTCTCTCTCCATTCTCTCAGCGAGCTTGTTTACATTTGTGCTAGGCGGCGGAGCGCCTTTGACCATCTGGTCCAGCGTCTGGTTCGCCATTTTGCGTGTGGTGTTCACCGTCCGTGGCGTGCTTCTGTGACGTCGACTGCGTCTGCGTCTGGCGGTGACATGTGAGGCCCAAGCCACAGGAGCCGAGAGTTGTAGCAGTAGCAAGGGCAGAGCGCTATTGCATGGCGATATATGTGCCGGGAGAACGCGTCCCTGTGTTTGTGACTTTCACGTGAAGATGCAAGGGTCTCGTGCTCATATCGACCGAGAGAGAGACAGAGGGTGTCGTGTATGTGCGACTCGGGCGGCATGGGAGGATGCAGCCGCTGGTCTAGCCGGGAGCGGTGAAGACCAGGATTGCTGGCACCGTTGTGTGTCTACCCCACCACGCCTAGCATCGTATAGGCAGGCCGGGTTGGGAGGTTTCGACGACATGAGGTGACACGTCCTAGGCCATGCACTAGATCAAGACGTGGACGGGACGGGGCCGGGGCAGACTGCATGCAGGGCCTCATGTGAGGAGATCATCTCTGCACCCGCCAGCCATGGGAGGGGTACCGTCCACCCGGGCGGAGTCTCGACACCCACCACCCATCACGAGTCGACTGCATCTAAACAAAAAAACTATACTAACATTGTCATGCCTGCAGTTGGAGAGGCTCTACTAACCAAACGCCAAGCGGTTCACAAACCAACCTCCAAACGCCCAGTACTATGCACATCCATCTATCCACCCAATTCTATCCGCGTCTTCGTTCCTGTTCTCTCCGCCTGACTTCCTCCATCTCCTCTAGCATCACTCGGTTGAACTGCTCCCACCCGTCTAGGTACACGTGGTGACCGGCCTTGTTGATGATGATAACCTTGGCAATGCCATGATCTTGCTTCTTCTCCTCAGGCGATGCCTTTGCTAGTATGCGTTCACGCTCCTGTTTCATCTTCTCCTCCGCAGCGAACCCGCCCGCAACATCCATCCAGTCATTCTCTCCGTACATGAAGATTACAGGGAAACCCTTCTCGCGCTGCGCGGCCGGTTCGGAGCTTGCAGATTGGTTTGGTGGGGCATCGCCATCCACAGAAGGCGTGTCATGTGCTTGTATCCACTGCCGCCCTACGCCTTGTATCCTCCGAATCAGAGGGCTGCGGGCAAATGCACCGGGGGCTAGGAGGTATGACAGCGCATACTCTGAACTACCGCGCTGGCGGAACAGAGCATAGCTGTAGTTGTGCAGTGCCTGCGCTTCCTCTTCGGGCAGATGTGAGAACCGGCGTGATGTCCATCCTGACACAAGACGTGGACCAAGAGGCCCTGACCAGCGGACAAAGGTAAAGGGAGATACCATATTTGCTTCCCAGAGTGAATACAACCACCATGGTAAACGTCGTCTGGGTGGCTCCTTGCCTTCTTTTGCCGTGGCTAGGACATGTTAGTTGTGTGCTGACGCCACCAACCCTGGTCTAAACATACCTTTTCCCTTTTGCTGGTTCATGAAATTGTTTTTATCCGCCGTTGACGCCTGCACCCCGCTTTGGTTCGTCTCGGCAGCATCCTGGGTAAATTCATTTGCCATGGTTGAATCCTGGGGGTCAGGCATCTCGTCATCTACTGCATATGGGTCTTCTGGTATGCCCACAGGGGAAGCCAGGATCAACTTGTTCAGATGGCCCGGATACTTCAATGCGTATGCTACAGCCAGGTATCCACCCAGACTATGGCCCAGCAGTGTGAAGCGCTCCAACCCTCGCTTGATCCTCCATTCCTCAAGCGCATCCACGAACCACGACTCGGTTTCTGCAATCTTGCCCTCCTTGTCTTTGGCGTGGATTTTGAACGGTGGCCGGCTACTTCGTCCCATGCCTAGCAGATCCAGTGCATAAACCTTCCAACCCTCGGCACGCGATATGGCCTCAAAGTTGCGATAAAAGAAGCCCAGTCCGGCACCGTAGCCATGCAACATGACCAGATTGTTCTCCACATCCTCGCCCAGACGCTCGACAGAAAACTCATTGAGCGCGCGATCCTTGCCACTCAGCTCAACCATCTGCGAGTTCCATCGTCGTGGGCCATAAGGGTCGTTGGCCGCAGTGGTTGTGGTGTGGTCTTCGGGGTGTTTCGGTGGCGCATGCAAGTCGACGAACGAAGGCACTGCAGAGCCTGAGGCGGCGCCTGTTTGCGTGTGTGTCGGTGGGCTCTGGAGGTGGGGGACAAAGGAGAGGACGCGGTGTTCGGTTGCCATGGGGGATAGGCCAGCCCACCACTGCTCAAAGCCTGCCTTTGCTGACAGCGGGAACCATTTGGAGAAGCGGCCTTGTTGTGCCTCTCCCTGCTCCTTTGCGCGCTGGCTCGCCAACATGCTCTGCTGGCCTCCCTGGGCGCCTTCTGGATGATCCGGAGCCGCCATGGTGGAACTCGCTTTGCTCTCGATACGAATGGGTGTGCTGAGGCTCAGGCTGATATAACTTGCGCCACCAAATCCAACGCTCTTATGAAGCACGCTGCGTGCGGTTGGTCGTGCCAGATAGGACCGGAACATTCGCAGGCGTACCGTGTATGCAGACAGGGGAGTCTTTGTTGTAGTAAATGTCCGCAGGCGCGAACTCACAGTAGGTGGCGGTATGATTGCGGTATTTGTGGTGTCGCAGAGCGCCCTGAGGCGCTGGCTGCGATGAAGTAAATCGGGGCGAAGTGCTGACGTCGACGCTCTCTGGACGAGTTCGGATGGCGAATGGAGATTACGACTCGGAGATAGTGAACACCGGGCCGTATCGACCAAGACGTCGGGCGAATTCTCAGGCCGCCCCGTCACACCGAATATGTAGTAGTAGTACACGTATCATGTAAGGGCTGAGGTGGGCAAGCCAGGTATGTACATACGTCAATCCTGGCAACGAGGCGAGCAGAGAAACCGGTGTTCAGAATGCCATGTGCCATTGCTCAAGGCACCATGGATAAAAGTCACTTGAGCCTCATCACCTGCCTGGCCGCGCGCACTACTGCCCCCCCGCCAATCACATTCCCCTGATCTACCACACCGATGACCGAGGCGTTCCTTTGGCGGCATCCAGCCCTCTGCCCTGAATCTTCACCGTCTACCCACTCACCATAGGCACAAGATGAAAAAATAGCCGAGACAGTTTGTATGTATGTATTGTTGCTTTGTCATGTACATCGTAATATGGTATCCCTCGCTATGCAAACAAGAAGAAGCAAAAACTCCGGTCTCAATGCAAATGTCCCGCATGCATGTAGTGTACAGTAATTGCCCTCGGCTCCCTGGTATTCTTACGATCTCTCCGCTTGGCATCAAAAGCATTCGCTATCGCTCGGCGCATATTTCTTCTTTCTCTGGTGCTGTAGTGGAATGCGCCATGGAATCCAACAGGCCTCTTTGTCGGTGAAGCTACCGTGCCAGAATGCGGTAGACCACCAGATATGATTTGTCCAATTTCAATCTGGAGTTTCTTGTTGCATGCTGAGGGCTGGCATTCTGCGCTGTAACGCTGTCGTGTGAACTTGACTTCCAGTGACATGTCCTCAGGCGAAGAGATGTAAACTCCCATTTCCGGGCAATCAGCGACTTTATTCGGCCAGCCGTATGCGCATGTATTGATTAAACATTACGCCAGTCTTGATTCCTCTCACACAAACGGCTTGGGCTCTTGCGCAAACGGCACAGAGTTGGCACTAGTTACGCTCTGCAGGCTCATCCTGGTATCCCTCTTGTAGTCTGCGCTTCCCGGCCTATATTGTTTTTGGAGACGCCCGCTGTTGCTCGAACTTCCAGAGTCCGTTCTGGTCTGAGCAGCAAACGGCCGCTGTGGGAGTCCCATTCCCTGCTTTTCGAACAGTGCTTCCTGGCTCATCGGCACCTGGCTCATCGGTGTCTGGTTCAGCACACTTTGTGGCTCTGGGCGCCGCTTTCGCTTGATGCAGCACCAATTGCGGTCGTATGGATAGGCCCAGAAGAGATAGCAGACTGTCCATATAACGGCGATGGTGGGTATGAGTCCGAGGCAGATGATGAGGGCGATGGCGGTTCCTGTGATTGCTGGGCCGTCACTGCTGGACCCTGCCAGAAGGCGTGCTTCAAGGTGGTTGATGGCAGGCATAGTGGATGTACTTTGTTCAACTGAGGCGGTCGATGTATTTTCTGGCGACAGGGAGGAGTGGTGTGTTAATGCGAACGAACAGTCACGGTGGGGGTTATGGTCAGATTGCTATAGAAACGACTGTACGGGAATGGGTGCACAACGTTCGAACAGCGAGGGGTGAAAGGCGGCAATCACCTGTGAAAGTGGATAGAAGTTGAAACACAAAGGTATTGCACTTGCCGATGAAGCGCTTTGTATGCGGGTCTCAAAGGAGCCCACTCTCGGAAACGTCATGGGGCATCGAGGGTGAACATGACGCATATAGCCATTATGCCGAGCCTTTTGACACTGTGGCGTTTACGTACTAACTATACGCTACTACGCGCGTGGTGTAGATCCAAGTCTTCCAAGTAGTAGTCCAGCTGTCGCCGAGCCCAACTCGTCATTCACTGAAGCCGCAGCAGTACTCTATCTCGACACCGTGCATTCCCTTCAAATGAGCGACGCAGCATTTACCTGCGCGCACGGAGTTGTTGTTGTTACAGAAATAGCGAGGATATAGGGGATTTCCCGTTGTCAGGCATGCCGCTACCCGCGTGCCGTACCAGCCGTGAGGCCAAAAACCTGAAGGATGGTGAGCGCCACAGGTGACCAGGTCATTGACGTATTGTGGCCTGTAGCGTAGCGTTAGCCCTGGTTTTCGCTACCGGACTCGGAAGACCCGGCGATGACAGCATGGATGCAGGGCCAGGCCCTGGCCAGAGAACATCAATCTGTGGGGAAAGGGTCTGCAGTGTGCGCACTCAGGCATCGAATCCCAGGCCAGCACAATCCGCCTCGACTCTCTTCCGAAGAGCCTCAAACGGTCGTTGCAGCCATAAAATGAAGGACCGTGTCTGCGTCGCGAACTTGTCAGACGGATGTGGGGCGGCCGTTCCAGCAATAGGCGAAACGCCTCTGCTGTCTAGACGCCGACACCCAAAGTCTGAGCCTGAGGCGAGGCTGAGTGTGTGTACGTACCTCCATGCTTTGCAATCGTCTTGGATATACTGCGTGAGTCGCTGCGCCATATTTCGCGCCTGCCCGCTTTACCCAAGTCAACAACTTCGACCTCTTTGAAGCTCTCGTCATCTGGGCTCGCGTCCTTGGCAGCCCGCAGAGTTGAATGGAAAAGGGCTTCTGTTTCGTGCCATGGCATGGTCGAGTCACTTTCGGCATGCACCAAGACCAGATTGAACCTTGAACAAGTTCCTAGGCTGTCGTCAGCGACGGAAAACTCGGCTCCGGCATCCTACGATAATGTGACTTGGCGAGACGAAGTGCACCACAGGAAATTGACTCAACTTACGCGCCATGGCCGCAAGTCGATCGTCGGTACGCCATGTACAGACCATTCTCTGCGCGAACCATTTCTGAAACGCAGGGAAAACCCTGATTGGCGCCAGCACTGGAACTACTCCGCCAATAGAGTACGATGAAAATGCATTGCCAGCATTGGTAAATGCTGCACACAAAATGAGACATGCAAATTCAATGCCCGAGTTAGCCGCGTAGCGGTGTGCGATACCAGACACCACTGCTGTTCCTAATGAATGACCAAGAAGCACGATTCGCTCTGGGGGTACGTGGCATTTGTTTAACGCCCAGTCTATAACTGCTTCTGCATCGTCCAGTAACCCGGATTCCGACGGCTCTCCCTTGGAGAGGCCGAAGCCGCGGTAGTCAAATGCCAGCACAAATATTTTGTCTGATGCACCGGCAGAGAAGGATCGATACTCGATTGTTCGACGCTCCTGCGCCAAGGTTGCAGAGTTGCCGTGAAAGTAGATGAGTAGCCTTGCTTCTGGGTCTTTGCATAGTGATTTCCAAGCTACTGTATCCTCTACTTTGCTGCCGGTCTTTTCTTCAGTGAAAGCAATTTCGTTCTTCGCATAAACACCGAGTGGTGCAATAAGCCATGCAAACAGTTCATGTTTGCCTTTGGTTGCAATGCGAAAGGGTACAACCTGGTTTTCTGCGTCCGTGAGTATATACCTTGCTGCTTAGCGCTGGCATGGGCATGTACAACATACTGAGGAATCCGGCTCTTTCCGGTTCAGTCAGCCATTTTCCAGGAAAGAAAGTGATGTTGTGAAGGTACAGCATTTCTATCTCTGTCAGCGTGAATCAGCTTCAGTTTGTGTCCCGTGCATCCTGACGTTTCTGCACCCATGGCAAGCAGCAAAGCAACGTGGCTGGTATCCATAGTAAGCTGATAAAGGACAATGTTGTTCCAATCGAATCGGTGATGCCCATGTCGGGGTTGTTTGTGGATGCAAGCGTAGGAGAGAAACGGATGAGGACATGGACGGGAAGCCTAGCGCGTGGCTTCCGCAGACCCATTGTGGCTTCCACTTCCAGATGTCAAGCCACAACAGCCATCAATTTACAGACTTGCCACAACCTTCATCATCGCCAAAATTACCGAATCAACAGAGACGGCAGGATATGGGTCGGAGATGGTATTAGTATTTTCTGCTGATGGAGACATGATAATTAGGCTGATGCTACACGTTATTCACAATTCAGTTGTAGGTTTACAACCCGCAAAAATATTGTACATTACACTTACACACTGATCACAAGGATAGAAATAACGTTAAATCACTGCCGGCTCTCATAAATCACCAGAAACTAACAAAGAACTCACGTATGTACTATCGTCTATTCTCTCATCAACTGTATCACAACCCTGCAATCCATTAGTTACTATAAAGGTCATCATTCAAACCAAGTCCCTTGTTCCCCCTCTTACGCCACTCAATCATCTCATACTGCTCAGCCGATTCCGGGCCACGAAACTCGGGATACAGAGACGGACGGCGCGCAATGTTAAGCTGTTGATCCGCTAGATTAACGATGCTCGTCGCACGGTGGATTACGCTATCCCTAGCCGTCCCGCGCTTCATAATCATCTCGGCTCGCTTGTACTCTTCAGATTTCAGAGCGTTTTGAGCGAACATGATTTCCTGGTTTCTGCTAGTAGTCGTGTAGCGCTTGGGCTCGGCTACTGGGACGTCCGTGAAGACTCGTGATTCACGGCCGTTGGCGCGCTGGATGTCTGTAGGGGAAGAGTAGAAGGAGGAGCCTGAGAAGTGATGGGCTGCAGGTACGGTGAGATGGGTGTTAGGCTCGTGCTCTACCCTAGGCGCTTTTGGCGAGACGCGGGGCGAATAGTCGGGGTAGTCATGAACTGTGTCGCCTCCAGCGACCGTGAAGGGGCGATTAGCTTCAGTCTCGACATACGGATTCCGCGCCGTAGCCGAAGGCTTGTTATCGCGCAATACCTTGCTCTTCATCTTTTCCCAAGTCGACAGCTTCGTGCTTTCCTCAACCTCAGCGGCACACACATGATCGGTCTCATGTGCGCCGCCCAGTTCGACATCCAACTTGGAGGGAGTGTTGCTTTGCGAGGACAACCTGTTGAGTGCCTCCCGCTCCTTGACCATTGCTGGAGTAATAGGCTTCAGCTCACCAGACTCCCACTTCTTAAGCTGCTTCTGCATGTTACGACAGTTCGGACATTTGTCTTTGCTACGTAAACAGAGCATGGCGGCAAGCATCACGATTAGCAGGACTGCTAGCAGAATTATGAATGCTAAAACCGCATAAGCGAAGGTGTCGTCGGTCTTCGGTACACTGGAAGCCGACTCGGGTGGGGCAGTTGAGACGGGTTGTATAGTGGTTGCAGAAGAGACCGGTGGGGTTGTCTGCAAGGCTGTAGATGTTGATGAAAGAGTAACTGTTGAAGGGATATCAGTCGTTGTCGTGGTTGCAGATGTAGACAAAAGAGTATGCTTTGAAGAGACATGTGTCGTTGTGGAGCTTGTAGGCATTGGTGAGAGTGTAACCGTTGAAGAGCCATCAGTCGTTGTGGATGCTACATTTGTTATTGAAGAAGCAGGATACGTGCTTGTGGTCCCAGGAACATCTGTTGCATATACAGTGGTGTGTTCAGTGACTGAAACTGTACTGTAAGCTGGATGTGAAAAGCCCTGCATTGTTACCTTGATCTTATTAAGTGATTTCGAGAGTATGATGATGTTTTTCCTATTCCTCAAAGGTATTGGATGCTGTTTTGCTATGGTTCTTTCAAAGTTAATATTGGCTTATGGAATTGTTGTGGCGAAATTATAAGTGAAGCCAGCCACGATCATTGTTGAATGTATCGTAGATAGACGCTTGACTTTGTGAGTACACCATGTGTGGAGCCAACGTGTAAAGGCATACTCTCAGCTCATAAATTGACCTTGGTGAAAGAATGTTATGTATACACACGATGTGTCTCAGACACATTGTGAAATGGGAAGATTCAGTGGATGATCTTAAAAAAATTATTTGATAGGGCCTCGAAAGAGCCAATCATTGTGTTCCAAAAGATTTCCCGTCGTCTTCGTAGGTTGTAAGAAAAGAAACCATCACCAGCTATAATTTCCAGATAGCAAGAGATCCGATCTAAACCCTTGATTCACCACCTACACTGAACCGTCACCCCTTACTGAATGTTGCCATGTGTCCGCTTCATATGTTCGTAGGTCTCTCGCCCTCTATCGAACGTCTCCATACATAACCAGCAAATGTGGATCCGGCATGATATGCGCTCCAGCAGTACACAACTATGATATGCTAGTCGTACGGGAATCCATTACAAGGGAAGATACAACTCGTCTTCGTGACATGATGATCTATGCAGCTTTCCATCCTACGCTCTCTACTTTCTTATGCCATGCTTTCGCACTTTCCCGACTAGCGCTCTTCCCCTGATCTGACGTCATTTGTTTACTGCTACTTTCGCCTAAACGAATGATTGGACTAGGCGAATAGCCAGACGCGCCAAAACCCTACCAACTTGGTTCGAAGTGATACAGTACAAGCAATAGTAAGATAACTATCAGTGAATAGACTCTATTCGAACTTAGACGAACTACTAGAGAGCATCTCTAACGATCTTGAAGTTTATATACTAGGTGCTGACTAGGAGAGGCTAAGGTAGACCCCACAAGACCCGGTGGGATGGTTTTTAACACTCTTCTAGATATCAAGCACAGGAGCGATTACAACCACTGCTATTAGCTATCTATCCTGACGAAAGCCTTTTTGAAGGACACTTTTTAATATTAGCGACACTTATAAGATCTCAATCGGGTATTTAACCTACATACAAACAACCACTGACCGAACATTGCTGGAGATCCTGTGAACTGCAAGCTAATGTCTAGTTTGTATAAGTAACGTATACAGTAGGTAAGGTTTTTTAATATCAAATTCATAGGATGAGAATGCATACCATCTCGTCGGCATGAGCTACACGGCAGTAATTTGCAGTTAACTAAGCTGATAATAAGCCTGTAAAACAAGGTATGAGAAATATAATTGTAAAGCGCATTGTATCTCTATAAGGTAAATCTTTTGGAGAAAGCTATAAATAGGACTAGAAAATATTGATTGTTTCAACAGCTCTAGTGCGGGGGAATCTGTAAGTTATGTATTATATAGAAAAACTTAAAACTGTCAAACTATATACACACTGCTTGTTAGAACAAAGAGTTAGTAAAATGAATTAATATCCATGCCTATGAGCTGGAAACCACCAATCGGATTTTATGAATTGTAAACTTTTCTATAACCCTGTACTCTAGTTAGCTTACGTTAGAATTCTCTACTGTGCTACATGCCTAAAGCTTTGTACTGTGTACTATGGAGACGCTAAAACGATAACCAGGTCCTTCTTCGGATAACCTATTGCAGAAAAATACTACGCTGTTCTTAATAATACTGAATCTATATAGTACAGCTCTTACTCTCTACCCTGGCCCGTGTCGTCCCCTTGCTAGTGGATCGACATACATCAATTCTGCAATGTAGCACAGTACAACCCTGTAATCTAGTCAGCTTTGATCAGGTCTTTGTCGGACTCATACGTAAGCCCGTTGTGGGGATTTTGATGGCAGCTCGTGCAGCGAAATGGGCGGACGCAAAGTTGTTGGCATTGGCCCTCACTTTGTCGTCAAGTATGGGCGTCAAGTTGATCCTATCGAGGGCACTATGTTGTTCCTAGCACGATCAACGCAGATCTCAGTTCCACGGGTCTACGCGTTTTTCAAAACCCCGCACAGAATACTACCTACATTGTCATGGAACGTATCAAAGGGCACAGTCTAGATCTGGAGTGGTCTCGAATGGACGTTGCAACGAAAGACGCTGTTGCCACCCAGCTTCGGAACACTTTCAGAGATATGCGAAAGCTGTCTTCTCCTGGTGGATACTGCGGCGTCGACAATGGAGGATTACCGGACGGTATTTTTTGGACAAGCGATCCATCGAAACCGTTCGCCGGACCATTTGACTCCGAAACAGAACTCGATGAAGCCATGGTTCTCAAGTACACACAACATGGCCTCTAGAAGTATAAAGCAAGTTACTACACTCGTGCGTTTGCTAGTGTCCATCGAAACCACGAGCCCATCTTCACACATGCGGACTTTTAGCGGAAGAATAGTGTTGCCCGCGATCGAACAGCACAGTTGAACGGTGCAAATCCTGAGTTGGTCATCATAGACTGGGAGTTTGCCGGCTGGTATCTGAGCCACTGGGAATATGCTCGAGCTATCTTTGCTTGCGGACGATGGGATGATGATTGGTATGATTGGGTGAACAATATCCTGGAGCCCTATCGTAATGAGTATATATGGATGGAAAAGCTACTTAGAGAGCTGTGGTCGTGATCCATGTTCGCTCAAAACCATCAAATGCGCTTCCAGGTGGGTCATGTCAACACAATTGGATACCGCATCATAGGGTGAAACGGCTTGCAGGTTGTGGATGGTATAAGTTCCGTAACTAATTCGAAATGTGGTCAAAAGTCCCTTGGACAGCAGTAAGATTCTCCACTCCACACACTAGAAGCCCATTAACTTGCTCGAAGGGACTGTAAGCTAGCCTTACTGTGGGATGAATGAGTGAGGTTGCTATATCACCACTGAAATCACTGTCCGTTGATGTATAATACCTTGTTGAACACGCGATACATGATTTAGGCGCCCATCATGCTATACTAAGAGAAATTTGTTTAACATCTTCCTTTTTGCTACTTGTTGGACTTTTTGGAAAATCGTCTAGTAAATGGTTCTTTTGTAAAAGAGGCTTTACGTTTTTTTGGCAACCAATTCATTCAGACATTAGGTTATTTTGATTTTCATTGCAAGAATAAGATAATCTTTTTCTAAGAAGAAAGCAATCTCATCACTTTTCGCCGTTGCGCAACATTTTGTTCTCTCGACTTAAGTGCTTTTGATAGAACGGTTGCATGCCACAATACGCTGCGGTTGAGACTTCTTCAGAAAACGATCAAATCTGTTAACATTTCATCAATTATAAGGCCAAGCAGTACAAAACTGGCGTAGACTAGTCGTATGCGAATCCCTTATAAGAGAAGGTTTTGTTCATTTTCGTGACATGACAATCCATGAACCTTTCCATCCCATGCTCTCTACGTCCTCATGCCGTGCCCTCGCACTTTCTCGACTAGTCCTTCGCTCTTCCCTTGACCCAATGTCGTTTGTTTACTGCTGTCGCCTAAGCAGCAACTTAAAGGCATTGCTCCCTCGCTGCATCTCGACCACTCTTTCACACTTGGACAACACCCACACAACCAGCCTATAGATCTAAAACGCAGATCTCAACTTCGGCAGTACACCCACATATCATTCTGTCAACTACACATTTACAGCAAACCATGAATAAGTCGGTTCAACTGTGAAGAGCGATCTCAGTGGGCACGCATAAAATTCTGTGAGTGTTTGGTAGACATCCCGAGGTTGCAGATCCGAGCTGATATAAGAAACTCGAAGATCCATATGGTTCATCGCGTTGTTACCGGTATTACTATCTCGACTAGCACTTCGGAGCCTATTTCTCATCATCGCTCGCATTTTTTCATAATATCATCACTCACCAAATTCATCAAACTCACCAAGCTCACCAAACCCACCAATATCGGCCTTGATGTGATCCCGAAATCATTCATTGTATTTAACGACTCCAATCCAGCACCTTGCAAGCAACCCGAAAATCAACTTGTAAGGCTGCCACATACACCATAACGTGAACGAAATACCCAGGCATACACCATGACCATCTGGCCCTTCAACCTTATGGACGAACCCGAGGTCACTGGATTCGACCGTGAAGAGCGACGTTTTTGGGCACGCACAGAAGGCTGTGAGTACTTGACACATGTTCTAAGACAGTAGATCAGGGCTAAAATTAGAAATAGAAACTATAGGCTTCAGGGTCATGAATTCGATCGTCGCTGTCGTTGCCCTCATCCTTCTGTACACTGTGCCGAATCAGACTGCCGCACAGACAATGTCCACTATCAATCGAGACATTCAGCAACTGAACCATAGCCTCAAGGTTACTACCTAGTTCAAGGTTCTCGAAGTTCTTAAATATTCGTTGAACGACCACATACGCATGCGCAAGGAGCTTGAGTTGTTGGGGAGGACAAGAACAACTAGGCTCTAGTGACCAGGGACTGGCGAGTATTTGAATAGGTTATTCGTCAGGGCGGTTTGTCATGGGGGCGGCCAATTTCAGCGTGAGAGATTTGAGTAGAGTGTTGAAGATGTATCCAGGGGATGAGGTAGAGAGAGGTTTTAACACTAGCACGTGACCTATTCATGAGGTGTAGTAGCGCCTTGGCGGATATCCTATACTTAGTCCAATTGCTCAGCAGCTCCATCAGATCTCTCACTGTACTATTACTGTTTTGATTATCTTTCTGCTGCTTTTCTTGCTTTTGGCGTTGCACCGTAGCATCTAATAGCTGCTCTTTCGATCTGCATTGCGCAGTGCTACCCCAAACGCATTGCGCGATCGTTTCGAACCCGCGGCACCATCGAGGTCCAGCCCGGAAAACAGCCCAAAGCAGGCCCTATCAGAATCATAGCCAAAAGGAAAATTGTCTATAGTGTAACCTATCGACCATTGCGAGTTGATAGCACCTAGCACTCACGAACGCACTCACAACTCCATGCCGCCTATCAGTTCGCGAAGAATTGAAGGAGCTGAGCATCGACCTACAACTCGACCTACACGATCTACGAGCACCGTAATCGAGTAGCCCTGGACGCCGGCATACCCACGCGTCCTCGGTTTCATCGACTACGCCATCGAATTGTGTAAACAAACTGGCCGCGCGAAAAGGCAGACGCGGCACCGCCAGGGACTAGACGGCAATGACACCACATGGATTGGAGATTCGTCACCGGTCAATACATCCTCAGCGTCTTCGACACCGTCGTTTCCTACACCCAAAAAAAAGCATAATGCCACGTCATCGACCGACGAACAACCACTCTCATTAATTGTATAGTAACCATTCCACTGTTCTTCTTCTTGAGTTATGCGCTGATCCACAAACAGGTATCCTATTAGCAGTCCGAATATAGTCAACCATGGTTCAGGAGGCAAAATCTCTCTTGTTTCCCCAGGACACCAACCCATAGATCTTTCTATCCCGCTCTCTTTCCTATCTAATCTTGCGCTCTCTCACTTCTCATTCTGTCCTCTCGCGGTTTCTTGACCTGCAGCTTCCATCATCCGCTCCTTCCTCGATTGACTTCACCATCCGCCCCTCCCTCGATTTAACGTCACGTACTTGCTGCTAGCAAAATGACTCAAAAGTATCCCAACCGGCGTGCTTCCACCGACTCCACTCCACCACCTTACAAGCAGCCCAAAGGTGAACGTGCAAGCCCATCACACACATCTCAACACACCAAGGCATACACCATGTGGCCCTTCAACCCCGTGCCCATGAACGAACCCGAGGCAACTCAGTTCGACCGTGAACAGCGGCGTTTCTCGTCACGTACAGACTTGTGTGAGTACTTGACACATGTCCCAAGGCAGCAGATCAGAGCTAACATTAGAAACTATAGGCTTCAAGATCCTGAATTTTATCGTCACTATCGTTGCCCTTATTCTTCTATACAATGTGCCGAACCAAACTGCCGCAAGCACAATTTCCAACATCAATCGAGACATCCTGCAACTCAACCTAACCATTGGGGATATGAGGGAAGCCGTTGCACGACATGAGTTCCGCCTTTACTTGAACAAGGAAGAGTCTATATCCCATATCATGGAGATTCGACGCAACAAGTGGGAGCTTGATAGCTTAATTTCCACCGTCGGACAGCACATGGAGCAGCTTGATTCGCTCACTACCATCGCCCAAGACAGCAAAGGAAAGTTTCGAGACCTAGTGTCAGATGCTCAACATCAGTATACAGATATTCAAGTTCTCAAATCCAAGCTTGATTCGCTCACTACCATCGTCCAAAACAGCAAAGGAAAGTTTCGAGACTTAGTGTCAGATGCTCAAGTTCTCAAATCCAAGCTTGATTCGCTCACTACCATCGTCCAAGACAACAAAAGAAAGTTTCGACAGCTTGACACCGCCAAGGACGAATTGGAGATGCTTCATTCAGACATCCGAGTCATCAACGCCAGACTTTATTCGTTAACTACCAACCGCAAAGCTATCCAGGCTTATCAGAAGTTGTCTTCCGATGGCCCATATACACGTGATGAGCTCTAATCATCGAGGGAAGGTCCAGAGACTGGCGAGTGTTGGAGCGAGTCATACATAGGGGCGGTTCGTTATGGTAGTGACCTAGTGATAAGAAGAATATCCCATATCGAGAAGCAGATCAAGGAAGGTGAGCCAAAGGGCACAGCATATCGGTGGATATCCTGTAGTAGTAGTTAGCCCAGCTGCTTAGCAGCTCCTCCAAATCCATCATCATACTACTACTGTTTTGAATACCTGTCTGTTCCTACTGCTTTTCTTGGTTCCGGCATTTCACAGTAACACCGCTTACGAGCTGCTAGGATTATCTTATGATAATCGTTTGAGCTACTTGGTCTCTCCCTGTGTTATGCAATACTATGTTATGCATCACACGATTGAGCTCACTGCTCTTGGTAGCAATTCAAAATGCCTCCTATAGGATTCGCAGAACGCTGCAAGCACACACGAGACGGGCCACTGCCCCAAGCACCGCCATCGCACTAGACCTGATTTGGAAACCATGATGGCCAAGACATAAGGCCCCAGAGTAGCGTCGGGGTAGTGGCTTTGGCAAAACGCGGTAATATTACTGAATCCGGAAAAGAATGTACAGGAAAAAGACACAGCATTGATGGGGAGCAGAGCTGAACATGGTGGCTTGCTTGTTGCAATGTGTTTGCTATTCTGATGTATGGTTGGGGCCAAAAAGCAGCCTATTGCATCACTGGGTGACCATGCAGTTCGCTTTCTTGGCAAGGATAGATATGTATAAGAAGATGGAGTAATTTCTTGATGTGTTCTATCATCTACCTTCATACCTTCTTTCTTTTCAAAGACTAAGTACATCATGAAAGCGTACGCACGGTATGCAGCAGCAATTGCTGCCATGTTGCCGCTGGGCCACGGCTCCCCTTTGAATGCAAGAGGGAATACCAGCATGGTTTATGATTTCTCCCAAGTAGGTCTCATCTGCTAGCGTCAAAATCGATGGCGACTTACACATACACAGTTGACCGCGAGCCCATCGCTTGCTTGGTCCCCATGTTATAACAACTTGTATGAGCATTCTGATCTTTCGAGAAGAACAAAGGCCAATTAACATTGCCAGTACTTGTGCCTTGCTAGAAGTACCACGCGATTACGCCAACAAAACCGCCGGCACCCTCAACATCGCCATCATCAAGAAACCCGGCCCAACACCCAACGCACAAGAAGTCCTCGTTAATCCTGGCGGCCCTGGCGGCTCATCCGTCAGTATGATTCTCTCCAGCTCCGCCGCAATTGAAGCCAAAATCGGAACCGACTACTCTCTCGTAGGCATCGACCCCCGCGGCATAAATAACAGCGAACCATCCAGCGACTGTTTCCCCGGCTACCCCTTCCAAACCCGCAATGCCATCCTCGAGGAACCCCTAGGTCTCGCAGACATAACCTCTGAAAAAGCACTGAAAACTCACCACCAATCCCTCCTCGGTTACGGAAAATGGTGCTCAGACATGTATGCTGTAAACGGCACCGCACAATACGCCAGCACCGTCGCCACAGCTCAAGATATGCAACATTACATCCAGCTCCGCGCCACCGACATGGGAAAGTCTGGCGAGGAAGCAAAACTCTGGTACTACGGCATAAGCTACGGCTCCATCCTCGGTTCTACATTCGCCAGTCTCTACCCAGAGCGTGTGGGCCGCATGATCATCGACGGCGTCCTCGACCTCGCCGATTACTACGATGGCGGGTGGGAAACCGCCACAGACGACAGCGACAAAGCCGCAGGCTACTTCTTCCAGCAATGTTTCGACGCAGGCCCCGCACTCTGTTTGTTCCATCAAAACGCCTCGTCTCCGCAGGCCATCCAAGATCGGTACGAAGCCCTGCTTGAGGATCTAAAGGTGAACCCTTTTGCGGTTGCGCAGGCGATTCCTGATCTAGAAAATCCGCTGACGGTTCCTGGAGCGCTGGCCCCGACACCGTATGTGTTGCAGTGGACAGATATCACAAGCCAGTTCTTCGCTACACTATACTATCTCAACCCCGCCTTCGTAGTACTAATGGACTACTGGCTTCTCGCTTTGCAGAACCGCGACGTAGCAATCTTATCCAGCATCACGCTCAAAGCGCAGATCAACAATTTTAGTCCGAGCTTCGATGAGCGGATGGGGAGAGTGCTGGTGGTGTGTCTAGATTCGGATGGGCGGTCGAATTATACGGAGTTTGAAGCGTACAGGGGGTTTGTGGAGGGAATGCATGAGGATAGTAGGTATGGTGGCCTGCATGTTGCGGCGCTGAGTGGACCGGTGTGCAGCCAGATGCGGGTGAAGGCGCCTGAGAGCCAGCGGTTTGATGGGGTGCCGAGGGTGAATGAGACACATACGCCTATCCTGTTCGTATCGTCGGTTGCGGATCCTGTTACGCCTTTGTCGGCGGCGAGGAAGATGAACGAGCAGTTTCCTGGTTCGGTTCTGCTGGTGTTTGATAACGTTGGTGTAAGTTCTCCCTTCACTCGAGATTTGTTTTTTTTGGACACTGACTGACTGGTCTTCACAGCATACTGCACACTTCCAGTCAATCGCGTGTGTCTCTGAACACGAAAAGCGATATATGCGTGACGGAACCCTTCCGCCTACGGATACGGTATGCGAGGTTGAAGAGCCCAATCCATGGATTGCTTTTGCAAAGCTGTCCAATGTCACTGGAGCTGCGCCATTATGAACTTAGTACCATAACAATGATGAGAGTGCTCTTATCAATGCTGCTGATCAATCAAAAAGATACATCGGCATCGGATCCAAGAGATAGACAACCTGCATGCAACGAGCAGGATTTAGATAGAGTTGTATACAGGGATAATACATGACTACGTTCTGTTACACATGTTCCAACATTACCCATCTTTCCTTTCGGCATCAATCGATATCATGTGCTCACATATTCCATAACCAATGCCGTATTTACCCCAGAGTTATAGACCAGCTCCTCAACCGAGACGACCCTTGCCACCTCCATACTTTCCTTCTGGCCCCTCAAGATGAGCATCCAACACAGCTGAAGTACCGCTCAACACCGACTTGATAGCTTCCGGGAGAAGCTTGCCCAGCTCGTCAGCTGTGCTCGCGTGCGCAGCCCATATCTCGCCACCGCTCGCCGCCTTGGCGATACCAGAGTAATCCGGCGTGGGCGCAAAGCTAATGTTGAGCTCTTCATTGCTGACTTTAGAGCCTTCGCCGTCTGGGTGAACGAGCAACATGGAACGGCGTGGGGCATTCCAGCCCTTATTGTTGAGCACGATGGTGAGGATAGGAATCTTGTAGCGCTGCGAGATCCAGTAGACGGAACCTGGTACCGAGAAGAGATATGTGCCGTCACCAACAATTTGGCATACAAATTTTTTCTTGCCTTCATAGTCGGTCGCGAGCTTGATACCCAGAGCACCACCGCCAGACCATCCAAGACCTCCACCGCCACAGTTTATCCATGACCCGGGCAACGTCGCTTGTATCTGGTCCGCGACAAAGCCGGTTTGGGTAACAGCCTCAATGGCCCAAATGGTATCTTCTGGGCATTGCTTCTTCAGCTGTGAGCAAAGGTAAGATGTGCTATAGTGGCCCTTGTCGTCGACCTTGGCTTCGTTAGCGATGCCTTCGAGTTTCTTCTTGTATGACTCTTGCAGGGCTGACCATCGCTGGTCAAAGAGCTGACTGGTGAGTTGATCCTTGAGAGACGACTCTAGGTACTCGTTCAGCTGGTTTAGCGACGTATATGAATCGGCTTGGTAGCGTTGGATGGCATTAAGATAAAAGACAGGCATCTGCTGCTTGAGCGGATCAACGTCAACATGGAAGATCCTCGCATCTTCTTTGGGGTGGCATTGTGTGTTGATCCATGGTACATCGCAGTCAAGGACTAGAATGACATCGGCTGTTTTGATGGCCGGATCGTTACCGTAGCGCAGGCCCAGCCACGCCGGGTGGTTTGCTGGGAAACACATGTCACTGCCTCCTGTATCCAACACGCGGATGCCTTTGACATTGTCTGCCAACCGAACGAGCTCCTTCACTGCTTCATGGTTTCTGCCAGAGTAGCCAGTCACGATAAGAGGTTCCTGGGCCTTGACCAGAGCTTCGGCGATTGCCTTGACGCCTTTGGGAGGAAGTGCAGCTGGCTCAACGGGTGCCCAGTAGTCTTTTTGCAGCTTGTATGGGGTCAGATCCTCCTCCATAGGCTCGCGCGCACCATAAAGGTAGACTGGCCCCTTTGGATCGCTCATGGCAAAGGACAAGGCGCGGTTGACCATTTGCTATGCAGTTGTTAGCGTTTCCTCATTACATGTCGCCGTCTAGCACACCTTGACGTTCTTTCCGGACTTGATCTCGCCCGTGTATCTGCAGTATTGCTCGACAATCTGTTTTTGGTCTGGCACATCCTGGATCCAGTGGATGTACTCGGTCCTGCTCCCGCGCATCTCGCCCTCAATGGTAAACGGGGACAGACCAGCGAAGATGAGAACAGGTGCGCGCCCACACGAGGCATTATGCACGGCAGCTCCAAGACCTTGTGTTCCAACATCAACGTGCACAATAACACATTGGGGTTTGCCCGTCAACCTAGCATATCCATCGGCCATGGACAGAGCAACCATCTAACCATATCAGTCATTGTGTAACGTTGGCTGCATGTGAGCTACTTACCTCATTTGGGCACGTGATGATTTTGGGGAATTGACCCTTGGCTTCATTCTGGCCTTTGACAATGGCCTCGATAATCGAAGGATGGTCCGATCCGAGGTTGACAAAGACATGGCTGACGCCATACTCCCAAAGGGCTTCAAAAAATGCAAAAGACGCAGTGTATCTGGACAAGTTTAGAGGGCGTTTTATGCAGTATCGAGATAGTCTATACTTACACCATGGTGTCTGATAATTTTCTGGAGAAAGTTGGAGGAGGGGCATCGCATCCCCGCGACGGCCATGTTTAACAACAGCTGGTTGCCCCACAGGCGCGGGGAAGCTGCGATCGCGGCAACGGTTGTCGGATGACATCAGTCGTCGGGCCGGGGATTTTTCGTCGAAAGTTGATACTGTTTCAACCTCTTATCTTCAACAAGGCGCTACATGTGCAAACCAGAAGGACTATCTTCACCCCAAGCACACCTCACTTGCGCCGAACGTTACGTATCCGTACTGCGGGGCGGCACGCTTCCGCTCTTCGGAACACCTTAGATGATCAACACACTCATAGAGCTACGACACTACGAATGCCGATCAAAGCCACGCAACACCGTCTCAGAGATTTGTAGACTTTCGCGTTTCGTAACATGGCTGAGTATGATTCTGCGCGAGTGTCATGTTGCACAAATGTCCAAACGAAACCCGTTTCAAACCCAAGTATGTATTTGTACGCTATCAGGGTAAGCATCTAAAAGCTCAAAACACCCATTGCTTAGTTCTTCTTACTCAATCTTTCAATTCCCTCCAAAAGCCACCATGTTTGTCAAGTCGACCTCTGTCGCTGTCTTTTTTCCATTCTCCGCGCTTGCCTATAGTGCAACATGCTCGAACTACCACACAGCCAACCATCTCCTTCGTCCCATTTGTAGAGGGCCTCCAGACGTCTATATAGTCGAGCCCACCAATGGCAAAGGCTTGGGTGTCTTCGCCATGCGCGATCTTGATATTGGCGACATTGTCATGCGCGAATCGCCCGTCATTAGGATCAGCCGTTCCAAACTCACAAAGGGAAGCGAGAATCCTATGGCTGCTGTTGCAAAACTAGTCTACGACGAATTCAAAATGCTTTCGCCCAGCGCACAAGAGCAGGTCTTGGCGCTATCTTATTATGCCAACGGTACGGTGAACACGCAGTCAGAGACACTGGGGACCATATTCCGCACAAATGCGTACAATACCGGTGACAAGTTCAGCTTGTTCCCAAGAATCGCTCGCATCAACCATTCGTGTCGACCAAACACGAGCTACTACTGGAGCGAGAGGCTCAATAAGCACATTGTCTTTGCTAGCCGAAAGATCAAGGCTGGAGAAGAGTTCTCCGTCTCTTACATTTCGCTTTTGCTTGCGCAAGAGGACCGACAGAAGCTGCTCGATCAATATGGCTTCAAATGCCAGTGCGAGGCATGTGCTCAGAAGCGCACAGCCAGCGAGGCCAGCGACAACCGTCGCATCACTATCAAAAACGCTTTTGATAGGTTTGACAGCCAGCTACTTCTCGATCCCCCGAAGACCAAGGCCGAAGTAGAACATGCCCGCAAGAGCGCTGAAGTGAGCGTTCAGCTTGCCCAGCTTGTACAAGCAGAGGGCCTTGCCGACTACTACGCGAGAGCTTACCGCATCGTCGCCCTCAGCTTTGCCAAATTGGAAAACTGGCAATCTGCCACGGATTGGGCGAATAAGGCGTACAAACTACGACACATGGAGGATCCAGAATCGCCGTATACTATGGAAATGCACGAGTTGACGTCCACGTACATCTCGAAATGGCAGACCCAGCTCACGGGCCGGTCCTGAGCTGAATGTATTTTTTAGTCTATCATCCTACCAACGGATAGCGTTTACTATGCTCAATCCCGCTACTACCCAGCGGAGAGAACTAGGCGTCCCAGACCTGCGGCTCGCACATGCGGCCCTGTTCACCCGACATGCCGCTAATTAGCCTAATCCGGAACCACGCCGCTGCACCTCATACCCACCACGTCTCTTCATCTCTCGGCATACTTTCAACATTGGGATTTCCCTCCTTCAGATTGAAAACTCCCATTCAACACACAATCAATCGCAAAATGGCATCCCAACGATTAATCGACACCACCTCGCGGGTGCGCAAGAAGCCCATGCGCATCCTTGTCCTAGGCATGTGCCGCACCGGCACAACCACCATCACCCTCGCACTCCGCAAACTAGGCTTCACCCCCCACCAAATGCGCAACGTGCTCTCCAACACCTCCGACCTCACTTTGTGGCAAGAAGCAATCAACCTCACCTTACTCCCACCTTCAGACCGTCCCTCCTATCAACGCAACCAAGCGCCGTATGGGAAAGAAGACTTTGACAAACTCCTCGCGGATTACGACGTCGTGACCGACCTGCCAGGCTGTCTGTTTGCAAAAGAACTAGTAGAAGCGTATCCCGATGCCAAAGTCATTCTCACTCTACGCAATTATGCAGATTGGGAAAGTAGCATGCGGGAAAGTATCTGGTGCCTGGATACATGGCGCTTATTTACTTTCTGTCGCCAATTCAATCTCACGCAACTAGCACCGCTGATGCAGCTTGTGCATTCGGCGTTCAAAGTGCATAGTGGGAATCAGTATGGCGGGGCTGCGTCGAAAGCGGCGTACGAGAGGCATTATGAGGAGGTGAGGAGTGTGGTTCCTAACGAGCGGCTGCTGGAGCTTGATATGGATGGGGAGGTGGGGTGGGAGGCGTTGTGTGGGTTTTTGGGGGTGGAGGCGCCCAAGGAGGGGTTTCCGGTTGTGCAGGAGGAGAAGGCTATGCGGAGGGGGTTGGAGAGTGCGTGGTGGGGCATGGTACAGTACTTCGTCTTATTGATTCTGTTGCCGGGATCGGTGGTTGTTGGGTCGTACTTTTTGTTCGTGTATGCGGATGTGCTGAGGGAATATAGGGATATGGTACTTTTGATGGTGAAGAAGTATATGGATACTGGAGAGTGGTAACTTGATCATATTTTTTTCTCAAGAAATCTAATGATATTGTCTATTTGCATATCTAGTCATGATAATCAAGGCTTAAGCCTTCCATCGGAGTAGCGTAAATGAATGCTTTCCAAACGTGAACTTACCCTTTCCATCCCAACTACTCTCCTTAATTCCCACCTTCTGCTCCCCATTCGTATTCACAACCCCAATATTCTCCCCGGTGACCGTATGCACCTCGACCTTGTCGGCCTTCAGCCCAGGGATTTCAACTTCGAAATCGCGTGTCTCATGTATGTTCGTAACAGCAAGGTTAACAAAGCCGTCATCACTGAGCACAGCACTGCAGTCCAGATACGGCGTCTCAATGGTACCGCGGATCCACTTGGGATTTGTGCGGCCATTGTACTCGGGCGTACGCACATTGAGCGCAATAGTGTGACCACGCATGTACTTTGAGAAGAGAAGAAGAGGCCACCAAGTAGTTTGCTTGACAAGACCCTCCTTGGTAGTCATGAGCGGAGAAATGACGTTGACACTCTGCGCGACAGTAGCCATACCCACGTCTTTTGCCTGGCGGATGAAGCCGTTGAGGAAGTTGGCTACGGCCAAGGCGTCGGAGAGGGTGTATTTCTCTTCTGCACCCTGTTCTCCGGGGGCGCGCACGGGGTCCCAGACGTTCCATTCGTCGAAGCAGATGGTTTGGCGCGGCACGGTTTCCGGCACGTTATTTTCAATACGGGCGAGGTCGATGAGGCTAGAGGCCATTTGGATTGCTCGCTCGGCCGCGCGGGGCGCTGTGGCGTTGGGGAGGTGCTCCTTGTCTGCAGTGTAGATGTGGATCGAGTGCATGTCAATCAAGCTCTTGGTCATGTCGCCGCTGAGGCCGTGAACATCCAACTTGACGCATTGGTTTAGCACGTAGTAGTCCCAGGATGAGTATCCAGTCTCTCCACACAAGATGGTGGTGATGGTTGGGTCGAGGAGCTTCAATGCCTTGGCCCATTGGTAAGCCTTCTTAGCGTAGTCTTCTTTGGTCATCTGCTCCACTTGCCATGGACCCCAGCACTCGTTTCCGAGAGCCCAGTATTTAACCTATCACTAAAGTTAGCAGACTGCTAGTGCAAGCCACGACCCGCACGATCTGGAGTTAACGCACATTGTAAGGCTTTTCGCGGCCATTCTTGCGTCGAAGGTTGGCGTAGTATGTATCTCGGTCCGAGTTACAGTATTCAAGCCATCCAAGAGCTATTGGAATCAGTCAGATGTGACAGTAGATCCACTTTATTGCATACCTTCGTCCAAAGTGCCAGTGCCAAAGTTCAAGCAAAGGTAAGGCTCAGTGCCAACCTCTTCGCACCATTGCATGAACTCATCAGTTCCGAAGGTGTTGGGCTCGATGCCGATCCATGCAAGCTCAGGCCTGGCGCCGCATTAGTCCCAATATCCTCTCTAGGGTTCACTCTTCCGAAATGCTTGGTGGTAGATCTCCGCAGGGTGATGGACCCTGTAAGCGGACCTGAAATAAACCACTGGTCTTTTGTTGACACATGGAAGATTTTGTTGAATGTGGAATTGTCGACCGAGGCTCAGGCAAGACACTAGTGAATACGATGATGGTCCTACCTCTTAGGCCTATTCTCTTTTGGTCCAACGCCATCAAGCCAATGATACGTTGCAACAAAGTTTCCGCCTGGGTAACGCACCACAGGCACTTTGAGCTCTTTGAAAGCCTCAATGACGTCTTTACGGAAACCTCGCTCGTCTGAGAGAGGGTTGCCGGGATCGTAAATGCCGCCGTATATGCATCGACCCATGTGCCTGGTGCGTGGCTTGTTAGCCGAGGGAAAAACAAAGAAATGCACATTTCGAAAAACCCCAGCTGATAGGGCGCCATTGTCAAGCTTACTCGGTAAATCCACCATAGAGGTTATCATTGATCTTAGCAACCTTATGGGAGGGGTTGATAGAGATGGAGGGGGTTTCGCTCTCTTCGATTCTGGTAAAGGACGCCATAATGGATAAGGTTGACAATTGCCCTAGAGGTGGTGACAGGAGCAAAGAAGACGAGGTCCAGGTTTTCAATTGTAAGTTGATAGTGGTACGACCTGCTCGAGGTCATAGAAAGCTTCATGGCGTAGCATGTGGTTTACACCTAGGTGCGGGCCCTAGTACAAAGTCAGCTGGTGCCTCCGGCACAAAATGACATGCTCATTCGTGGAATTTAGGCTGCACGCATCATCACATCACACGTCTGGCATACACTGCACTTGAGCCGTTTGGAGTAAACCACCCGTGTTTAGGTTCGGGCAGCCAAGACAAATCCCACCAGTGGTGTGATGATGTATCTCCCAATTCAGGCCTCCGCGTGCAGATGCTAACCCATTTGGACTGGCGCCGAATGTATACATCGGTTTGATTTGAACCGAGCCTCGGGCATTCCACCGACAACCGCTGTGACAGGGATCAACACGCGGGTTGCGGAGGTAATAAACGCGGAATCGAGTCAATATCCCCGCCATTTGTGGAGATGGTGGAGTATAGTCGCTTGCATGCGTTCCCCAGACTTGGACAGCCATGGGGTGATACCAGCCTAGCAGAGACACGGCAATGTACCCAGTATAAAGAGCAAGGGAGGCTGCTCGTCGTTGGCCTGTCTTACCTACCGCTCCCTACCTTTCTGCAGTCCTCCCCACCCCAGCTGCAGTCGCCATGGCGCTCCCTCCCAAAGTGTACCAGTTCCTCGTGGGCCTGTTTGCATCGCTTGGTTCGTTGCTGTACGGTTACGATCTTGGTGTCATTGCCCAAGTTATTTCTTCGCCAGCCTTCAATGCAGAGTTCAACCCCACAGAAGATGAAACTGGAGCAGTTGTGTCGGTCTTCACCGGTGGTGCTTTCTTTGGCGCCTTTTTCGCCGGTCCCGCTGGTGACAGGCTTGGTCGTCGACTCACCATTCTGATCGGTGCATTGGTAAGGATTGTCAAAAGCTCCTAGAGCACATGAAATTTGCTAACCGAAAGCGCAATATCAGGTCTTTATCCTCGGAGGTGCACTACAAACTGGCGCACAATCGCTATCTTATCTCTATGCCGGACGCGCCCTTGCTGGTGTTGGTGTTGGTTTCCTCGTCATGATTGTTCCCATGTACCAATCAGAGTTGGTCCACCCCAGTATTCGTGGACGAGTTACAGCTCTGGTACAGTTCATGCTGGGCATTGGTGCCCTCGCAGCAGCCTGGATCAGTTATGGATGTGATATCGGCTTTGCAGACGATGATAATGGCCAATGGCGCACATCGCTTGGTATCCAAGTCGTTCCAGCCGTCTTTCTAGCCGCACTCATCATGATCTTCCCTGAGTCTCCCAGATGGCTTATCAGCAAAGGCAAGAGCGAGCAGGGTCTTCGCAACCTGGCGAAGCTCCATGCAAACGGCAACGAGTCAGATACGTGGGTCATGGCAGAGTACCAGCAGATTCAAGAAGCCATTAGCTTTGAGCGCGAGAATTCGGCCAAGTCGTATGGCGAGCTCTTCAAGGACAGGTCGTGCTTCCGCCGTCTCTTTCTCGCCTGCGCTATTCAGGCGTCCGTTCAAATGACTGGTGTTTCGGCTATCCAGTACTACTCCGTCAAGATCTACGCTCAAATTGGTATCAACGGCTCTGACGCCCTCAAGTACCAGGCCATTTCCTCGGTTCTCGCTCTTTGCGGACAAGCGCTCTGCATCGCTTTCATCGATCGATTGGGACGCCGCTGGACTCTTATCGGCGGTAATCTCGGCAACTGCGTTACTTTCATCATTGCGACTGTCATGTTGGCTGTTTTCCCACCAGGTAGCAGTGGAAATGCGGCCGCCGCATGGGGCTTCATTGTTGTTACTTGGGCGTACAACTTCTGCTTCAGCTCCACATGTGGACCTCTCTCTTGGATCATTCCTGCAGAGATTTTTGATACCAAGACCCGTTCCAAGGGTGTTTCCATCGCTACTATGACTTCTTTTGCGTTCAATACCATGATTGGACAAACCACTGGAGTTGGCATGGCAGATGCTGGCTGGAAGTTCTATCTGCTCTTCGTCGTAAGTGTTCTTTTACGATTCATTCTCGATTGAAAACTGACCAAATATTAGGTTTGCAACCTGACCAACGCCATTTTCTTCTACTGCTTCCTTCCCGAGACTGCTAAGCGCCCGCTTGAAGAGATGAAGTACCTCTTTACCAACGCCCCGCTTTTCGTACCTGGAATGAACAAACGCGACTTTGTGCCAGACATTGATCGTCGCGTCGAAGAGGTTGCTGCGAAGCAGGGTTCTATTTCCCACGCAGAGAATGTAATTGAGTCGAAGCACTAGATGCAACAATGTGCCTGAGTTGGGCTATTGTATCTTGATGTTGCTTCTGGCATACCAACAACATGAAAAGATAGAAGCTAGACGCACAATGAACGCGTTGACGTAAATTTCTTGAGCAGAGGTGTTCTCTTCGTGTATGTTCGCGATACTGTTTTCATGTTTGAGTGATATACCCGGATATCGCTTTCCAGGGAACCAAATTCAAAATTACCCGCTCACACTCCAAAAACAAGGTTACGCTAGTTGATAGTTGGCACGGTATAACCGAATGGATGGGCAGTGCAAGCCACCGGGATAAATGCGATTTGGTCAAACAAGGAAGTCGGTCCGACGCGTCTACAGGATATGCATCGGATAGATGCTTACTTCATCCCAGGGTGGTCACACGGGCAATGCATTATAGCCCATGGGTCAGAATAGCCCGAGGTGGGGTGTCGAACATGATGAAGCTGTTACTGTAAAGTGCTTTGGTAAGGCCGTTCTGGTATCCGTGAACTGGGTAAGTATTCGTTATGCTTTGGAGCTGCGGTTGATTAGACATACGTAGGCAAATTTGGTTAAATGACATCAATTCTTGGCAACCCCCACGCGTCCTCTAGGTCAATGCTGACCCACAGCGGAATAGCAAATGACCCAGCGTGGACATACAAAGTGCGTGTGAGTATCTCTATTTGATGTCCTATATATGATTGTATACATTTGACAGCACTGCAACATCTTCTTCTCTCTTCACTTCATATCCTACCAGCTTTCCTGCTTACGAACATTACTCTTCGCGATTGCATCTTTCCTTCAGCGGTCACATCACAATATCGTGTTACCTATAGGCATATTTTCCAAGCGAAACAAAAGGAACGAGGAACTTGATTATCAAAAACCATCTTGACAGCCTCTAGTAAATTCAAACAACCCAATGGTGCCATCCAATTTGAACTCAATAAATATCGCCATACTAGCCAACCCACTCACGGAACTTCGTCAGTGCGTTTGGCGGAAGTGAAATGCCCAATCAAAAAAAGAAAATCAATTTGGACCCAGGTATCTTCTAGAGACATCGATTTGTTCCTACCAAGGGAAAATATGGTACGAATAGGCCTTAACGGACTACTGCGTATGCAGAAATCGTCGCCATGACGGCCAAATTCCTCAGCGAGATGACTGAGGGATGACTACGCCACAGCCCTCTCTGGGGATTGCTTGTGCAAGACGAAAATTTGCGCATCAATTTGTTCCACATATTGGAGCAGACGATCCCGCTAATGGCTTCCTTCATCCATGCCACTGAAAAATGGCGTGAGACCAGGGAACTGAACCTGACTGCAGACAGTAGAGGTGGTGGATGCGAGGGTGTTTTTAAAGTATATTCGACGGCCAGAAGGGACATATCATTCTGTTTTGCATGTTGCGTTTCAGGATGAGGTGGTGACGAGTTAGAAGCTTAGTTAATAACAGTTTATCAAAGGATACTTAGCTTTAGGGTGATAGGTAGGGTTATTTCAACAGTGGGACTAGAATTATTAACGATTATCGCACTGCGATATATCCAATAACTAAATTAAAAAACATAAACGCCTCAAGCTCATAGAACGATGATAGAACGATGTCAGGTCTCCACATTGAATCATTAATGCCTTGACACTTTCCCTCCAATTTCTCAAAAAATCGCCACAGCATTTGGCACACATGCCACACCGCCCGGTATATCCGCTGGCTTGCTCACAAGCAAGAAATTCCACCTCCCCTCCTTCTCGCACCTACTCTTCAACTCTTCCAAGTTCCAAAGCTCTCCAATCGGCATACCCCACAGCGGAAGCATATTAGCATGTAAACTCCCTTCCCAACTCGCCGGCGGCCAAACCTCAAAACCCACACAATCCGTCGCAGCCGCCGCAAAATATCCATCATACAAGAAATCCTTCATCTCCTCATCGGATGCCAGTCCGGCATAGAAATGTTTATCCAGCGCCAGCGCAGCCAAATCCGACTTTTCAGCGGCAGAAAACGCGTTATATCTTTCCTGCCACCCAGTCCTAACCAGCAGAATGTCCGCTGTGCGCAACCCGGTCCCCTGACTCTCTGCGCACGCCTTCAAATCCTCGGCCGTAATGGCATATCTGGTAAACGGATCGTATTCTTTGCCTTGTTTTTGCGACCAAGACCATATGTCGAGGAGCACGCCGCGCCCAATGATTCCCTTCTTCGCCCAAGCATCTATACCCAGTTTACGCGATTGCTCAGGGGCCTCCTCGCCGTCTTCCCCGTCGTCATTGACATTCGTCATGATGTCATCTGACAAGACGCCATTGTAGTGGCATCCGTACGTTGGGTGGGCAAAATGGCGGAAGCCGTCCCACTGGGTGCTGCTTTGCGTGTTGTACGATACTTCGTCATCATAGGCGCCTTTGACAGCTGATCGGATGCGGTGTTTGAGCCCCTGGCGGCCGAAGAGAGCTGGGCCGGGGACGTTAAGGGGGAGATCGAGAGAGATGGAATCACCTGTTTTGACGTTTTCTTGCACGGTTGCGAGTGTTCGTTCGGGGGTAAGCAGGTTCAAGCGGCCGAGTTCGTCGGCGCTGCCCCAGAACCAGGCGTTACCTTTCGGGGTGCCTGATACGTGAGGAAGAGCTGAGCGCTTGGGGAAGGTGGCGCCGTCGCCGTTTGGATCCAGCCGCATCTTTATTGCTGATTACCTGAGAAAAGGGTCCTTGGGTGTCTCGAAACAAACTTTCCTGGGGTGATATTCAGAATTTTGGGGAAGCGCGCTATAAACGTGACGTCGGTGCTTTGTAGATGACGATACGTACAAAGGAGTTCCCCGCCCCCACTCTTGGACCCCATTAGGATTATGATAATGCGAAACACGATCATATCTACATGCATCTGCCATATAGCGCCACATACTTGCGTTCCTCGCATTTGATTTAGGTTCGGTTCAGTTCGATTCCGTTTTTCGTGTGCAGCTGACCATATCTAGGCTTCATTTGGGAAATGGTACTGGAAATGCCATCTCATCTAGTAAACCGTATATCTTAAAGCTAGTAGATGACATAGATCCTTCTTCTAGGAGTAACCCTAGACCTCTGGATACAGCTGAAGACTCCTTTTTACGATTCAACCATAAAAGATCTGTTAGTTTCTGACAGAACTAGCACATCACATGATCCTCACACGATTGCTAGAATACCTCTATAGAACGGATAACAGCGCCTTCATTCTCTACTCTAATCTGGTTATTTTCAGCCGTAACGCTGACTAACACCCGCTAGCCTAAAACAGTCCAGAAACTGAGACGAAAAAAAAACGGAACAATCAAACAGGCTCTTCCGTTCATTCTTATTCCAGTTTCTCCATCAGCTGATCATTCCTCCATCAGCAACATACACCGCACCCGTCACAAAACTACTCTCATCGCTCAGCAAAAAAATCACTAAACGAGCCACCTCATCGGCATGTGACATTCTTCCCAAAGGAGTCTCGTTTATCAGGAACTTTCTTGCCTCCGGGGTTGCAGCTTTATCAAACATCGGCGTGTCGATTGCACCTCTGCCATCTCGCATTAGTCTCTACACCTAGCAGCCCGTGACTAAAAGTAAAACAGGGCACTTACGGTGCAACAACATTAACTCGAATTCCTAAAGGCGCCACTTCTCTAGCAGCAGCTTTTGTCAAGCCAACAACGCCGTGCTTACTCGATGTGTAAGACGCACATGAATAGCGACCGACCACGCCTGCGACGCTTGCTAAATTCACGACGCTACCTCCGCTATTTTGCTTAATCATAGCTTGTAGCTGCGCTCTCACTGCATAGAACGTGCCGTCGCTGTTAACGCCTTGAATCTTCCTCCATTCTTCATCAGTCGTATCTACAACCTTTGTTAGCTCGCTGCCGACGGCGGCGAAGTTAGCTGCACCGTTGAGAGCACCGAACTTGGCGACTGTGGCTTGGATCCAATTATCAACTTCAGATGAAGAGTTGACGTTGACGACGGTTGTGATAATGTTGTCGGTACCGGATGGGTTGGAAGCTCTCAGAGCTTTGGCTACTTCATCCAAGCCGGCTTTGTTGATATCAGCTAAGGAGAGCTTGACTCCCATCGGGTAAAGTAGCTTAGCAGCTGCAAGGCCCATGCCCGATGCTGCGCCTGAAACTGCAACGACCTTGCCACGTAGAGATGGGTAGGAAACTTGAGACGACATTGTTGGAGGTTCGGGTTAAGCGTTGACGTTGATTTGGTTCTGACTGCGTTGATCAATGATGCGCAAATCGCCTTCTCAAGATCGAATGTTTTAATGCGAAAGATGAGTTCATAAAGGGTTTATATATACATATATATGAGAGCTGGGACAGCGAATGCCAAGAACTGATGTGGTCATACTTGTACAATGCGCAGTAATAGTCGAGTTCTCATTCAATTATTTATTGACGCGTAACAAATACCACTACTAGCCATCAGTGCTGCAGTAAAGCTTGTTTTGAATTTGAGCACAAACACTGTGAAAAATACCAGGTGCATGTGGTTTAGCTCTACTATGCTTTAGCTTTCAATACCTACAACAACTCTGGGAACTAAGCACAGGTAGTGTTTCTCCAGGTCAGTTACCGGTGATGCATACGCGGGGTAATCTTGGCTGTAACTTTAGCGGATTGAAGCAAGCAGCTTTCGTCCGGCTGCTCCGACATGCTTAGAGACATGAATCTATACAATTGACAAAGTCACCGAGGTAATATACCCCGCAGAACGCGCCGATCCCCTCATATTGAATAGGCAATTTCAGCACTTTCAGAGCATACTCTCGGTTCGCCCTACCCCACCCCTTCAATTCTTCAATGTCCCATTCGCCTACGAAGCAACGCACGTCTTCTTATGCATCTTCCAGTCCACCTTCTGACACTCCTGCGAGCAGTACCTCGCCTTCTTACACTTTGCACAAGCTGGAAACGTCTTTTCACCCTTGGGACTCCTCCCACATGTCGTGCAATTCCCTTCTTTCCTCTCTCCCCTCCCATTCTGAATCACCTCAGCCATCTGTGGCACCTTCTTCTTCATCATCTCAACCAAAATCTTGACACTCATACCATCGCTATCTTTGTTTTCGATATCGCCACCATGCTCAATGTACCACTTCATCATTTGCACGTTCTTGGTAGTGTCTCCGTGGAGATCTGCTTGTGCTATTTCACTCGCTGGAGTAGCATTAAACCTGTTCTTGGTATTGACGGAACCTCCTGCGTCGAAGAGGATTTGCGCAAATTCGGGCTGTACATAGGGCTTTGTGGATATGGCCCAGAAAAGTGCTGTAGAGCCTAGGACGTCCTTTCCGTCCACTGGTACTTTCAAGTCATTTGCAAGATACTTTACTATTCCGAGTAGCTCCTCCTTCTTTCCTGGTAGCATGTGGAGTGCTGGTAGTAATATTGAGTAGACGGGGGTTTTGCTAGGACCCCATCTTTTTGCATACATGTCCTGTCTGACGGTCTCGCGTGCGTTTTCATCTCCGCCCAGCTGTTTAATCATCATCTCGCAATAGTTTTGTAGCGCATCGAATTCTCCATTGAACGCGGCGAGGAGAGTTTGGCCCACTGGATCTTTCAGATCACGGCTAGGCGCAGTGGGATTGGCTTGGGTCCAGCCTCTGAGTTCCATGCCGTCCATGCCAGCGAGCTGATCATTAGAGTTTATCAGGTCCTCTATCGTGCTTCGCGTATATGTCAGCGAAGGGTCGCCCACCTGGGCCGCTGGTGCTCACCGCTTAGACCGCGGCTGCATGTTTTCGAGCATTTGTAGAAAGTTTGCAGCCATTTTGGAAAGTGAAGTTCAGTATACGATCACGTGAGACGCTGGGAGTAAGACTACTCTTTTGGGTAAATGAAGATAATTGGAGATGTAGATTGGGGCTAGACCGGCAAAGTGAGAATAGTGTGGATGTACAGTAAGAACGTAGCGTCCATTGTAAGAGCGAAACGGCCCGCATGTGCGGCGCCACCACGCTAAGGCCGTTGAAGCGAGTGTAGGCGGCCCAAAAGCTTAACTCTCCATACTGGTGATTACATCACTATGCTCCCCACAATTATTCATGTTACACAAATCTGACATGGTCTTTGTGTAACTTTGCTTGTTTGAAGTCTTCATGTAGGAGTACAAACCATACATGATAAGAATAATCGCTGATGACGATGAAATGAATTCAACAAAAACGTTCCGAAGATCTAGCCTGCTGCTATACTGCTATGCCTGGTATCAAATCCCAAACGCCACCGAGGATAGAGCATCAAAGATCCAATCTCTCCAATCTCTGTCGTATTTTTGTCCTGAGCTAATGATTGCTTATTTCTTCAACGCAGCATCGTACAAGCTAACAAGGATACCGACAATTGAGCTGATTTGTAGACCGTAATATCCTCCAGGCACGTGGTTCCCAACGCGGGCTACTGCATACTCAGAGAAAGGACCCCAAGCCTTCGGGACGAGAGACGCGTTGGTAGTGTCCCGGTACGCACTGTAAGCCAATATCGCCCTTGCGATGTTGAAGATAAGGGGATCAGCGGGATACTGGCGATCATCTGATTTGCGGGAGGTGTTTGAACGGAGAGTCAGGTTGAAGAAGTATGAGAAGAAGAGCGGCAGGACCCAGCTGGTCAGTGACCAAAGGGTTGCGGGCGCCCACCAATCGGCCGTCAGAAGTGCCCAGCCGTTGGGACCTCTGATCTCCTGGCTGTTGGAGTATGAAGCGAGCGCAGCGGGCGTAGCAAATAGAGGTGTTGTACCAAGCGTGTTCCACTGGAGTCCTACAGCCTCAATGAGCAGAATTATCGTCTGAATAGTAGCAACGGAGCTCGCATTTTCACGGATAAACTCCTTCAACTCGTCGATCCTGGTCCTGTCCCATATTTCAGTGGCCTTTGTCTTTACAATCTGAAGCGATTGGTCTGCAACTTCAGCTAGTTGCGCAGGCGATGGGGGAATATCAACTTGAGGGGCGATTTCAGAGACGCGTCGGGAAACTGGCTTAGGCGTTCGCGACTGTACGGCACTGTTCTCAAAGGCACTTCTGCGCTCTATAGCCGTGCTGCGCTCTACAGCTGGAGTACGTTCAGGCTTAGGCTCCTCCTCACTGCGAAGGTATTAGTCTCAGCGCACAACGCGTCGCGTGCTTGGGGTATGACGTACGAAGGCTCCTTGATAATTGTACGTCGGCGCGTCGTCTTGGTTACAGTAACAGGTGCCGTAGGCGACGAGCGCTCGCGCTTCACAGGCGACCCGTTGCGACCATAGTAGTCGCGGAATTCTGGGAGTTTGGCAAATGTCGTCTCATTGGTGTTCAGATGTTTTGCCAGCGATTCCACCAAGTCATCTTTCAACAAACCATCCGCACTGCGGGGCGAGTATTAGTTTGGCGGCATACGCGCAAGATCGATTTGAGCCTACTCGGGGAGTCTAGCCTTCTGTGCAAGGTCAATCAGGTCGGCTTTGCGCTTCTTCTGCAGCCAAGTGTGAGACATGGTGAATGGCACAGTCTGAGTCGCGTACGCGTGGCGATTACAATGATATAAATAATGAAGCGAAAAGGGAATGGGGTGCGAGAAAAGGTGGGGGCGGTGTGGTGTTGACCAGGTGGGAAGAGAGTTAGTGGTACGCGAGGCTCGAGATGTAAACACGAAGGCTGGGGCTCACGTGGGTCCGATAGGCGCTAAATCGGCGGCTATGGGGCCCAGCCTTGAAGCCCTTTGTCCTGATCTGCAGCAGGACAGCGCATTGTCGTTACGCGCAGGGCCACGTTGTGCATGTTTCGTGCTGCATCTGATACATGACGGCTTCCTCCGCAGTCTGGCCTCTTATCTATGCTAATCAGGGCCTCATCAGGTCCCTGTGCTCCGTGTGCCCGTTGTGGCGGTGCATGCAAGGGGTCATGTGGCGCCGCTGTGGCGCAGTCCCGGCCTTGGCCGAAATTTTCTAGACAACAGCATCATCGCAGACCCGCATCGGCTGCAACGTCACTTTTTGCTTTTATCGCCCTGCTTCCCCTGTGCCTGTCTTCTATATTTACAGCATTCCCACTAAATCACTCACAATTCTTCCCACAGCGCACCACCGCTATTTAAGCGCTCATGGTACTTGCCCGCGTGGCCAACTTCTTCACCAACGGAGACTCTACCAGCACTCTCACCGATAGTAGCCGGGACTATGTCGCAAATACAGTACGAGCAAGGGAAATTCCCACGGAGGATACCAAGCGGAGAGTGATGGAGGAGGAGGAGATAGACAACGAAGCAGCGCGGTCGCCATACCTACATGTGAGGATGCCTAGCCGGCAAACATGAAGGCATGCCAATTGACCATTTACAGGCAATGCTGGCAGGAGGCATAGGAGGCACCACAGGCGACATGCTGATGCACTCACTCGATACTGTAAAGACGCGCCAACAGGGTGACCCGCATATGCCACCCAAGTACACATCCATGGGTAATACATACTACACCATATGGCGGCAAGAGGGATTCAAAAGAGGACTGTATGGAGGTGTTGAGCCCGCCTTTCTTGGGTCGTTCATTGGTACCATGTGCTTCTTTGGCGCATACGAATGGACAAAACGGACTATGATTGACCATGGCGTCACTCCATCAGTCGCATATTTCTCAGCAGGTACACTCATGTCTAACCTACATTCAGAAGAAACATGCTAATACAGTATCAGGTCTACTAGCCGACCTCGCTGCAGCCCCCGCATACGTTCCGTCAGAAGTCCTCAAAACCCGCCTTCAATTGCAAGGCCGGCATAACAACCCTTACTTCAACTCCGGCTACAACTACCGCTCCACCATTGACGCTGCGCGCACAATCGCCCGAACAGAAGGCTACAGCGCCCTCTTCCACGGCTACAAAGCTACGCTTTGGCGCGACCTGCCCTTCTCCGCACTTCAATTTGCCTTTTACGAAGAAGAGCGCGGCTGGGCAAAAAAGTACATGGGTACCAACAACATTGGACTCCCCCTGGAAATCGTGACCGCAGCAACAGCAGGAGGAATGGCCGGCGTCATAACAACACCTCTTGACGTAGTCAAAACCCGCATTCAAACTCAACACAACGGGCCTTCTCCCGCTTCCCCAGCCGCACCCAAAGTCTCGCTTTCCCCAGCATCAGCAACGAAACACGTGCCATCCAAGCAATCAATTACGCCCCGCTCAACAACGCAAAGCAGACCCATATCTACCTCGTCGCCTTCGACAACGCTCAAAGCACATGGCGCAGCGACGCTCGACACATCATCCGTCATCACGGGATTAAAGATAATATACAAGACCGAAGGTATGGCTGGCTGGTTCAGAGGCGTAGGACCCCGTGCTGTCTGGACGAGCGTGCAGTCTGGTACTATGCTCGTCTTGTATCAGACGCTCCTCCGCTATTTCGAGGAGCATCCCCTCTCACGTGTTGAGGATGTGTAAAATTAACTTCTTTCTTGCATAAGCATTTGTACGATGAATGAATCAAGGTGGGGCATGTAGTGATATAGAAGTATGCATTCGTGGCGTTGTTTTATGCGATTTTTTTTCAAGTTGGGACAATCGCCTCTTTTGATTCATATAAGGGGTTGCATGTTTGTAGAGGGATAGAATTGTGGGAACACCAAGGCTTCTTTACACTCAAAACATATTTTCACGAATCGTGACGGTGAGAAGAGACAAAGACTTGTGTGCATGGAAACCAATCACTACACCAACATATCTACATGAGTCTAAACAACGGATCAAGGCACATGTATAGCGGAGCCTTCTCCAACCACCCTTCTCGCTCACTCCCTCCGATCCCACAAACATCAACTCCCCTATCGCCTCCCCCTCTCATCCTCCCCACCCCCACCCGGCCCAGCCATCTGCCCCGTATTAGCCCTCTTAACCCGCCTAAAACACGCAAATTGGACCTTCGTCCCCTCCCTCAACCTCTTCAGCACCGTCCTCAAATTGCCCAACTCATCCTGCAACTTGACTCTGGCCGCATTATCCGTCTTCTGATCCAGGACCTGGTAAATATCCGTCTGGATCTGCGACGCCTGCTCCGTCGTATACGCAGACAGCGTTTGCGCCATGAATTCCACGTCAAGGGTTGCTTGCATGAGTTGCGGGAGGGAGATGGTGGGAAGGTTATCGGACTGGAATGTTTGGATTAGGGAGGCGGTGGTGGATTCGAAGAGGGAGCGCAGGATGCGCGGGGTGAGGGGTGCGGAGGTGGTGCTGGATTCCGTGTGCACGATTACGAGGTCGAGGAGGACGGAGAAGACGTAGGGGCTTGGGTCGCGGTCTGCGACGGATTTCTGGTTTGGGCCAGGAGGGGGAGCCCAGGTGGGGGAGAAGATGCCGGATTGGATTGTCGAGTTTATTTTGGTGGCGTGGGGTTTAGTGTAGGAGCGGAAGAGTTGCGAGTCAAGTTGGGAGAGGACATCGCGGATGCGGTTTGTTTCGTCGGTGAGTTGAACGCTGAAGAGAGTTTCGAAGAGGTTGAGAAGGGTTGGTGTTATTTCTGATTGGAAGGCTGACATATTGGCGAGAGTAAGGAGGAGTCGGATTGACTATGGGTTGTTAGACTGATACATTCTTTGCAATAGTTGAGGGATTCTACCTTTTTGTTGGCATCGACTCTGCCCCACTCGTTTCCAGTATGGTCTTCCTGCTCGTCAATGGTAAGGTCATCACTCTTGACCTCGAATTCGTCGCCAAGTGCCTTTCTGCCTCTTTCAGCACATTCAACCATACCACTCAGTGTTCTGTACAAGCTCGTCACGAACTGGCTTCTGACCATCTGCAGGAGTTTGTTGCTCGGCGGCACAACCACATCAATCTTGGTCTTGCTCGATGCCTCGACATAGAGTATCTTCTGGAGATTATTCAGCAGGAAACTCTGTACTGCTAGGAAGCGCTGAGGCAGATTTGTAACATCCTTGCGGTCAACATGGCGGGTCCAGTCCTCGAGCACTTTAAGTTTCTCTGCATCGGTATTCCAGGCTGCACATACAGCCTGCACAGAGCGCTCACGCACTCCACCCAGCAGTAAACGCAATGATTCATCAATACGCCCACTGCCTCCAGACTCCGGCACTTGTAATGACGCCAACTCATTGGCTGCAGTGCCAATCAGAACAAGAGTCTTGGAGAGATAATGGGACCCCGAGAGAGCATTGGAGTGGGGAGGCCAGAAGGCATACTTCTCCCATGTTTCACCTCGACTGGGTGATGGTGGTGGTACTTTGCTGAGGTCAAATCGTGACCTGGTTGCCGAGGTAGGACTCAGAATACCGCTTCTTGGTGTTCCAGGTGTTGTCGGTGTAGGAGTTGTTGGTGGTAATGGCGAGAAGAGTAGCGACACATCTTCGATAGGTGGGTCTGAAAAGAATGAAAACAGATGATCTCGGAGAATGCCAATGAGCTCCGTGGTGCCCCTCTCTAGCTCGGCCTTGTTTTCGCTACTCAGCCGATGATGTACAGATGACTGGCCGTGATGACCTGTGGGCAAATTCCTTTGCGCGCGTCCGGAGAGGAAAGATAGGGCAATATCCCAGTATTCGATAAGCTCCCCCAATAACCCGCCTTTTGTGGAGAGAAGGGTGTTCATCAAAGCATACACGTGCTCCCAGAATTCGATCACTTTGGGAGTGTCCAACTTCGATGGTTCGGCACTGATATTGCTGCTAGTCGGAACCGAACGCAAATGCTTTTGCAGTAGACGTAGGCTCGGCTTTTCACCGTGAACCAGATGCCGGCGGAGGATTTCGATTTCAACGACCGAACGCTGACAGGTAGAGTTGATGTGCAATTTGAGGTGCTCATATCGTGAGATCAGCCATGCCCATATTGGATTTTCCTCCACCCCCAGTTCAAGCAAGATTGAAATGATGCTCAGGTACTCGTCCGATTTGGTCTCTTCGCTTCCAGTTTGTAGGTTTGTGAAGTGCGTCGCTGTAAGGCGTTTCCACGAATCGCGCTTGAACTTTTCAATCTGTCGTTCAACATCCGACCACATTCTTGCTGTAACAATGACCTGGTGTATCTCGGCGTCGGTGAGTGGTGTTTGGGCAGAAGTCGCTTGCTCCGCAATATATCGGGCTTCTTCTGCATACTTGCGCGCGCGCTTATATTCCTCTACAATTGTCTCGTGATCTTTGTGGCGTATTGCCTCCTCTATAGCGGACCCAACTTCGAACATGCCGCGATGGTGTTCCACAGATTCTAATATGGACTTGAGTGTCTCTTCTCTTTCTCGCCCGTTCAGCGCAGGACCCCACACCTCCTCTGCTTTGACAGCGACTTCGGTCAGCGGGACCTTGATGCCTTGCACACCATATTCGCTCTCCTTAACCAACGCATTTTTCCTCTTTTCCGCGGGCACGGCATCGATCATGCCCGATGAGAGGTTCGCGCTCGACTTGCGACCAGAGAAACTGGAACGACTTCTTGTGCGACCTTGTGGCGGGGCACTGAGTGACTCTGACTGGTCTTTTCCTTGGGCGCGCATCTCGTTGTAGACACGGTCAATGGTAGCCTTTGCGCCTACGAAACGATCAAAGTTGGACTCGACAAGGACCTTGAGTGAGGCTGACTTCTTCTCAATAGAGCGAGAGAGGAAGTCAAGGCCGGAGAGGAGGGCGTCTGTAGAGGCTTCATTGTGGACTTGGGAAAGGAAGAGGGAGGGCGAGAAGGTAGTGGAGCTCAAGAGGAAGCGATTGCCTGTGGGCCATTAGACATGCCCCATGTGTATTGCTATATTGTTTAAACATACGCAGCTTGATATCGTCCTCGACCTGCACGTTCTTGGCTCGCAGCACCTGCACTACACTGGGATACATGCCCAACGGGTCCTGTTCATCCTTCTGCACCAGCGTCTCCACGCCATCCTTGGACCGCTCTGCTCCAGGAATCTGCCGTGAGAATCGAGGGCTGGGTTCTAATATGGAGAAGCGCGACTGCGACCTGCGAACGGGTTTCTGGGTGACTTTGGTTGCTGGTTCGACATACTCCTCGTCTTCATCGGCAGCATCCTTCTCCTCCGGCCATACCGCGGGGTACAGCGTCGTGAGATTGTACTTGTTCAGTATCTCCGTCTCTATTGACGAGCTCATTGTAGCTGTGGCGAGGTTCGAAAGGTCATCCAATCTGGAAATGTCCCCGTGGAGCGGTTATGAGTTGCGTGTCGCAAGTGACAGCTCGCTGAGACGCGGTTGCGGCCACCAATCAGACACGCGTAATGCTTGGCGGTGGGACTGCATAACTACTACGCCTTACGACCTGACCTCCTCTGTCCCACTCAATAACACAATATCTTGTTCAGAGTCAAATAAAGGTGAAATTACTAGAAAAGCGATATTTGATTGATATTTCGAGTATTACCGTTTTGTTTTCCAGTAATCGAATTGGAGCACGAGCACTCCCGCTCTCACCGCCCACGAATTCAAGAGATACATATACACTTGCACCAGGCCGTGCCCCTGTAATCGTGTCTGCAATGGCTTTACCAAATGTTTTCATCAAGAACAATCTCTTCAGCTTCATGCACTATTGGTCTTTATTCAGGGTTACGTTCTCTCACTTCCAGAATCGGGATGCGCATCCGAGTTCGAAATTCAGTATCAGTGGCGGGTTTGCAAGACTTACTCGTGGTTTCGAAATTCAAAATCTGAATTTATCTCTTCATGAAAGTCCTGATAATAGCCTCTTTTTCTCTCACTTCTCAATCCATGCACTCTCTACTTTTACCTCAGGCTCTCACCTCTACCGCCGCTCTAATGCAGTACCAGTCTTCCCTCTAGATATATAAACTATCAAACTGAGGTATCGTCCTTTCCTCCTCTTCTCTACTTGGTGCTATTTCAAATTTACCTATAGTATATTCTTGTTACTATCCACTCCTAGTATGGACTTGTTCAGGTCCATATCTCCTCAAACTATGCTTGAGCTTGAGCTTCAGCTTTCTGGGCTTTCGTCAGAGCACTGGGAAGCGGCAAGCGCGACACCAATCCATGAACAAGATGTCTCTGATTCAGAGGTTGAATCAGAGGCTTCACAGATTTCAGATGCTTCTCAGTCACCGGCGCCTGCTGCCTCCAAACAACCAACGCCTGAAGAAGAAGAAGCAGAGGAGGATGAGGTAGAAGAGGAAGAAGAGGAAGAGGAAGAAGCAGAAGATTCTTACTTCACGGGCGATCTAGCGAAAAACCAGCGAAGAGAACTCAAATCCCAGTTCTTGGGCACTGTTGATATGTACGTCTCAGAATCTTAGGTTGAATGCCGAAAATTACTTACCTAAAGTAGTACATTCGACTCTCAGGATGAAAACATGCGCACCCAAAGCAGCGTGTTGCCAGGAGATTTCTACCGGACATTCTACGAAACCTCAGCCACTCTGAGTCGCTATGTGAATGTCGATACCCACGTGAAGCATCGTAAAAGGAAGGATCTCAAGATAAATGATCGCAACGCCTTCCAGGCTGTTGCGGTTTTCTCCATTGAGTAAAACATGTTTCAGGAGGAAATCGAGAGGCACCTGGTATGGAATCAAAAGAAGATTCCATCCGCATATATATCAGTTTTCAATGATATCGGTACGTGTCATACTCAAGCATCTGCCTCAGATGAGCCTGAACTAACACATTTCCAGGCCATACAGAGAGACGGGCGAATTTTCATTACGATAGAAGTCAGCGCATCGGACAGCGTGTAAGTATTGCCAGGATACATACTAAGGGCCTTATTCCTGCCACTATACGGGGATTGTGCGAGACAACTGTCAAAGTTTTCACCAAAATTCCCCCACTGGGGGAGAGGGTAAAAATTAAAAAGTATTCTCGACAGGTCGACATTCCTGTATGGATTCATAAGAAAGCAATGGATCGATACGGCAGGACAATCACACCTGAGCAGTTGAAGAAATCCGGCGCGGATATGTGGATGTCCATCACAGAAATTCGCAAGTCGAACCTCAAGGTGGCGGGCCCTAAATTCACTAAGACCAGAGATGTGATATGCGCTAAAGGACACGACTACGAGTGGCTCTGTTGCGGTGGTATTCTCAACTCGAGAGTTACAGGAGTTTGGCCCTGGGATGGCAAGCAAAGCCACATGATTGATTCTGGCTCTCCGATCCAAAGTATTGAACATAGTGGCCAGCCCTGGGTATGGGATTGGAACAAGAAGATGTGGCTCCCGGACTTGTTCTCAGCTTCTGGAGCTGCTGCTCAGAGTGAGGGTTCCAACACCAAGCGTCAGCGTACTGATGATGAGACGACCTATGACAAGAATAAAAAGAAAAAGACAACAGCTTGTGAGTTCTCCAAAACGCGCCCGCTACTCTCGATGAGTGCCGTTCATACGATTTGGTCTGAGCTTTGAGAGGCGCAGCTAATCTCCCGGAAAGCTGACTCGACCTTGCACATCACATTAACTTCTTTCTTATTCTACCTTCAATCTTGCCTGCTTGTTATCTCAGCCCCAGCCCAGTCATCTTCATTTCAAATCCAGATTTTCATTCGACCCAAGCGTATCCAAACACACCATCAGCATACACTCATTTCCCTCTGATTTCACCCCAGCACACACATTCCCATACGATTCATGCTCAAAGACACGGATGAATACTTTTATCACGATTCCAAAAAAAGCACCTTACGGAATATTAGGAGAAACCATGTCATCTCCCGTCATATTTACTGCCTTTTTCCAATTATATTTACTGCACTTCCTAATATATAGCACTTACGATTACCCCCCAAAGAAATGAATTAGTTAATAGCCCCACATCTCAATTCCCCTACTCATGGAATATAGTGTCTAAGCAAGAGAAAAATCCTATCTACTAAGCATTTTCTATCTCTATAGTCGACCCAGATCGACAATACTATATCCCAACACATATCTTTTCCTCCACCCATATAACTGCACCGTAGGAAGGTTGGATAGTATGAGTTTCGTTACCGAAATTTCTTACCCCACCACTGTAATCAAAAGTTAGCACATTCCCCCTCTGAGTTTCTCTTGCTTCTCTCGCCACTGACGAATATCCTCTCAACCCTATCTTTCCTTTAGTAAGATCTTCTGTCGTTTAGTGTCAGAAAAAAGCTTGAACTTGCCTATCAACGGCAACTGTACTCTAGTGACACTGTCCATATAAATTGGAACATGCACGAAGAGTTGGCTAAAGCTCATACAAATCCAGGTGGGGGTCTCCGTCGAGATGTGGCGTGCGCGTGCACTCGAGGGACTAAAATAGCCAGCTCAGGTGGCAGACTCCTACATGCAAGAGACTGGTAAGTCTCATCCTCGAGGCTCATCGAGCTTTCTTATGAAAGACTCTGAGGATGAGGACGCTTGAGGGTATGCTGTTGCACTTTGAGATTAACTCGCACTCTTAACGCCACCATGCTTTTCCTTGGTATCTTGTAGCTCCTCTGGCCTCTCCCCAGGTAAAGACTACGTTTAATATTAGCCCAGACTACAGTCTCGGTTCGTGTGAAGAGCTCGTTAGATTGTGGAAGAAGTTTAGAACTCCTACAAAGTAGAGTATTGTTTGTTTATATAATCGCAACAACTATGTACTACGTAGTTTTAGTTTCATGGCGTGGTTGCATTGTTTGTGGTAAGGGACAGTTTTAATCCGACTGACGTATTGATCTATGTCCCCCAACCATCACTAACAAAAAAGAAGAAGAAGAAGAAGAAGAAGAAGACGGACGCAATTTGGCGAAAGATAGCAGAGAAGAGTCGATCTTATATTCCCTTTCTACTTGTACAAAGGAGGAACATAAAAGAGGTTACGCAATTGTTACCTGGTTCAAAGAGAAAACGCCGTGATACATGTAACCCAGCCCCTTCCCAATCTGCCAAGGAAACCCAGAAAACGAGAAAAAAAAGAGAAAGGAAAAAACTGAAAACACCATGAGTGCTCCCTAGATCATTTTGACATCCAAAGTGAGAAAAAAAGAAAGAGGTCACATCCTTCACTGATGCACCTGACTAACGTGCCCATTCCCCCACTCACTCTCATCATCACTGCCGATATGCGACCACTCGCTAGGCGTCATGATGCCCGCCCGATTCTCAGAATCGAACTCGCTAAAGCCGCCTTCTGAAAAAGCGTCTGTGAAGCCACCCTCTGAGAAGATTTCAGAGCGGGCATCGTGGTCAGAGTCGTTTTGCATGCTGAGGATACCAATGTCGTCGGCGTGGATGGAGGCGGCGGAGGCAGAGGCGAGGGTCATGGAGCGCTCGGAGCGTGGGGTTAGGGTGCCGGTGGAGAGGTGGGAGGGAGATGAGGGGCGGGGTTCTGCGAGGGGTGAGGTGGAGGATGTGATGGAGTAGAAGGATTGGGCGGTTTGGTCTGCTTCGTCGGCTTGGGGTTGGGCGGGTGAAGATGGGACGTCAGGGGTGGGGGTTAGGTCGACAAGGGTAGCGGCGGCTGGTGTGGATGCAGTATCGGGTTGGACGGTTGCAGAGCTTTCGCGGGTATCAGCTTGGGTGGTAGTGGAAGGTATTTCGTCGTGGTGGTCGTTGTCCAGGAGAGTGGCGTCATCGTCGAATGGGTTTGCAAGAACAGCCGCCGCAGCAGAGCCGGCGGCAAAGCCGGCCACGCCGCGTTTCCTGATGTCGCCCTTTGCAGAGTCTGTGCCAGTCGTGTTTGCTTTGTCCTTGAGAGTACCGTCGTTGCCAACCATGTCGTCGAAGCTCTTCGTGCGATCCGCCCTCGATCTCTGCGCGGCAACCTCAGCAGTCTCGGCCCCAATCTTGGCCAGCTCGTCGAGATCCACGGCAATTCCCTCTTCTCTTGCTCTTCTAATCAGCTCATTCCTATTTCTCCGAACCAACTCCTCTCTCCTCCGCTTCCTCTCCTCGAAATCATCCGATGTTTCGCTGGGGCGGCGAGGCTGAATGTCGTCGCCGAGGTTATGCAGCGCAATGGCAATCTTGCGACGCGTCTGGTCAGCCCATTGTCGGACTTGGGGCGACTCATAAATGGCGATTCCGGCGGCGACAATAACGGATGCGGCGATTATAAGGCCTGATGTCAAGGGGTGGTTAGGACGATATGGTGGGGTGGTAGCTCCATGGCAGGGAGGAGCTGAGCGTGGGCCGGTGCCTGCAAGCAGGTTGGCAGAAGACTAGACAACGAACAGGAAAAACACGGGGGAATGGAGGATGGAGAATACCATCGTGAGCCCAGACGGGGAACACGAAGTTAGGCGTGCATTAAGTGGAGAGCTGTGCTCATAAGTAACTCACCTTTGGCTAGTGGCGCAGGCATCTTCACGAAACTACCCGGACAGCGGGTGCTACTGGACGGAACAGAGCTTTTGAGGAAACAATGAATGGGGGAGTGTCGATGCTGGGATGATGTATTTTATAGCTCCACCAAAGGGATGTGAGTGGAAGAAGAGGAGGACTCGAAGTACAGGGGACAGCAGTCGGGCGGTTGTCAGGCCGTCGCCACTTGCACAGCCGCAGGATCGATATGCAGGGCTCCGGACGGCGTTGGCGGGGTCGCGTGCCATGCGCGCTAATCCCGCCCGACGTGAACCTCATCGCCCCGCATTGGCTGACCCGCCTCAATCACGGCTCTGGCATCTATCTAATATAGTAGTCCGTAGTGGATTTAAAGCCACATATGTTCCGCAGTTGGCATGTCAAAACTTGGAAGTTAGTCACTTATAGAATATGCAAGAAGAAAAAAAGACGCACATCTTTCTTGGTACCACGCCACCCTGGCCAATGCATAACTATGTACACATTATTCATGTATCCAATATTCGAGACTTGATGACGAAATAAGGACCAACACTCGAGTTGTGTCGTATTCATAACCTACTCCTCTTGGGGATCTCATCCAACCATTCACACACTCTACGCTTACCCGGATATCACGGCCAGTATTTCATAAGCTCTTAAGGTCGGAAAGCGCGAATATAGGCGCTATCGAAGCTAGTTTGCAGGTACGTAGCGCTCGCGTAGGTGTTCTAAAATCTAACTCTAAATCTAGCAAATCTAGGGGGAATATGCACGTGTTGGATCGACAAAGGTTCCGACAATCACACATCCCGGTGACCCTCATGTTCTTCCAGTTCCCGCATCTTCCTCGAATGTTCGCCGTGGATACCCCAGAAACAGGCAAATATTCCCAACACACTCGAGGTGAGGGTGACGTAGTATGCGGTGCGGTAGCACGAAAGTCCCACCTCGCAACCGCGCTGGCCGTCGGGCTCCACTATCGAGTTGGAGTCGTAGACCGTACCGTAGAACAGATTAAACACGTTACCACTGACGACGGGTGCGAGAGTCATGAACCCCCAATTAACAGCGAAACCATCCGGCCCGAAAGCGTCAACGACCAGCACAGGGAAAACACCAAACAAGACTCCATATGCGAGACCAGAGAGTCCAGAAACAGCCCATAGGTAATGGGGATCCTCAACATGGATCGCAGCGCCTTGAGCAAGAGCAAAAATCGTGGCCGAAATTGCAGCACACCAGAAGCGCGAGTGGTTCAAACGCTTCACGATAACATCGGAACCAATTCCAGACGAAAGTCGTCCGAGGAAGGAGCAAAGCGAAATCAAAGAGACGTGCCACAGCTGGCGGTGCGCAAGGAAGTCATCAGTAACGTTCTGATCCCAGAATTTCCAGAGTGCTTGCACGTCATGGCCAATGTTGCTAAACAAGTCAGTGGTAATATAGTGCCTAGGTACAGTTGAACATACTTGATGGTCATGAGACCAACACCCGACAAAAGACCCATGAGAACCCAGAGTTGCCAAAACTCCGGTCTACGTAGCAGAGCCAGTCCAGTCACATCTGTCGAAGAGTGAGCCGACTTCTTGCTCACGGCTTCGGAATCATCGTCGACAATGTCGCCAGGAACAGATGACAGAAGCGATGATACTTCTGTAGAGGGGCCGTCTTGTTCTTCCTCGGCTGCTAGAAGTGGTTGGCGGGTCACAGAAAAAAAAGGCGTGTACAAGTAAGAAATCGGGTACTTACTGGTCTCCTGTTGCGGCAGAGCAGAGGACGTGAACTTAGTGCTAGTGCTAGACTTTGTCGTATGAAGCACATTTGAGTCACGTCGTGCACGCTCGCTAGTGGGTACCACTGCGTAGCCAGTGCCAGCCTTATGGTCGACGACGATAAGGAAGGGTATTGATACTAGTACGAGACTCGAAGTTGCAAAAGATAACATCGTAAGTAGGCCGGATGTGTTTCCTGGGAACGCGATGCCGGCGATGAGCGTGTAAAAGAAAGCACTGAGGCCAAAAGCAGCCAGCGGGCATGCCGTGGCGGATCCACGGTGAGTCGGCCAGTTGAGAGTAGCTGACAATGGTCAATATGAATTCATAGGAAGTTGACAGGGAGCGAACCGGTTTTCAAAGCAGCCTGAAAAGCAGCACAACTGCCCACACCACTCAAGAAAGAACAAAAGGATATCAAGGCCACACTCATGTAGCCGGGACCTCCATCATATGCTAGCAACAGTCAGACACAACCTTGATAACAAAAGGCGAGGTGGCATACCCAGTTTGATGGGGTAGTATCCTACAAAGAGCGCAAACATGCCGATGATAACAGCAAGTCTTGGGCTCTTCCGATCTGTTATCATGCCCATAGGTATGCCGGCAGCATACATACCCAGATTCGCGGCAGTTCCCTAAGGATTATAAGGAGGGATATACGTGGACTATAGGACTGAAGGCAGCGTACGATAATGTTACTCTGGGTCGCAGAGAGTTTAAGCTTATCCGCAAACTGTGGCGCCCATGCTGAGTAGGCATACTGAGGGCCGTTAGCATCCCACCCACCCTTGGAGAGGGAGACGTACGTTTGTGCCACAAGCAAGGGCAATCAAAGTAGCAGCGACGACGGACACGATGCGCGTCTTCTTGTGTGTGAGAGACATTGTATCGGCGACCATCTTGGCCAGTAGAGAGAAGGTGTTATTGTAGCGCGCGGGTCATGAAATGCGCGATGTCTTGAGTTGCGCAATAGTGATAGTCGGCACTTGATAAGCCGAGGCGAACAAGGAGCGCGGGAAAGATAAGTATGCAGACGAAGATAGGATGCACGAAAAGAATGATGGAGAACGCAGCCTACACGACTCTTCAACGAAGCAAGCCGGGCAAGCCTTGGGAAACTGAACCGAGGCGTGAGAGCGAGTGTTGAGGCCGGATGCAGCAATGGGTGTCGGAGATAAGATGGGCTGGCACGGCTTGGCGCAGTACTACTAGCCGTAGCTGGACAGGAACGTCACCGGCCTCGCCCTCGTGCCTGTTCTCCAGATTCTCCACCACCACCCACCCTCCATACGCGACTCCAGCGGCCATCACCACCATGGGCGCATTACTATCTGTTCCCTTTCTGGCCATGCCGGCCATGAGCACCGTATGTCGCGTGCTCCATCACGTTGGCGCGCCCTGCTAACATTGTCAGGTCTGGAGCCTTGCCGCCTCCTGCTGTGGCGCTGCCACATGTAGCGCCGTTATGGGCTCTTGTGGAGGAAAATGCGGTAACAGGTGGGTGTACAGATGCATGCGCTAATTCATGTATACTGACATTCTGCAGCATCGCCACCCGTATTGCATACGCGCTCATCCTGCTCATCAACTCGATTGTTTCGTGGATCATGCTCACCGACTGGGCCATGAAGAAGCTGGCACACCTTACCCTCGATTATGTCGACATCAAATGTCTTGGGGAACAATGTTACGGCTACGTTGCGGTGCAGCGCATCAACTTTGCCCTTGGCTTTTTCCACGTCATCATGGCCCTGATGCTTATTGGAGTGCAGACTTCAAAGGACCCGCGCGCAACTATACAAAACGGCTTTTGGCTGCCCAAGATTTTTGGCTGGGTCGGCATGATTGTTCTGACCTTCTTCATCCCCAACTCGTTCTTTATCGTATGGGGAAACTACTTTGCCATGGTTGGCGCATGTCTGTTCCTCCTCATTGGACTGATCCTGCTTGTGGACTTGGCGCATAACTGGGCCGAGTATTGCCAGGAAAAGATTGAGACCACCGATTCACGTGTCTGGACTGGCATGCTTGTCGGTAGCGCTTTGTTCATGTACCTTGCTTCATTTGCCATGACGATTGTCATGTACATTTACTTTGCCAAGAGTGGATGCGGCATGAACCAGGCAGCCATTACGGTACGTCGAGTTTTGTGCCAGCGCAGGATATGACTGACATCCACAGATCAACCTCATCTTGCTCCTGATCTCTTCCGTCGCTTCTATTCACCCTGCGGTACAGGATGTAAACCCGCGCGCTGGTCTCGCCCAATCTGCCATTGTAGCCATTTACTGCACCTACCTCACCATGTCCGCTGTAGGAATGGAGCCCGATGATCATCAGTGCAACCCATTGATCCGTGCTCGCGGTACCCGTAAGGCGACCATCATCATTGGCGCAATTGTCACCTTTGTTACTGTCGCATACACTACTACTCGTGCAGCAACATACGGCCTGGCTCTTGGCGCTCAGGGCAATCCTCACGGAAACGGTTATGCCCAAGTCGGTACCGAAGATTATGAACACGGCCTCGTTACCCAACAACCCGAATCTCGTCGTGAAATGCGCCAGGCCGCACTCAGGGCTGCCGTAGAATCTGGTTCTCTGCCCGCCTCTGCGCTTGACGACTCGGACAGCGACGACGAGGACGAAGAGCCCCGCAACAAGAAGAACCCACGTGACGATGAGCGCAACGCTACACAGTACAACTACACACTGTTCCACGTCATCTTCTTCCTCAGCACAACCTGGGTCGCTACTCTACTCACTACCAACTTTGACGAGAAGGACGTATCTGGCAGCTTTGTACCCGTCGGTCGCACCTACTGGGCTAGCTGGGCTAAGATCATCAGCGCATGGGTATGCTACGGCATCTACACCTGGACATTGGTTGCGCCACTGGTACTCCCGGAGAGATTTGATTATTAGTTATGCAGTGAAACTGAGGCTCAAGTTGAAATTTGGCTAGTCTTGAGGAAGCTGCGTCAGTCCAGACTTTGGAGTTGATGTACATTTGCATACATGTATTTTTAGAACCTGATGCGATTCAAGCGGGGCTAGGCATGTGGCTGGCACCCCAGTTATTAGTACCTGTGGCTTGAAGTTCTGTGTTTATGGTGTTTGGTGGCTTTTTCTTATGTTGTTTGTATTGTACCTCGGAATAGCATCACTGCCCGAGATCTTCTGGTCTGCTTTGGGATTATAAAGATCATTGCCAACTCACGTTAACTCAATATTCCCCTAGCGCTACACACGAAAAACTATGCAAAAAGGAAAAAAAGAACCACGCTTGTTTCGCTCTAGAAAGAGAAGAAGGGAAAAAGGAAAGGGAAAGCGAGTCAAACACGTCCCGCCCACTGTCACTCTAGCCCGACAGCGCAACGACACTCCCGCAAACTCTCTTTTCCCCCATCCCCTTTCAGAAATCGGCAATCTCAACATCTCCCCTTGCGTTTTTTACCCGCACGCTTCACTCTCATCTTTCTTCCCAGTATCGCCAGCACTGCCGGCGCTCTCAATCTACTATGTACAATCCCCCCCCTTTTTTAAGCATTCCCCAAACGCAGTCATGCTTACGGTACTTACGGCCGGAGCGCGAAAAATAAGACCGGTCGGCTGCATTGGAAAATAAAAAAGATCGACGTGGAATTTTGCCTTTTCCCGTGAACGCCGAAAGGGTTAAAGGCGCTTGAGCGGATAAGGAAGAGAGATGGTGATGTGCGGATGCCGGTGATCGGCAGTGTGGGGAGATGTCACGGTGAAACGAAACGAAAAGGTAGGTATGTGCGGTGCAGTGAAACAAAGGAACATGAAGCACGGAGGGGGAGGGAGGTGGGAATAAGCTTTCGCCCCCGTCTTGGAGTGGGGAAATACGCAAGGTAGGGAATTTGGGCAAGGAAGGGAATGGAGGGGAGAAAGTATGGTGAGGAAACAAGGGGAGGTGACAGTTTGGAAAGCCGATGGTTGTGTCGTATCACGGTGCTAATCCGGAGATTTCCTCGTCGCTTTTCTTGCAGTATGGTGGTAGGAAAAGGTAGTGGTGTGTGATGGCAGATGTTCGAAAATGGAGGAAAGTGGATTAAGTTCTGACAGGCAAGCCATTTCATTTCCCGGCAGGTCATCTGGCGTTTTTTTGACAGTATGTAGCGCGGTGTATCCCCCCCAAAAAGAAGCAGCAGTCAACGGTCTGGTACCTTCGCATCTGAGCATAATCTCAACAAAAAATCATCTTACTTTTCTTTTAAATATACTATTTTCGAAAAATCAATGGCCTCAACAGTCGCTATGACGTATCCTTCGGATCCCCGCCGTGTCGTCGTGTTTCCCCAACAACAACAAGCTCAAGCTCAAGCACAAGCATATGCTCAACAGCGACACCGAGCGTCGCAGTACACAAGGATGGCGGCGATAGACGAGTACGACCTGCCTCCCCGGCCGACAAGACAGCACAAGATATCGCATAGAGGGGCCAGCGGGTTATTCGATGACATAGACGAAAGGAGTTACCGCAACGCTCACGAGATGCATCAAGTACAGAGGCCACAAGGCGGGGCCCACCAGAGTGCGAAAGAGGAAAGGGCTGCGCGGCGCGTTGCGATGGGGAAGCCGGCGGAGTCGCGGTTTGAGGGTTTTGTCACGAGGGTTTTTACGAGACAGAGCAGAAAGGAGGCTGATGTGGAAGAGGGGAAAGAAGAAGATGACGAGAGGAGTACGACTGAGATACGGGGAAAGAGCATCGTTGAGGAAGCTGCCATCTATCAGCAGAAGGAAGCCGCGGCGGCGGCAGCGGCTGCAGCATCGGATAGTCTTTTCTTACGAGAGTGCGGTATGGTTAGGGTCGAGACGAATGTGCCGGGTGGTTGTATTATTGTTCCGAGGAATTTTGTCTACCGCGAGGATTTTACGTACAGGGAGGATCGGGATGCTGGGTGGATATAATGTCGGCTGGATTCTTTCCGAAGTGAAGTTGATCCAGATGGTTTGGAGAACGTTTTTGCTTTGATGCCTCATGTGGCTATTGATGGGCGTAATGCAGAACTGGAGGCGCCGGAAATTCATGAGACCCGAGACGAACGAGGCAGAGAGAACCTATCTGAGAGTCTCATGGGTTTTTTCTTCTTAATCATAATGGAGGACATGGCGGGTAGCAGGCTCATCGGACCCTCCCCACACCTGCAATCTTATCTTCAACCATCTTCATCAACGTCTCCTTCTCTTTGACTGCTTTGACTCTATCACCCTCCAGATCTTCCAGCTGTCTCTCTAGCTCCTTCATCCTCTCAACCTGTTCCTTCTCACTCCAGTTCAGGCCTGGCAGATGTGCTATCAACTTTTCAATTTGCTGCTCTTTGAGCGTAATGTCCTGTGCTAGCTCTTTGATATCTGCTTGGAACTGCTCTGGTGAGGGTTTGGGGGGCGGCGCAAATGGTGGCTGGGAAGGATCGTTTGCGGTATTGTGCTGTGCAGCTTCACGGGCTTCTAATTCGGCAAAACTATCGAGGCGCTGTTGGCCTGGGGGTACACTTGGAGGCGCATTCTCTCTTATTTGGCGGAGAGCAGCTGCCATTTGATTGAGGAGCTGGGGCTATCAGCATGGCTGTGTGGTATTTCTTTGTTGCGCGGGTTGCAGTACCATGTCTAGCTCATCCTGAATTTGGGTCAGAATGTCGTGCATTATGTCAGGGCGTGTCGTCCAGGAAAGAGAGTCGGCCGAGTGGGGTTGATGTAGTGTAGTGTAGGTATACATGTAGTATGTACCTACATACCAAGACGCAGCTAGCCGACTAGCGCCTCCCTCAAAATTACTATGGAGACGGGCCAATCCTCACCGCGCACACCTGACATGCCAGTAATTCCCACGCTCACGCCCACCACACTCGGCCTGCGCTTCACCCACTGCCATAGACTGTAAATATGTTCCGCCCTCTCTGTTCTTCTAGGATACCGTAATGCGACCTTCCCTCCGCCCGACATGGCCCACAAACTCTTCGCTACTCGCATGGCTTCCCCGAGCAACTCCGCACCGCGTCCCCCGCCGCATCGCAACCACTTCAGCCCATAATGCAGCACCAGTTGACCTCCCTAAGATGGTGCTTTCCCCTGGCTCTCCTCACCATAACTCACTGCCCACCTTTCTCGACTATGCAAAGCGCACCAATCTAGCATTGGATAGCACACTATTCATTGGCACACACTATGAGTACACAAGCGCGCTTGCCCTCATGCGCCTAGGCTTTTCGCTGCTACGCATAGGGCGCACCTCGGATGCGGGTATTGATCTCATCGGCCATTGGGTCTTGGCCCCATTGAGGGAGCCGCTGCCAGTCATCATCCAGTGCAAAGCGCGCAAGATTTCGGTAAACCCCAGCCATATCCGCGAACTCGAGGGCTCCTTTTGCGGCATACCGCCTGATTGGACCAAGAAGGACGTGCTTGGATTGCTGGTAACGACAAAGAAGGCCACCAGAGGGGTGTTGGAAGCTGTGGGTCACAGTCATTGGCCTATGGGCTTCGTCTTGATCTCTCAGCAAGGTTTAATACAGCAATTTGTCTGGAATCGCGCGGCGTGTGACAGGGGGTTGGAAGGCGTGGGTGTTACAGTGAGGCACACGCCACGGATCCTATTACCCGACGCCGAGCACGAGACGGAGCAAGATGAATCTGGCACAGCGAAGAAGCGCCTGGCCAAGTTCAAGAATGCCGGCACGAGGAGGGACATTCAGTTGACATGGATGGGCTCGCCTATCTTTCCAGAAAGGAAGGATCTGGATCAGGAGACGCTTGGCCTCATGCGACAAATCCCAGCCGACGACAAAGTTGTCAAAGTTGCTAAAGTTGCTAAAGTTGCCACTGTTGTTGCTATGGAGAAACGGCGTCCAGGGCGCCCAAAAGGTTCCAAGAACAAGCCACTTGTTGAAGCTACTGAAACTGTTGGACCGAGGCCCAGAGGCCGTCCAAAGGGTTCCAAGAACCAATCAACCCTTCAAGCTGAAAAAGAAGCTACATACAAACCCAGAGGCCGACCTAAGGGCACAACAAAGCATTATGCGGAAAAGATGCCATTTCCACGCGGTGGTTTAGTTCCACGTACTCTTAAAAGCTACTGCGGCCGACCCAAGGGCGCCAAAACAAAGCGATGAACGACAGTTGATGATGAGTAGAGATACGGCATTGTCCTGGTTTTCAACCCAGGGTGATGCCGGCAATCAAATGTGATACCAGTTGCTTGGCTGTCTGTGTCGTGCGATACCTGGCCTGTCATTCAGCAGCACAGCACAATCTCCAGAAAAGGCTTGGAATGGAAGAATGCTAGAATGCCAGAATAATTAACCGAAAATTTCTCAATGATGTTAGGATACTATAGCGCATTGCACATCCTCCATCTTGCATCCCGACTTTCTACACTCTTCATGTGCTGTCATGCTCTCAGTGCGGACTGGAATCTTCAAGTTTGAAACAGAAGACAGCATGTTGAAAGTTTAGGCATTAGTTCAATTTAGTAGTATTGATAAGACATGCATCTTGGGTCAGCTCAAGTCGATTGAACTCACAGTTTGACCGTGCAACAAACACTCACTCTACACGCGCCCAAGATTTCCCCCATGAATCCGGAACACGAAATTGAGCCGTTGTTTAAGATCAACAGCGCTGATCGATCGAGAGACATAGCTTCTTTTGGACATGGTGGGATCAGGTCACTTTGTGTCGTCACGTGCTCGGACTCCATTGATCGACCGCAGGGACTAACTAGGACCTATTTCGTCTGCACATGTAGCGTTCCTGGTCTACAGCCTGGGCTTTGATGTGTTTATTATTGGTTGTGCTTGCAGCCTTTGTAGCCACATATCCGTGACCCATAACTTCCCGTTCTGCACCGCCGTACCCTGTGCTCTTGTTATGTCCACACTTTGCTTTCCTCAACCACTAGTGATGACTTCTATTGTGTGTTATGCGGGTATGTGCTCCTATCGCAAACTTGGTACCTCTGTCGCCCGGCTCCTCCCGAAGAAACCAGCGGTACCTGATTGGTGGGTAGCGTTCGCCAGCACCCCTTTACCGCACCTGCACCCTCCAAACCATGGGGAACTTTGGTCATGATGCGTTTTCCGAAACAGTCATGCGAACTCTTCTCCACCACCATCGAGCACAGAGTGGACAACAACGCCTTTGTTACGCAATACATCAATCGCCTCGTTTGTCTTTAATTTCATGGCCTCTCATTGAGCTCATATCACTATGAAACGGGCCAGCATTGTGAGAGTGGTTTGTTTGTCTGCTCCTACAATACCAGAGTTTCACCTCACAGGCTACGCAATCAGTAACTCACGAGCGAGATCTTAGGACTGAGCTGCACGGCAGAAAATACGACAACGCTTTACTGAAGTTGCGGCCTGGGTTACAACTCTCAAGGCCCATATAACACAACACGACGACTGATTACGACTGACGACGAACTTCGCCTTCCGCATACAATCTTGAACAAAGAAACGAGTAAGCCGGTCGGCGAGCTCCAAATGACACAAAACTCAAAAAGAGCGCTTACAGCATCTGCGTATCAGCAACTTGCTCCGCCTACATACTATCGCACTGGACCCTACCCACCAAATGTGTCACACGAAGTGCAAATATCACAACTCAGACATGCTCCACAGCCACTGATCACCGGTATTCCCGCTGGTATTAGGACGGGTGCGCAAATCACAACGAGGGACGATAGGGCTATCAGCAAAACATGGCATGACGAGTGGGAGACTGAGCCGAGACCATTCGGCCCTAGAAGGCCGTTGGCGCTGCTCAACCAGTCTGTGCAAATCAATCTTCAAACACATCCTCGCAACGCCAAGCGTGTCTACCTCAATCACTGGGATCGCCAACACGAACCGAACGGCACCACTGCACAACGGCTGGTAATACAAGAGAGGCAGGTCAGGATGGAAAGGCGAACTATGATACTAAGGGCTGAGCAACAAGAGGAAAGGCGCAGGGAAGTGAAGCAGGCAGCAATGAACGCGGATGTGGTTGATCTTACCGGAGATGGCATATCAGATGAAAAGGGCCCGTGGAGACATGACTCTGTAGGACATGCGGGACTTCCCGGTTCCTCTGGAGAGACGATTCACACCTGGGATCATTCATGGCAACTATAGGCTACAGGGATGTTCGCAGTTGTCTCTACAAATGAGCGAGATGTATGTAGTCGGGCTTAGAACGAGAGTCTTCAGTTAAGTCCAGTTTCCTCTTTCACGAACCTGCAAACATTTCCATTAAAGTCTCTCATTTGCATACATTGGGTAAATGGGATTCATGCCTGAGATGTGAATATTACCAATTGATAGCAGTGAGTGGAAACTTCGAGCAGTCAGAGTCACTGCCTATCATAACCCATTCACTCTCATGTTTGTTACTGGGTCAAAGCTCGTGATGATATTTTCACTTACACTGGCCTAATTCACCTCCCCGGACTTTGTGCTCCTACGTGTAGAAATAGCTCGCTCTTGTATACTTACCTTAGTTCTCCATAACCTGTATTGCACAATCAACCAGCAATATCTAACACATCTAAAGATATCGAAGAATAGCCATGAACGACTTCAGCCCTTTATTCTTTTCTGATACCAAATCTGCACAGATTTACAGCAACAATGAGCTGGATCAAGTCAGCTTCCAAGACATGTTTGTCTCTCCAGATCCTCTGCTCGATCCACATATGAGAAAAGGGCCAGCCCCAGAAGGGTCAGCCTCCCCCGACGCATTGAAGACACCCACTGGAAGCCCACCGATCGCATCTAAAAAGATAGACTGCGATATTCTGTCAAAAAACGATACATCACCGACAGTTTCAGTGGCAAATCCTCTTGATCATTCTCATGACCCCACGATGCCTACTGCCACTCAATCACGGACGTCCAATGACACACCCATAGGAAAGCCGCGCGCACATTTCATGCTCGACATGCCGCATCATGAGTACATATTTCCCACAGGAGGAACCATCAATGCGACCATGGTAGAAATCCTTGTTCTACTTCCTCATTGGTTTCGCAATCCCCAAGTCTTGATGCGCCTTTTGAACAACGGCCTGACGTCCAACATTCACATGATGATCCTGGAAGAGCACCGTCAACTTGAGCTTAGCACAGGCGATGAAATAGAGCGCGCTCGTGATTACATTGCCGACTCATATCGCAAGGCTATGCGGAAAATCATGCCTGCATGGTTAAGACGCAATCACAAGGCGCCGGAAGACTGGGACGCGACTGTTATGTCTATTGAGAACGTCATTCCTAAGGCAGCAACAAAGGGTAGATATGTAGCACCAGCATCTATTCCATTCAAGGATCTCGCAGTCGGACTGAAGAAGCTGCCTCAAGATTACGATGCTGGAGATCTCACGCGTGCGCTTGACTACGCGATGCAGAACGGCAAGCCTAGTGAAAACGGCAGCACTACTGATTTCATGTTCCCAGACGACATTCACATGATTTTGAATCACATCGGGAGGACTCAGATCACGCTCACCCACCTTGACTCCCACGCCGTCCCCCGATATGCAACTATTGTTCGTGCCACAGAACAAGCGCGGCGCAAGAAAATTGCCAATGGTAGGATGCAGAGGCAATTAAAGGTGGAGTCTATCCAACAACCCAACGGTTTGAATCAGTCACCTCAGCAATCCGCATTGAGTCAACATGCACAGTTTCCACTACCGTCTGAGACCATGGCAGCCCAATTCCAAATCCAGCAGCAGACACATTCCACTACTATGACCTTCTCAGGCCTACAAACCAATCTCCCATATAGAGGCATGGGCATCACCCAAATGCTTACACCCCCTTATCCGCAGCAAAACCTGACGAATCTCGGTATCCACACCTTCAACAACCCTTATAACCCCACTCCACAACCGACTCACGCTCTCTTCCGAGCTAGTTCGCAACAAGCCGCCGCAAGCGTAGTCTCTGAGCTATTAGCAGCTCGTGGGTATACTCAGCAGCAGCACCAGTCCACTGTGTGGTTACCCAATATCCCGGTGACCTGCCAATACCAGGGCGAAGGAGGCGAGGGGCAGTATGATTTTGATCAGGTGTTAAATTGTCCGGGGCATTGGACGCAGGAGGAGCAGATGGAGGCGCTCATGGAGGCGAATCGGACGGTGAAGGGGGAGTTGTTTACGAAGGTGGAGAGGTGGATGGAGCAGACTGATGAAGAGGGTAGCGGATCGTCAGTGGAAATGCAATATTCTGTAGGAAATACTGGAGAGGGTGGCTGGGCGGGTATCGCTCGTGGGTACCTATAGGATTAAGGGTAAGGAAGAGATGGGTTGATGGCATTGGGCTTGTTTTGGGGGCACTCGACGAAAGTGACAGTGCAGGTCTGTTGCCTGCGTCTGGCGTTAAGGAGTACAGAGTGCGGGGGAAATTTAGAGATGCTTTGGGGAATAGTGGAATGTTCACGGGTTTTTTTCGAGGGAATAAGACTTGCATAGGGTTTGATCTGCTGGCATAACGTGTCTGGCCAGTCTGGATAAGAACCATCATGAACAGAAAGCCATCTGTAAGTCTTTCTGTATTCAATTTGGGACATACCTCCACATCAAACATGATCGCAATCGTGTCACAACGATGTCCACAATTCCTTCCACTCGCAGGCATATCACGTGACCATTCCTTCACCGACTCGTATAACCTACCCAACCAATGACACACCTCAGTCGCATATCAAATGCAAGTCCCCAGTCAAACAACCACTCCCACCCTCTCATCCAAGCAAGCCCCCCTACACTCTCACCTCACCCTTTCCCCTCTTCGTCCACCAATTCCTACCCTTGCACCCCCTCCCCACCTATTACCTCACGCCAAAGCAGCACTCGCAGCCCGCACACCCATGCCGGACCACCCGCCCATCATCTAAAAACGGAAGATCGCCCTTCCCTCTCGCTTACCCCTGTCATTGCTGACCCACATTGCCAACCCCCGCCGCGCCCAACCCAACCCAAGCAAGCCGCGCCTCAAGTCCTCGAAAATCCGCCCGCAGCATGCGCGCACGCGCAAAAACGCCACGCCCGCAACCCCGTTTCGAAACATGAAGAAGCGCTTAGGAAGGAAAAAGCAAAGAAAAACCACTTTCGAAGAAGTGTATTTTATGGGATTGTTGCGGTGTACACCCCTCCCCCCTGGTAGTTGAGGCTGGGGCGCAGGGCTAGGCAAGGCCAAGGGGCAAAGGGGGCAAAAAAGGCTGGACCTCACAGGCGCAAAGGGCAAGAAAGAAGAAAAGAAAGAGAAAGAGAAAAAAAAAGCCGAGAGGTGAGGCGGATGAGGGGACAGCGTCAAGCGAACCAAGAAAAAACGGGCGTTTACCTACGAACATGAACGATGGACGGGATAAAAGCAACAGCATACTTACTCATGCACGAAAAAAAAGGTGTGATCGAAAACTCACGGACACAAGACGCTAGTTACTCTATCCCTATCCCCCTTTTTTCTTTACTCTACTAGCTACTAGCTTAAGTAACTATAGATTCCATTTCTTCTTTTTTGCTTTACGGAAAAAAGGAACGTCGGCGAGGCGGGACAGAATTCGATCCAAGAAAAAAAAAATACTACAAGGCTGGTTGGTTGGTGGGTAGCGTTGGCGCCTGGGTGCTTTGCGCGCGGGCGGCACACGCACGCACACACATGCCCACTATATTCCCGTTTTCGGGAGGACTTTGAAGGCGTTTTTTGCTTCGGGGTTACTGGATTCTGTTCGCCAAAGGGACGAGAAGAGAAGCCTAGTGGGCGGGAAGAGGGAAAAGGGAAAGAGGGGGGGCGGTGCGGTTACTGCATTTGGTATGAATCGATAGCGATTCGGAAGGATTTTGGGGATTCTTTTTCGGATGACTCTGATTGGCATCGGCCGAGAGAGGATGCGCTGGATACGCGGAAACGTAGAGAGAGCGTAGACCGCTGCGATTGTCGCTCGTCGTTGCAACGGTACAGGGGAAACTTGGAAAGTAACACGGAGGGAGGAATTGGAATAAGGTTGGATCAACTTGTCGATACACACAATCTCTTTTTGGTTGCTGGAGAAGGGGGAAAAAAAAGAAGGAATACACCTACTTTCTGCCCGCCTTCCCCCCCCCCCCTCCCTCATTTCCCCCCCTTCTGCTCTTTCCTTACCACTTCCCCCAACCCCAAGACTACGTACAGTCGCCGACCATACAATCCCCCCACTACCACTATCTTCTACATACCACAGCAACCCGTGGCCTCAAACTCAGCGCCGCCAACCTCTTTACCCCGCCACCCCCCCTCCATCGCAAGAAAAGTGTATCCCTAAACCGTTTTCAGACGCGAAGGATTCCGGTGGACTAAACTGGGAAAGATGGATATGCAGGTGAGCGAATTGGGACGGGCTGGATTTTGAGTTTTTAGATTGGGGGGGGCGAAGGTACGTGGGAGAGGGATTTGGGAGGTGGGCAATGTACATATGTATGCGTTGTTTGGATGGTGTAAGGTTTTGGAGGTAAGGGTAGGTGTGTAGTGGCGGTGTGAAGGGCGAGGCTGGGCTGGGCTGGGCTGGGCTGAGCTGGACTGAACTGGGCTGAGCTGAGCTGGATGGGGTGGATAGGGTGGATGGGGTGATGTGTTTTGGGAGGGAGGGTTTGGAGTGGAAAGATGGACATGGTGGGTAGTGAGATGGTGAGTTGAAAGAAAAATGTTTTTGGGTAGGACGGATGTTTATCTCACAGCGAAGTATGTATGAGTAAAAAGGTTTTCCATAGTAGTGATAGTAGTGCAGTGAAGTATGTGTGGTAGATAGTGTTGCAGTTTTTCATGTTTCTTGCCTTTAGTTACCCACATCATTTACCCATATAGTATTTTTGGGATACTCCAGTCTACTGTTGTAAAGAGTCCAACTTTTTTCTGACAAATTACACTCCAATTTTTGTCGAGTATGTAAAATGTGAGATGCAGGGTGCAGAAGGGAAATCTTGGATTGATGTTCCTGATAGAGAAAAAAAAAATAGGAGTGGGAAGACGATATACTGTGTACATCACATTTTGGATCCAAAGATGTGGAGAAGGAGAGTTCAAAGTATTGTGTGTCCCTGTTTAGTAGTACAGACTAATCTACAAAGTCTACCCTATGTGCGAAATTGTAAAGTAGTATTTACTGCGACTTGTTATATCTAACGCTATCCCTGCCCTTCTCGAGGATCAACAATAAGAAAAGTTCTGCCTGGCAGGAATTTAGGAAAAAAAAAGGAAGAAAGATATCGTATGACGCTGACTGCACGTACAAGAGTGATACTACAGTCCCAAGACCCTTGATATGAAGATCTACACAATCACATGCAACATTTCGGTGATGATTTCAAATGTAACAGCACAGCCACACAAGCACAAACCGACGATACCTACCTCTCTCACGTTCGTATCAGAACCTTATCTAACCCTTGCCTGCCTCAAAACCCTAAACCCATCCCATCCAGATCGCCCTCCCCACGCAGTCCACGCACAACAACCCCTCATATCCGAGTGAAGCAAAAAAACCAGCCGCCCAGCGGACGATCACGATCCTAATGACGTAGCCCGCCCGCCCTATGATCCCGCATCCAAAAAATCCCCCCGTCAATCACTTACATACATAGTAGCCGCCCGCGCCCCTAGCCCTAACCCGGATTCGCATTCGGGAACACAAGAGCAACGCAACGAGCAACACAAAAAAACCCTGAGTCAAACCCACAAATCTGACCGCCTGTTGCAAATCACTCCACCCATCGACGGGGTACGTACAAAATAACCCAGAAGGAGGGCGGGATTCCAAAAAAAAGCAAATGACCATCCTCGCACACCCCCGGACAACTCGCTATCCCATGTCAATTCTGCGAATGCTCCGAACGGGCATCCTAAAAAAAAGCGCAACAAGGGCAAGCGCGTTTCGGCAAATTTCCGCCGTCGCCGTCGCCGCCGCCGATGCACGCTATCGCCCCGCTCGGCCGCCGTTTTTCAATCTACGTACGTATTCCACACCTACCGACTCGCCTTCCTGTGCCGTATACATGTATAAAGTAGTATATTTGTGAAACTTGCACTTTGTACATAATGCATCATTTCAATACGATGACAAGAAAACCCGTCCCAAAACGGATGTACAAGGCTAGAAGCGAGTACACTACCGATGCGTCGCCTTAGGTCCGTCGCCGTTTCTTCCTAATACGGAACCAAACCGTTGGCCGAAAGTGTGAGAGACAGAGCAGGCCGAGGGCGACCAGAACTAAGGTCCCGTAGTGAAGACCAAACGGTAAAACTAAAATTGCTGAAGGGGGCAAGAACGTCGCAACGAGAGATAATCCATAAGATCAAGATTAATATCTCCGAAGCGTGACCGTTGTGTTTTATTTTAGGTTGCCGATATCCTGGGTAGAGGATGGGGAATCTTGAAAGGATTGAATGTGGGGTGATACTTGCGCTGGGGAGAGAGAGGGGGAGGGGGGGTAAGATTGATTGGCCGGAATGTTAAATGTCCTTCTGCTTCAGATAGATTGCAAAGAGCTGTATTGCCAGCCAGAAAAAAGGGCGGAAAGTAAGTCAGCGAAATTGGTGGCCGTGACCTTCAGAATGCGGCAAACGAACCAAGCATATTGCGTTGTTGGGGTTCGAACGGGACAACGATACGGGGACCAGGATTGTTTGCTCGATGCGTACAAAATTAGCGAGCGGAGCGGAGACAACTCCGCTCGCTGGCCGTTCAAAGTCTGTCAATCAATTTGTCTGACTTTACCCCCACCCCACTTACTCTACTCTCCCCCCTTCTTTGCAGCGTGACATGCGTAAGTGTACCCCTTGTGCCGCAGCGTCGGTTCATTTGCATCTTGTCTCGTATAAGCCAAGGGGACTCGTACAGCTTTTTGCTTCACGTTTGAATGATCTGTTGCCCTGGATGCCTATCAAAGTCAAACATGGACCGGTCAAAGAACACGAGATTTGCACAACGGCACTCGCTGCGATTGGATCCCCAAGCCCGCCCGTGCCCCTCTGACCCCAACCGTTGGTGTATGTAAAGACGCATCACAAATTGCAGGGAATGACAAGCAGCAGTTACAGCTGTCCGCTCCGCTATAATTAGACGAAAAGTGGTTTAGCGTTGCACAACGGCTTTTCCATGAGACTGGCTCGACAGGCCACCAGCGGCACAAGCGGGCTTCGCCTGGCATTCTGGATCCTTGGCCTTGGCCTTCTTGTGCCCTTCTGACCCCGCTTATTCGTTCGTACGCCAATTTGGCCTTGCATCAGGATGCCACCCCGGTCGTCTATCTGACAGCCGCGGGTCGTTGTAGGTGATGAAAGGATGGAAACTTAGATTGTAGTTCCGACGGCATCGGGCCGCGCGCGCACCTACGGCTGATTGGGGTATGAGGTGCGAAAAGTACGATGTCCGCTTCGCTTGTTTCATGACGCTCGTAGGATCAAAGGCAAAAGGGATTTCTGGTAGGGATTTCTGTAAGACGATGCAGAGAATGAAGGGGGGGGGTTCGTGCGCGTGTACAAGTGCGCTCAACGACACTTTCGCCCGCGTATCATGACCCAATGCTAGGTTTTTTTACTGCTGCAAGCCAGGGAGCCGCATTCTGCAGCTGGCCGACGATGACGCAGCCGACTGCATGTCGCTGGCTCGCCCACCCGTGTCTGCATTACGCCCACACTGTACTCGCCTTTAGAAAAGCCTTGGAAGCATCGCACAGGGTGCGGCGCTTGCCTACGGCCCTTATGACCCAAGTGCAAGGTCTCGGGTTCGTGTTCAGTTCCTGAATGAGTTCCGAAGGTGGCACTGGGGGCCAAACGGAGGAGGGGCGAACGCCATGGTTGGGCGAGAACAATTGTCTCTCGTCCACGCCGCGATTTGGCCGCTGCTAATGTATGTAGTGTGGAGTCGTGCAGCAGCAACAGCCCATGTCTCTTGGTGAGATGCAACAGACAGCTGTTTGGTGTGTTCAGGGTTGAGCGAGGTCCTACCAAGCTGCAAGGGTAGAGATGAGTGATCGTAGAGCAAACGAAAGCGCAGTCCCATATTGCGCAGGGTATGTATGGTCTGTGGGTGTGGTCTAACTCGGCAGCTCGGTATTCAACGGCAATCGCAAGCATTCTCTGCACAATGTGTGTACGACTGGTGCTATTAGCCGTCTTGCAATAGTCGGCATTTGCTGCACAGATGCCGTCTACCTGCGCTTTTGATTAAACATGGTGTACCTATCCCATTCGGTCACTCACCCATTCGAGTGCAAATGCCGTGTACCATAAGCTCAATATAGTCATCCTAATTATCCACCATTTGAAGCCTCCCGAGGCTAATTGTATAGTCGCATGCGGCAGAATTGTGTGCCATGACCGTGGCCCTGGGCTCTCGCGTCCGAACAGTGTTTGTCGTCTCAACGGCCTGTCGGAACGGATCTTGTGTGTCGTGGGGTAGTAATTATGCGCGAAGTGCCATGTGAGCTGTTGTGTCTACCACATTACCGTAAATGGAAGCAAGACGGGAGCCATGTCCAGCTGATGCAGCAAAACCTGACAAACTATGTATGCACTGCATTCCAAGGTCTAGCACATTGCTGTATTGCTCGAAGTGGACGGGGGTTGATGACCTAAATCAGCGTTCCTATTCGACTAAACCTGCTGCGGTGTCAATGCAACGTACTTGGCGACCCAAAGCTAGTTTTGAAGTGACGAGAAAAGCTGGCAGTATTTATAAGATGAGGGGCTGTATTGCAGGATAGAGAGAAAAGATTCGTTGAAACTGCATTTCATTGACGTCAGATCAAATTGGGGAGCATCGTAATTGATGTTGTGGGGCTATTGTCATCTGCTGAGGAAGCGCGGTGGTACAAAGTGCGTCGGTAAAGATGCTTCTCGCCGGCACTCGACGGTGTTTGCAATTGTAGAAAGACAAGATATCTGCTGCGATGTTGATTTTAGCTAGTCAGATGTGAGCACTGCTGAAAGTATAGTTTGTAGGATCGTCATAGGCGAAGGAACGGCTTATACCGCTCACGTGAATGACAGTGACACATCGTATCGCGATCATGGAATTGATCGGCAGAATTCGTCGTTAGGACCAGTGCGCAAGTTTATCGAAAACAATCTGAAATCTCACGGTGGTTGTCGGCAGACATCAACGAGTCAGTAGTACTCAAATGGAACGGCGAGATTTTCGAACAAGTTTCTGTTGTGTCTCGTATAATGTTGCGTTGTCCATCTTGATTGGTGCTCTGTCATATTGATGTAACGGAAGAAAAGCAGGCTACCTGAAAGGAGTAATTGTAGGCTGGCAGACAACAGTATCGCACAGACAAGTATACGGTACGTGCCAGTGGATCCCGTTGGGTGTCGAGCAAACCGTGTGTGTACATTAACTAGTATGTGTGCATAATGTGGCGGATAGAGGCTCCTAAAAGACTCTTGTTGACTGGCAAACTTGCCAAAGATAGGTACCTGTGGCGATGCACAGTTATTTAACCGTCGCCTACCCCTACCTGGAGCTTTCTGAAACATGTCGTGGCTTGATTTGAACGGTGTCAAGATCCACACTTTTTTTATCGTCTGTGTAAAGCGACTCATTTGATAACATGCCATTTATCAGCTGGATCAATAGACTAGTGCGCCTCAAGTCGACATGACAAATGAGGAAAGAGAAAGTCACGGAAAAGGAGGGAAGGATTTGTGAGGCAATAACGTATATCGGCGTTTCAGCGTATGACCAGATACTAGGTCTTGGAAGACGAAAAAGCAAATGTAACACCCTGTTTACCAGACAGTGTTGAGTCGTGGATCTCCATCCGAGTGTAGCCAAGCGGACGATCACTGCTACTGCAGATCATATGCGCACAGGTCTCGAATTTGACTTGAGGGGGGAAGGGTCAGCGGTGCTGTAGAGTAGGGTAAGCTTGGTAACTGCGACATATGGTTGGCTCCTGTAAA